ATTTTTTTGTACATATTCGCATATATTCGATCAACACCATGCCAAGCCTCGTGATAACCGTCCGACGGAGCCGGACGACTCACTCCACCGTCTTAATGAACGGCTGGGCCGTACGGACTGTGGGCTATCCGTCCCGTCTACCGTCTGGCGCCGACGGGACGGTTGAACACGCTGCCTGTTTCCTCTCCAACAGCCCGCAACCACTACTATCCACGGGGAAAAATCCTCCCTTTCTACAAACACGCGCCTTTCCATACTCAGATGCTTGAACAGAGTAGTATTGATATCATTTCTACCGCTCTGGAGCACAACAATCCTACTTGTCCATTCATGCCTCGTCGCTCGGAGCTTTTGCGCTCGCAGAAATAGCCACCAGCCAGCGAATGACACCGCAGAAAATATAATGTCCAACGGATGTTCATGTGCCTTGATGGCAGCGGTGTGAAACTGGTGCATGCAGTTTTGTGCTCACCATCAGGAGAGTCAAGTAGTTCTGCTAGGTGCAACGGCAACTTGCCGGTTGCGGGGCTTGGGATTGCAGTTAGAGAGCGAATAGGAAGCTTTCGGACCGTGCTGAAATGGTCAATGCAGCCGATCTACCGGGTGGCAATATGCTCGCTTCCTTTTCCTTCTGGTCGGTAGCTATTTCTCTCTGCCTGTAAGGCTTTGGCGCTTATAGAAAATATTAAAGTCTGAGGGAAGTCGAGGAGGAGAAGTCATGCACTTCCTCTTCTACTAGTCCGTAACTGCCCTTCTTCGTCTTTAAGTTGATAGAACGGTCGTCTAGGTCCTTAGAAGTCCTCTCTCATTGCCATAAGCGGGTTAGAGTAGTTAATGTCGAATAATCTGCAACCGGGCGCTATCGCAAACTATGTATACTTTCCCCGGGACATAGCTGATCTCCCTTATCTTTAGGCCGATAGATAATTCGTCGTGACCTTTCGGGGCCCCCAAATGCATCGACGGGATTGAGGTAGTCGATGTCGAGGGACTTGCGACCGGCGCTGTCGCGGAGCGGATGTCTCGCATCTATGCATATTACTAGGTTAATCAGTTAGTTTGTTGAACCTAAGTTGTTACTTGCCTTTTCTATGAACGTAACCTTTGTTTTGGAGTCCCTTTTCATAAAATTAAGGCATGTCTCTTGTCCTTCAGGATTGTCGTCGTTCGCTGTGAGGCCTTGCTAGCAGCTGCTTCATTTCCGGGCGTTGTTTGTGCGAGATATAGTAAGACGACTGCTGCAACGAATGTATAGCATGTGTGCTTGATGATTTTGGCCTCGGGGGCGTGGAGGGCTGCGTTGCTTGCTTGTGTCAGCGGGGTTTTCATTTGGCGGCGACGGAGGATGCTTGCGCCGCCAAGCTTATCACGCGCCAACCGGAAGATTCGTGGGCTTGTGTAATCTAATGGCAGGCTTCTAGAAACTGCATTGAGTTCATTTGCTGCGGGAAAATAGGCATCCTGGCTTGGGACTAGTAGAGCGTCGATAAACTCGGAAAAGCTCTCCTTACTAAAGCTTTCCCTGTCGGACATCGCGTCTTAGCGGACAACGCGGGTTGAAGGAAGCTTTCGACATAGAACAATGGTGCTAGATATGACTTGATGTTGAACAGTGCGAGAAAGCTGGACACTGCTGTCGCATTAAATTGAGTGAAACTGTCTGCTTAAATACACGACTTCCCTGGGTAGAAAGGTGACTATCGTTCCACTAATAGGAGAGAATGGCATGATGTTGAAAAAGCAAAGTGATGACAGGGTTCGTGCTAAGCGAGATAATATAGTTATGGTGGTGATGGTTGACACTTAATTATTCAATGGTCATAGTCTCATGAACATTCATGGGAATTAAACTTATTGTTCAACGGCATTTATATACAAATGATTTTTCCCTTCCTCCGTTGCCACAAGCTCCCAGCCACAAACTGGGTAACGTAGTTATCCATGGCATACTCCGTTACAGAAAGGCAACTTTATGAGTGTCCAAACATCACCGCCCGACGCATTGCCCCTCCTTCCCTCCTCTAGAGCAGTAGTAGGCGCGGGTTTGTATGCAGTGTCGAGGAAAGTAGGTCCCGTCAGACAATGTGCGGAGATCCTCGACGCTGAGGCAATTGAGAGCATACTGCTTAGAAAAGAAGTCTTGGGTAGCGAGGACAGGATCGCTGCCGATTTGTTGTCGCATAGGTCCGGGATGCAAGCTTGAAGCCGCCCGGTGTCCTCCTGGCGGTAGTAGAGCATCAAAATCCCCAGAAACATGATCCGCTTATAGTGACGGCACCGGCTATCCCGCCCGGGCCGGGAGACCCAGCCTCCAGGGTTTCAATGGACTGCAAGAGGAAATGTCAGTCAGAGAGTTTTACAAGAGGACTTGGAAGGCGTACTGATAGGCTTTGTTTAGAAATAACAAAATAAAAATGAGGTTGGATCGAAGAGAGACTATTTTCAATTGACCAGTGGCAAAGGGCTTGCATGAGACTTTGTCAGCATGTGGAGCATTTGGGAGACGAATACAGCGATAGATGGAATATACCTTAACCCGTGAGAAAGGTTGGTTTTGACAGTAAAAGGGCGAAGGATGAGGAGCCGATAGGTGTTCAAATTCAATGGGTAAGGCTGGTAGGAAGAGATTTGGAAGGAGAAGTATAATCAGGAAGGAGCCGAGCCGGTAGAGTATCGGCCTGGCTTCATGTTTGTTTGCGCTCGACAATCCGCATTTGGTAGCGACGTTGCAGTAGTCTTCTCTGCTTGTCTTGAGATGCTGCTGGGGGTGTGTTTGAAGCAGAAATTCGTGGAAAGCGGGATGTTGCGTTGCCTTTATGCTGCCATAAAGAAGTTGAATGACAAGCAAAGACCACAGCGCGCCTTCATTGCACGGCCTTGCAATGCCTGCATACGTACACACAAGAACTTGGCAAAACGGTTTGATGTCCTTGTCCATCGTTCAGTCCCATGCCAGCACACTTCGCCCCGTGCTTGAGCGACAGCACCCAACACAGCTTCAGAGCGCCGACAAAGCGTCCGCCAATGTGCATCTCCAGTACCATATCATCATCGTCGCCGGCTTCAGGGGACGAGAGCCTGAATCCTGTTTCTCCGCTTCCGTGATGGTCGATGAACGCATTCTGGCTTCAACTTTGCTGTCGTTGCTCTCCGCGGATCGTCCCTTTTGCTCTTGTATGCTGGCGCTCCCTTACGGCCGCACGTTGTTCCTCTGTATCCAAGCTGGAGCCGTCATTTCACACAGTGGTGACTTGCCAAAACAAGAAACCCTGAGCCCCGGGGTGTACTTGGCGACATCGTAAGGCCCACGACTCGGCCTGGGAGCCTATTGTGGGCTATGTCCGAACGCCCCTCCTCCCGTAGCTATTTGTCACTCCAGAGCAAGAGGGTACTTCTGGGGACGCGGGGCGACAAGTAAAATGAGGATGTCAGAGGACATGGACGGCCGTTCCGGGTAAGAATTCCGTGAAAGACACAACCTTGCCAGTCAGCTAAGAAACAATTAATGCTGCTCGTCGCTGTCAGGGGTCAGCGCTCACCTGCTTTCATCTGGCATGCTCACCCATCATAGCCTGGTACTACGAGGCCATTCCCCCGGTTTTCTGTCGCAAACCTGGGGTTCACCTGCTCATGTTGACGAGTGTCCTGAATCGAAGCTTTGTGGTTGTACCAGACTGAGGTCGGGCGCTCGCTGGGTATGTAGGTTGCTCTAGTGGCCTTGTGGTAGGTGAATATTTCTCAAAACCGCTTGTGTTCGCACTCGATGCGGTTGGGGCGGCTTGTGGAAATGGTCATCTCTCACAACCGCAGCAGGGGTAGTCGGCATGATAAAGAGTCACGTTCTTGAAAACGTCTTGACCGCGTGTGCAGCAGCCCGAAATTGCCATGTCGTGAGACCAATCACGACGCTCGTCCGTCTCTAAGAACTGTGTCCCAAGGGCTTGTCTTCCAGATCGAAATGTTTTCGAGCCTACTTTGTACACAGAGTCAGCAGCATGCTGTGAGCAGAGTAATGTATAAAAAGAAAAACACTCGCCCTCTATCTACCTGTTCCAGACGCATAGCAGCGGGGATTGGAATTTGTTTTGTGGCTTCGCGCGCGAGGGAGGCAATGGGAACCAGCTGCAGAGCCAGCCCACGTTGTGCCGGCAGGCGAAGACGGTATTACTGCTGGGCCGTAACCTTGGGCGGCGGAAACGCGTCCTGAGCCTGCAAATTCAATTTGGACCTGTAGGCTGTGTGCGAGGCGTTTGCGGGAGGGCGGCTGATCTGGATGTGGCCGGCGATCTCAAGACTTACCGAGTAGGATGATGGGCCGCATTGCGCCAGCGCTGCTGCTCGTGTAGTCGCTTTCAGTTTTTTGGTCGGTAACGGTGCGAGGCGGTCTCGTAGGGGCCGAAGGTGCGACAGTCTGACGGCGCGGGGCCTGTGGAAGGAAACGAGGAAAGGGGATGCTGAGCTGTGGAGCTTCTCGCGCCTGGTATTCAGGGACTGAAGCAGGCGTCAATGCAGTCGCTCCCTGGAAAATAGGCATATGCGCAGGAAGTCTTGGCTATTGTGTCATCGTTGTCGGCGTCGGGTCATGAGGGTATTTTTGAAAAGTGTGCGCATGTCGGGAGCCTCCCAGCCGGTCTATGTAAGTGTGCTTGATGCAAGCCAATTCGAGCATATCTCCCACAACAAGGCCATTGGTTGGCGACCTCTTAAGAGGATCGTGTGCTGCCTCCTGCGACTCTGGGAAGAGGGATGGCTAGCAACGCGGCTTGCCCGAAGGCCGAAGCCTTTCGATGTTAAGAAACAGCCAGACACAGCCGGGCAAGAGCACCATCCTAGACGCCGACAAGTCCAAGGTCAAAGATATTCAAAACACCATCTTCTTCAAGATCCCAGAGCAAGCTGGAAAGCTCAATGAAAAAAGGGTTGGTTTCGCGTTAGTCCGAAGCAGTGCAAATACGGGCGACACTGTGAGCTACCAGCAGCCGGACAAGTCCGAGCTGACCAACGGTAGCACAGGTTCTAAAAATCAGTTAATCACGATGCACCTCCGTAGAGGGCTTCCAGCGATTAAACTGAAAAGAACAGATACAACTACATTTAGATCTAAGCCAAATGGCAAAGAGAACTGAAGAAAAAAAGAAGAGCAGGTTGGGGGAGGGAGGGAGCGTTTATATAGACCTACCGTGAGGACCGTGCGTGCGCAAAGCTCGCTAATACTCGCTTGTCTGTTGTTATGACGTTGCTGTGACGGCCCTGGGGCCCTGCTGTCACGGGGGAGTGACTCGTGAGCGCGGTGAATGAGGCGCTGGGAAGGTAGTGAAAGTCTTTACCAGCCCCGATGGCAGCGAGGAAGTGGCTGGCCGATTGGCCAATCAATGGGAGCTCTTGTAGTCAAGCAGTGATCAAGTAATGGCGGCAGGACACAACAGATCAGGTGACGCGGGCCGCCTCAGTATACATTCAATTATAGAAAAACATTTTCTTGCTTTGCCAACGCACTTGGGAATTGGATTGGCCCCCAGAAAGCGGATGGACCAGCCTTCCTACTGACGGGACTGGTTTTTGGGGTATGGGAGCAGAAGGTTGAGAAATACAAGCGGAAAGAAACAGCGTGTAGAGAAAAGGAGGCACTTCCAAGATTCTGTGAAGATGTCACGATGATTTCAAAAGCTTCCAAGAAGACAATAGAGGCCGGATGGCAATGCTTTTGAAAGCAACCTAGAACCGATTGTAAGACCACGATCAGGAACCTCAACATCTTTGCATGATATCCCAGTCTTCATGCATGACACCACGCTGAGATGATCTCATTGGGTCCATACCAAGGCCTGCAAAATGGTCTCCAAGCAGCATCACACGTCCAGTACATCAGACCTAAAGTCACCGGGGCACCGCACCTACAAGGCCCGTTCTTTCAGGATTGTCGGCCCAAGCCGTTCCTGCCGGTAGGGTATAGTGCAAGCTCAATATTCCGAGCCATATGACCTTCCAAGCAAGAAGATGCCTACCATTCCTTGACTTACCATGACCCTGCGCTGGGATTCTTGACATGGAGGCCCTCCCAGCAATTACAACATACGTTATCCAATGGCAATGCCGACTACACCAATTCCATACACAGATAGGTCCGCTATGTGTACCACATTGAATTGTATGAGAGCGCTTCATGGAGAGTTTTCGAAATGTGAAACTGGCGGAATGGCTGTGTCCGAGGGAGGCCGTGACTTCAATTATACTGCAAACCTAGGCATACATGACGGCTTTGATGATGCGAAGAGGAGACGCTTGATGATAATGAAGGCAGACGTGGAGCTGAGGAAGCGTCAGCATCATATCCTTCGGCGGAGGGAGATCTGTTGACGGCAAAAGGGGCGTTGGAAAGGACGAGATATTTCGGATGCCAGTATGCGAAGAGAGATCCAATAGAGCAGAACAAATTTAAAAAGCGTTCTCCATCTGCGACGTTTCGCTCCCAGTTCATTGGAAGATGGTGGTGCTGCAAGTTGGCCCATGTTGGCCTGGCGGTGCGCGGAGCGTGGACGCACTGTCAGAGGTGGGACCATTCCGTTTTGGGGGCAGACCGGCTGTGACGGTCTCTTCACCCCAACCACTTCCTTTTCCTGAACGCTCATTGAAACGCACCTTCTACCCAACTCCAACTTCGCTTTCATCCTAGGAGCCTTCCACTTTTTCCAGAGATACAAGGCCTTCCTCCCTTCTCCCTCATTACCGTTCACAGCAGGCCATCCGTCAGCCTCGCCCTCCACCATCCCAGCAGCAGACGTCTCTACGGTCTACCCACCCACAGGCCCCAGCCTGCAAGATCTGACTTCCTCAGCTGATGCGATACCACACTCGAAGCCGAACCTGCCATGAGCCGCAGCTGATTGTCACACAAACAAGATTGAGGTAAGCTTTCCTAACCTTCTCTTTGATCCGACGGATGAAAGACTCACAGCCTTGATTGTCAGAACAAACGTCAGGTTGCAGCCAAGCCGACCACATCAAAGCAATCAGCCTCAGGGTTACTGCTTGACAGCAAGTTTGAAAAGCATTTCCGGCTCTGAAGGAGGCGCCTGTAGCCCTTCCTGACATCTCTTTCAACTCTTTGTGCCTTTCTTGGGTTAGTTCAACCACTCCCGACAGACATTTCAAATCAAATCAATCCCAAACGAGCCTGACACTCTCAAAGCCTCTTCACAACCCACTCTTGGCGGTGGCTCGGGCCTTAACCAATCTCGGTTCCCACTTCAACGAGTTGTTGGCAACAGCGTCTTGAAGGTCATCGAAGCCTTCGGTATCGCGACGACTCGGACAGCACTGCTCAAGAAGATCGCCTAGCTTTTCGCTTTCCATGCTTCTCGCGTCAGCCACCGTCACTCGATCTCCCATGTGGACGTCTGGGCTGTTCGCGGTCTGATCATGGTTGTTAACAAACACGATATCAACCTTGACGGCATCTGCAGTTCGAAGTGTTGCCCGCCGGTTGAAATCTTGCTCGATGCTGCCGCATGCAGTGAACTTGATGTCTGCAGTGATATTTCTTACTGCTCCATAACTCACCAAGGCACAAATTCGCCTCCAAGCCAGCAGTAAGCTATTACTTCCTAACTATACCTGTCGTGAGTCTTGCTAACAGCATTGTTGAGGAGCCCGTACAACAGTACTTGTTTACATGACAGCATCTATTGCTTCCGAGCCGCTCTTGGACGTATCTGCCATTCGAGAAAAAAGAAACGGGTCGCCGGTCGTGGAATGCGACAAGACATTGTGCGCGACATCGCACCGCCGGAACAAATAGGCGGCAACATGGGACACATCTTCTGCGAAGGACGATGCAGTCCTGGCACACCACCGAGAGCATTGCTCTTTGTGGTACAGAATACAAGTCCTATAGTGCCCTGTGGGCCACATCAGTTCTTTTTTTTCCTTCCAGCCGCCGCCGGCCCCAGCCGGCCGCGTCATGCATCGTGTGCGCGTAAGGATACCCAACAGCATCAACCCACGTTGCCGACGTTGAACAACAGCTAACGTCTATTTCCAGATTGCGCGCACACGATCAAGTCCGACACGAACAAGCAGACTATTGTGAATCTGACCTACGGGTAAGTCCAAGCCGACCTTGTCTGCGGCACCTTGACTCCTGTAATTTCCTTGCTGAGCACCCCTTTCTTTCCCCATTCCCGTCATGGCTCACCTGCTGACGTTGAGCTTGTTATTCAGGTCACTCTGTCAGCCGCTCGCGCGGCATCCGCGTACGCAACGCGCAGCGGCGGTCCTGCAGGTGTTGTCCCTGGAGGCATGCAGGTCGTTCCGTACGTTCCTCAGCCGGCGGGAGGCCAATGGGGCCACCCCGAGACTTTCCGGGGCGGAAAGGGAGCTCACGGACCGAGGGCGCCTGCGACAGGCTACAAACCCGCCTATTGATCCTATCCGTGAGGCTGTCGTCATGTCCCTGGAAGCCTACGTTGGACCTCAGGGCGACTTACTGGAAATGGATGAGACTCAGTACTTTCGTCTTTCGTTATCCAGCGACGTCGGGGAAAGTACCGAAACTCGTTACAACCCACTCATCGGACGCCCACTACTCTCTCATTGTTTCCTTGCCCATCTACTCGCCAGCACCCCACCACACCATGGCGCCCTCGCGCAAGACCAACGCGAAGCCCAAGAGCAAGAGCAAGTCCGCCCAAATCAGGACTTCGTCGTCCAGCGACGTCGGGAAAGGTACCGAAACTCGCTACAAACCACTCACTGGACGCCCAATCCGCGACGGCGCCAGTGGCAAGTCCCTTGACGTCGACTACCTCGACACGATCGAGGCACTTGAAGAGGACTCGGGCGACAAGGTTTCCGAAGACGAGGAAGGTCAGCTACGGACTGGAAAGAAGAGGAAGCGCACACCTTCTCCTCCTCTTCCTCCGCTGCGGCCTGCCTCCACTCCCACAAAACCCAGAGGATATTCCTTCTCGGGAGCCAACTCCAGACCTTCACACTTTCCTGTCTTAACTATCGACACTTGAGAAAGCGCAGGCGATGCAGTATCAGAACCATTTCTATTACCAATCTCCAGTCGCCGCCGGCCAGTATCCCATGCCGCCTCAAGCCGGCATGCCTAGACACCCTCAACAACACTCCGGGCCGGATCAGAAGCTGGCTCAAGCGATGAGACGACACGCCACCACGACGCACGCGGGGAAGATTCATACACATGAAGACTTCGTCTCTCTGCGCATCCAGGACACTTTTGCCAACTGGACTAGCAAGGTCATCGATATCACTTGCGAAGGAGTCCAGGGTTACATCAACGCTTGGTCGGGCCGTCTTGGCATGGGGGTTACAGTGTATATAAGTTTTTCATTTGGGTTCTCTCGTCCCCTTCTCGCCTCCAAGCCACTGTAGCTTGCACTTCGGTGCGATATATTCGGAAAAGATGTTTCAATGCGGAGGATCTTTTGATTTCAGATATTTTTCGTCATGGAGGAGACTACTGAAGGAGAGGAAAAGAGCGGCGTGGGCTGGTTCGGCGGGGAAAGGTCTTGGGACTGTGGAAGATGACTATGTCGGTTGTTAGTAATTTTTTGGATTGATGTTGTGCTTCTATGCTTGACGTTAGTGCCCAGCGTCCCGTCTTTCTTTTGAAAATTGTTGCTTGATTGAGATCAAAGATACGACGGTAGCTTTGTCGAATGGCCTGCTGCTACTGTGCTGTGTGGGATGGAGCCGTTAATCAGGCTGCGAGGAGTAGCTATCGTCAGGTCGGTGTTGACTTGTCACACTGAGTTGTCATTTGGGTGAACACAGTACGTAGGAGTAGTGGTCTTTCGCCGGATAATATAGTCGACAACTAGCTCTAGTCCGGTCGCAACGTGTTGCACTGTGAGATGTTAAATTGGAAGACTTTACTTTCCGGCCTTGGATACACACGCAGTATTCGAAATAGACTAGTTGAACGGTAGTCCGTCTATGCAGTCGAAGTTTGCCTCTACGTCCAATCCGGTCGTGGCGTCGTCGGCTTAATCAGCACGTCTATCGCCCAATCTACCGGCGGTCTGTGAATCCGTCTGTAATATAGGGTACTATGGTGTTGAGGGCCGAACGTGCGAATAGGCGCGGGTAGGTACGGGTAGGTACGGGTGGCGGTGAATATATAGCAAATAGGCGGCCCAATATGACCTACGTCAGGTTGGTTAGTTAGCTCCTTTTTACTGCAACACCACGCCAAGACCCTGTGATGTGAACAGTGCCACGTCGGTCTGACCGTCTGGTTGGGTGGTTAATCCAAGTTAGTGCCGGATTAGTACGGTCTGCGAACACACGCACACGTACTACTAGGCACCCCTCAGACTCCTCCACCGCCATTCACATTGAAACTTGCGATTACATATTCTCACAAACATCACGGGCAAACTTAATTGAGAGAAAGACAGCACATCGTACGCTGTAATGTGTGATACGTCGTAAACACATCAGCACCAAGCTACTAACAACCGACACCATAGTGAAACCGCCACGTCCAACGCCCAAACTTCACACCACACCACACCACACACAACTTGCCATACATGCTGCCGCCCGGCCAATTAAGCTGCGGCGCATAGGCCCCCCCTCTCAGAGGCGCGTACGCGGAGGGGGGGCCAGTGAGGGTTGTAATAATGAATGCAAGCGTAGCTTGAATTCCCTGCGACCAAACATTAGCAAGATCAAAGTGCGAGAGATGAGAGTGACAGAGCAAGAGGGACAAGGAACGTACTGGTGCTAAGCGCCGATAGAGCACGTATGCGCAGATCTATATGCGCAATCTCACGACCCGGGCCTCTAAAAACTCTTGCCAATTCGGGCACCCCTAGAAGCACGGCGATGTTAGCATTCGTCACAAGTGTGTGGTGCTGGTGGACGACATACCCGGCCTGTGATAGGGGCCAGAGGTGCCCGGCAGATGGTTGGGCTTCTCAATGCCGACGGGCAGTGCCCAATGGGATGGCCTGGGGCCGTAGCCCCATATAGGACTTGCAAACTATGACTGCACCGACAGGCGCAGATGCAATTTTTGACCACGCTGGTGACTCCTGTGGGAGGAGCGGTCTGGGGCTGGTCTGTCATGACGGGCGTGTGGGAGGGAGCTCGACCGAGCTGTTGATGGGCTCGCCGGGCTCGGCGGCTCGATGGCCGTGGGGCCTTGGCTCCCTGCTTGGGGTTGGTCTGTCATGATTCTGGTGAAAGCAGATTCAGCTGGGGGTCGGTGTTGGCTTTTTACTGCAAATGCATGTTAGCATGATCGCTGAGAAGGTACAATGGATGGATCGAAGGAATTTTCCTTACTCACAATGTGTCGCTCGAGAGCGAGCATGGTGGTGGGGTTGGTGTTGCCACCATGTGGTGGGCAGTGCTCGGATGGTTTGACTGCTGAAGCTGGTTAGCAAGCTTGTCGATCTATAGGAAGGGCTTGGATGGGATTGATTGCAGTGACATACATACATGAAGGATGGCCGGGTGTTCTGCGTGGATGAACGAAGATGAGTGGGATGAAAGGAAGATGGATGAAGATGGAAGAGAGGAAAGTATTTAAGGGGAGGGAGAAGATTTTCCGAGGGACGCAGGGAATGCGGCAGCCACTGGAGTTGGGAAGGTGCCGCTCGGGGGATGTGCCGGCCAAGCACCGGCATGCAACGCGTCCAGACGCGGTAGAACAGGCAGCTGCCTGTAGTGGCCACGCTAGTCTTCCTTGGTTGATGCTGTCGCCCTGCAAGTCCATGAAGAGCAGCACTGTCTTATTGTTACGCTGTGTTCTCAGTATTTGATTTTGGATTTCCCCTTGGTCAACGTACGGCCATGCCTTTCCAGTTCTTTACCCTGTTTATGTCCTGAGCCGGCATTGTGTGATGCATGTTGGGTCACAAAGTCGAACACTATCGCACCACGCTGCAGACATTCGCATGCAGTCTCCGAGCACCAGCTGCAACTGTTATGCAAAGGATGAAACCACAAGTCTTTGTCTTCGTCAGCCTAATGCAAAACTCGGTAGATTTTGTCGCTCTAGGCCAAGATGCGTTGCGGAAGTCGAGAGATTAATAGATAGGTACGCATAGCCTAATGTAAAACGGTTGGTTAAAGCGTTCTTCTGTTGCCGGAGGTTTAAAGCTTACCATTCTCTCACAGACCCCGACGGCCTATTACACTCCACTGAAAACCGTGTGCCCGATTTACAGCAAAGTCGAAAGCGAACAGCCACTCGGACCTGTGTATGAAGATAATAGAGCTATTGTTTGCGACATCTGAGCGGGGGTCGCGATACAAGCTGGTCGGACCCAGGGGCCACCGCCATGAAGTTTGTGATGACAGTGAGACATTCAATTCGCCGTCTTTCAGGTTGAAGCTTGGTGGGCGATTGTACTAGAAGTGTTGAGAAGGAGGCAAGGCAGGCAAGACTGTCTACAGGAAACTGCATGGTGCAGGTCATGATGGCGGGAGTAGGTCGGTAGAAAATTAGCATCAATCCCTGCAACGTGTAGCAACCCATCCATATGCCATATTGGTTTTTGTCCAGCAATCTACAACTTGTTGTGCCACTGGGGTTCTCTGCATTCATTGTGAAGGCGGCTCATAAGATGGAAGAGCGAGCAGGGCAACTACCCGGAAATGGGCTTCGATATTATTGCAGATTCGGCTTGATGTAAGGTACAGGGCAAGTCCGACCGACCCCTCTCTACCCTCTCCGTGATGCTCATATGTGACCCCAGAAAGCCGTTCTCCGTTTGTCTAAACCCTTTGACCGGCGACAGATGTTCCAAATCTTGGCAGGTTAGTTTGCAAGTATGTAAAAGGCAGAGTGGGCATTGTATTGCCCTTACCGCCTATGACTGGTGCTGAGACGAAAAGCCTGCAATATATAATGCTTGGCGTTGTGGCAGTAACAAAGTCTTGCAGCTGGAGCTTTCCTGAGCGGCCGGAGGAATAATGCAAACTGCTGAGACGCAGCGGGGTTCTGTGCAACAACCTGCTGCTATGGGCGTAATCAGCATGAATTTCATCTGCGTTGGAATGGAAGTAACTGACTAGGTAGTGTTTTCCGACCGAGTTTCCTCTGCGGCTGTAGAAGCATGCTGAAGTTGCTTGCTGCGAATGAGAAAAGTGTAGCCGCTTAGTCGAGAATATTTCTGACCTACCTCAATGTCAATATGAGTGAAACAATGGTCGTCGCAACGAATCTTGGTGGATTAACTTACGGAGCAAACAGACGTTGGGTTTGCTTTGCGCATCGGCCCGTTGCATCAGGTAGATGCAGTGCGTCTTGACGCTCAGAGCACACATCTAGTAAAAGAATCCGAGGACCTTGCCGCCAACGCGCTTCTCCTTGGCTTCCTCCTGGTCCATAATTCCAGCGGAAGTTGTGAGAACAACGTAACCAACTTGGCCGGAGGGAATGAGCCTGTTAGTCCAGCGTTGGAAGCTCTGCGGTCTTACGAACGAGTCTCAACTCGGGCAGCCAGAGAGCTGTGGTAGCAAACGTGTAACGTCTTCCCTTCTGGACCATGGCATAACACCATGAACCGATCCTGAATGTTGGCTGTTCGTTGTATCCCGAGACAGGTATACTGATGCAAATGTCGACCAGATCATCCATAGCACAAAGCGTCCCATCTTGCTGTGTTCTGTTCCAGATTGTGCATGCTAGTTGGTGCCTCCTCTAGTCAAAACATCCGCAGCCGAAGTGCTCATTGGAGGAATGAAAATCGACTGTTGGACTGTGGGTGGGGCTGAGTCCTGGTGTCAGTCAAGAACGTTCAGACCAAGAGAATTTCGAGAGGTTACTTACGTTCCTGAAGGCAGAGGCGAACATCCTGAGAGTCCTTCCAGGGTTTCAGCTCGCAGGGAAAGAGGTTGTCGAGAATGCACTGGTCCAAGTCGAAGTTGAGTTATCGATGGTACAGAGGACAGAGCAAGTTTCATTAGCCATAGTAGGTGAATGAAACACCATGGCGTCCGGCAATGTTTCTGTGTTCGTTAGTTCGTTAGTCCCAATCAGGCATACGACCTCGACGGACTTACTAGGTAAACAGGTCCGTTGACGCTCAAAAGGCGTGAGGGACCGGCTTCATCGGATCGGATCTTACGTAGCGCCTCGGCGCGACTGAGTCCCGACCAGTTGAGGACCTGGCACCAGAAGCTGGTGCAATTGATGTGGCCCCACGGGCCGTGGGCTCGTGAGGAACGGCTTGGAGGCGGGGGCAAGACGCGGTTCGGACTACCGAGGCCCACGACCCGTGGGGTAGGAATAAGGCAGGGTGCTTGAGTATGATGTCGAAGGATAATGGCCGCGGTGACGGCGGCTTGGAGTTTTGAAGGATGGTTGAAGGAGAGGTAGAGAAAGTTGGTTTGGAGATGCAGCGGGCTTTATGAAGGGGCGCCGGGCACGGCTGTGTGCAGCCTGCCGGCAGGCAGGAATTCCGATCGTGCTTGCTGGTGCTTGGCCGCGTTTGCCTAATCCTGGCAGGACTTGCACCGTCCATGCTCGTCTATTATGTCCGCCTGACAGCTGCATTCGAGAGTGGGAAGCCACCCCCAAACCTAGTTATGCGTCCGCCAGCCTCAGCCCCTGACGTCACTGCGTCCTCTGAGTTCTCTAGCCGCTCACAGCAACCCATTCATCCTTTCAAACGTCATCCTACAACATTATCGCCTGTGGGACATCGTCCAAATGGTAGGCACTCCTGTTCTTTCCACCAGCAGCACAAGAAATCAAACACTGACCGAGAACGGGGATACGCAGGACCTAGAAGAGATCCCATACAATTACGACATCGCTCTCAGGGCTTCGGTCCATCCCGCCCAGACCTATCGTGTTTCCAGGAAGACCCAAGCTCTCTCCAGCAATGCCGACAAACACAACAGCTTCGAGCGGAGAGACACCAAGTCGACATTCCGGTGGCTGCTGTAGCCCACATTATCATGTTCGTCTTTCCCCTCTACCGTTTTCACAACATCATAAACTAACCGTCTCAGCAAGATCTTTCTAACGTCGATCACTCCGTACATTAGTCCCAAGACAACGTAACTCCACGCCTTTCTCAGGTTTCGCAGCCGGGAGTCCAATAGCTTCCGCCATCACCAAGGCTCCGCCGCCGCCGCCGCTGCAGCCTCCACGCCCGCCAAGGGCAGTAACCCAGCCCCAGTCATTGAGCAGAACGCTCCCACTCCCAAGAAGCGGAAAGCACCCAGCGAAGAAAGGGAACAGAGAGTAGTAAGCCTTTTATCGCATGCAGAAGCGACAACGTCATCGTATCCCGATAAGACCCACGCACGCACGCACACACACACACACACACACAGGAACGATAACAGCGGGAAGAGGGCCCGTCAAGCCGCACAGAAAGCTGCAGAGGCAAACCAATCTGAGAGAAGTCCGCTCCGGATGATAACCCCATGCGTCTCTTGTCTGAACGTCGCTTTGCCTTACGGCGGGGTAGGAGGAGTTGTCCCTTGATGACCATTTACAACGCTCGGAGATCTGGGTTCGTGGCATTTCAAAGAGAAGGGAAGGGCATTGACCTACGAGTGTGCGTTTGGAGGTGGACAAAAGCAAAGCCTTAGATAGAAATATTCCTCTTCTTATAGGTGCGACTTCCGATCCTACTAAGGAGGAGGGAGAGAATTTAAAAGGTTCCCCTGTTATAGCCTACCGGCCTCCTTAATCTGCTTAACGCTCTAGCCTAGTCTTACTTCTCGATCATCGCCCGCAGGTACCTAGGCTTTGGGATTGTTTTGACTGACTAATTAAGCGCCATTGACAATAAACAAGGCGTCTGAACTACCATGCATGTATGCAAGGTATTAAGATGGAGAGGCGGGCATACGACACCGGGCCAGGCAGAAGCAAGTCTCATGAGGAGAAAAACATTCATATTATTTGAAAAGCCTCGCCGTCATAAGGTCAGAGTATCCTTTGTGTTTTCTCGAAGGCGTGCAAGATGAGTGCTGCTTAAAAACTATCTATCTGTTCCCCCACATATCTTCCTCCACGTAATCCTACCCACTCCACCCACAATCCTCGTGGAGCCTTTGCGCGCTCGGTCCTGCATGGTCGGCCAAGGTCATTGAACCTTCTTCAAGAGCAGTGGTAGCTTGGCGAGCGCTGCAGCATCATGACATGCTTGGCCTTTTCAGTAAGGTTCGGCAGAAGGGTAACAGCGGTGGCGCCGCTCCCACTGATGACCATATCTTTCCCTGCGTAATCGAGATCCTCTGACCAGACCTGGGGGTGCACGATTGTGCCTTTGAAGTTCCCCAGTCCGGGGATGGTGGCAGCGAATCTGCTGCTGCATACAAGCTGTTGAAACCGCCTAAACAAGCGGCAGCCGTTCGATCCTATTGCGCTGGGTCGCTCGCCAGCACCTTGAGCGAGATCAAGTGGCATACCTCCTCCGGAATTTCCCTGATCTTGTTTCTGCTAACGTCCAATATTTCGAGCGTCGAGAGTTGTAGAACCTGTCTCAAGTCAGCACTCATACGCCAAGTATATGGTGTGATGGAGCTAACGTACGGCGTTGGGAAACTCGCGAAGGCCGTTTTAGCGGACGTTCAGATAGCGGAGGCGCGAGCATTCGGTAAGCTTGAGGGGCAGGGTGCTCAGCTGGTTGTGTGATAGGGCAAGCCTGCAGTAAGTGGTTAGCAAGGTGGGTAGCTACGGGAGTCGTGGGGTGAGCATACCTCTCTATGTCGTGCTTTATGATGTCTATACCCTCGTCAGACAAACGGCATATGCCAGGATTTGTCATTGCTGGTTAGTGCGTCCAGGAATCTCACAAATTGAAGAACTAGTTCTTCATCGGGCTGACAGGAAGCTTCTCCTTGAAGCGATCAATCTTGTTAAGGAACAGGACGATCGACATCTTGACAAACCACCGCGAGTTGCAAAAGGAGTCGAAATGGGTGAGCGCGTCCTGCATACGGTTCACCGTTTCATCTTCGAACAGCCGCTGGTCGTACTCGGAGATGGCGACCAGAGCAGAATCGTCGTGACATTTTCGAAGCGTTGGCTACTTTTTCCTCAGGACTTACATGGTTGTCGGAGTAAACCATGTTAATGTTCTTGTCTTCCCTTTGACCTAATTCATGTCAGCTTGAGTACACTCGGTTGGGAAACGCTACGTTAGCTACTTACTCTGACCAGCACCAGCAACTCCGACCGGCACGTTGAGATTGTTGACAATTGACAAAGTACTGTCCGGAAGTTTACTTGCCCTGCCACTGATAATACGTCTTCTGATCAGGGCAAGTCAAGGGTGCGACGTCTCCCGGATATGTCTCCAGAGGAATGGTCATACCCTCGGTTCCTGTATGAGCGTCAGACTGGCTGTGCGCAAGTGAAAAGTTCCCTAAACGACTTACCAAGATAGCTGTAGTTAAGGAGCGGCCGGCACCAAAATCAACCAGGCCAGAGGCCAAGGCAGGGCGGACTCTTGTCTTTTCCCCCGTTGGTGAGAGTAATCTTTTGGGTGGCCATTGTGAATGTAGGAAAGGGGGAACGGTGGTGAAAGAGGTCGGGCATCTCTGAAAGCAGTCTCCGTCACATATTCTAGGTGGACGGCCTTCTTGGCCATGGAGGCGTGATGGTGATGGTGATGGTGGTGTCTGCGGTCGTGGTTGGCACCAACGGCCGAGCGAGATGCTGTTTGATTCTCTCATCGAGCTTCACCGCCCATGCGAAATGCTGAAGCGGGTGCTCTAGCGCGGCGAACAAGACCAGGAACTGAACGACGCCGTTCATGGTGGGTGGGTGCGAGCGACAGTGAGCGTGGAAAGTTTTTGGAAGGATTGTTTGAGAGAGCTTCGCAGCCAAGCGGCCGAGAGCCAAGGCGGAAGGGGTCAGCATCTGTCGTTTTGAAACCCGCAAGTCAAGCCCGGCGCAAAGGGCAGAAGAAACAGTGTGGGAAAAAGTGAGAAGAACGGGTGGGTGGGAAGTCATGGAGAAGCGGCGCGGTGTCAAAAGCGGTGGGACAGGCGGACGGGAAGGCACGTTTCCGACCCGCGCTAGCGCGTTTGGAAGGCGTCAGTAGCACATCTTGGCGGCAAACGGGCCTGGTAGGCTGAAATGAACTTGGCGGGCTCGTTGAAGGCGCGGCTGGGTTGGGTTTGGTGTGGATTTTGCTGGGTTAACGTAGGTAGTATACATGAGATGCATGAGAGGGCCAATCACAGGAATCCAAATAATTACTTAACCAACAGGGCCTTGGTTGCATTTCGTTCTTACGTATTGCGAGAAGCCTCCTGGCTTTTTATATTTTAAGCCGTGCCGAACAAGTTTTCATTGCCTAAAATAAAAGCGCTTGTCCTTGTCCATTTGAACGCCCCTATTTTCGAATGTATCACGTTATCGGCGGCATATCCAGAAGGGAAAAGTCCACAACGCTCGCAGGAGACTAATTCGTGCTGCTATGATGAGTCTCAGTAGAAAAAAGTTGTCCTCCAGTAGACTTTTTGCTGTTTGTTCTTCCTATCCCATTACCCGACCCCTGCCTTCAGGGATAGCTAATAGCCGAAGGTAACAGCATGATGTCGAGCAAATTGAAGAGTGAAACATGTTTGATCCAAGGAGTGGGGATGTTTACGGCAGTTATAATTGCTGCCATGGGCTCGGCGGATCACCGAGGTTACAAGGGTAATACTCAAAGCGATCAAGGCTTAGGGGCGGACTCATATTCGCCGAGAGGTAGGCGAGGTAGCGGAGCCTTCCTTCACGTTTGCCTTCGGGGGATTCCCTAGCCCGTTCTACGGGCATGTGAGGCCGCCAGGTAGGAGCAAATATTATCAGGCTGGGAAAGCCAATTTACCTTGTACCCAGCAGACAGCCTGATGGGCGAGCCGCACCATGAAGCGACAGGCCTAAACGAAAGCTGTTTGAGGGCATCAACCCGTGTTGGTATCGCTATGAACGTCCTCAAAGATTCTGATAGGGTGGAAAACAACACGAGTGAAGCCGGGAAGTTTTGCTCGCTCTAGAGATGGTGCACACTATGTTTAAGATGTTATAACGATTATCAAACCAGGACGATGATTCTGACAACATCTTATTGAACCTTTTGATCATTATCTTTTCTTATCTACCTAGCTTATGGTGATTCCTGCTAGCGTGGAAACTCGGGGTTATTTGGTGTTTCCGGCTGCTTGGGAGACCGTCGACTGGACGGTGTTGCAATGGGGACCCTCGTATCCAGCTCATCGTGTCCTACATGTAGCAGTTGGAAGCAGTGTCACCAGTATGTGCTGTGGCCATGTGCTTAGGCTTAGCGCAGATGCCTGCGCTTGCTGGCCCACCCCAGCTTTCCATCCCCCTCAATGTCTTCTCTATTATGTCCATTGTACTTCCTGCAGAACGAGCGTACTGTTTGGCTGGGACGCCAGGCATGACTTTCTGTATTCGTGCTTGGGTTCGCTCTGCATGCCGCTGATGGCAGGAGTTCCTGAATCCGTCCGTTCTTGGGTTCGCTCTGTAGTCCGCTGTTGGCATGAATTTCTGTGCCACTTCTTGGGTTCGCTCTGCACTTCCGCGGTGAGCCAGAATTTATGAATATATTCCTGGGTTCGCTCTGCACTCCGCTGTTGCATGGATCCCTGCTTCGAAACTTGGGTTCGCTCTGCACGTCCGCCGATGGCCAGAATTTCTGACTCCAATCTTGGGTTCGCTCTGCACTCCGCTGTCTCGATGCCTGATATCCATCATAGTGCAGTCAATTGCTTCCTCCTCGTCAAGGTTCGGTAGCCAGGAAACCAGGAGGAGCGGAAGCGAAGGGAGCTGGGGCGCCGGGGAAATGGCAAATGTGAAGCCAGGAAGATCGTCCGGCGGGCGATCACGACCTCGCTAGTCCCGCTGGTATGCTGGGGTTGGAGAGCTAGGCATCTTGTACAGCTCTTTGCCCGTGGAGTCCCTAGTCTGCTTGGTGATCGGAGTTCGCAAGGACGGCGTCAAGCCCTACATGTCACCCTTGCAAGGCTCGACGAACCTGCGCCAAGAGTTGGTATAGACCAGGTGCCTGATTTGGGCGTAGACATCATGGAAGATGTCCTGGTTAAATCCTTCAGGCACCGTCTCGGCATTGTGCCCATCGTCATTTCAGTATGTGGACCCTCTCCATCAGTGGCATTGGGTAAAGGCGGTCGATGATCGATGGCGGAATCCCCCCTTCTTGAGATGTTGTTGTCCGTCGAGCCCGAGGAGTAACTCGCTGTTCCGGTAGTTGTCGAGTTCCTCGTAATCACAAATGTGATCATAGGATAGAATGCCAGTAGTGAGCAAATCGCGGTCGAAGTGGATGAGCAGGGCAATGTCGTGCTCGCTGGGAGAGTCTCATGTAAATGACCGGTACAACTGTCTCGAACGGAGGAGTTTGTCGACTTGCAAAACCTCGGCGGTAATAGGGCTCTATCTCGAAGGAAGGTAAGCTTTGGGAAGAAGTGATAGTGTGAAACCGCTGAAGGCGCATCGCCGCTGGGCAGATATGAACGTACCTCAAGCCCGGAGACCGCAGCCAATGATGGCAATCTTCTTGTCGCTGTGATCTTTAGGAGGTGAAGGAGCCATCCAGCGCATCTCAGATGTACGGTCGAAGATGGCGCAGGCCAGTTCCTGGGTCATCCCGAAAGGGCGGCTGAGTGGAGCTGGTGTAGGCGATGGCTTTGGCGCCGACTGGGTCCTCGTTGATTTCAAGGACACAAGCCTCCTTGCAAAGAGCCTGACAGCCGCGACAAGTGCAGCCGGGGAGGTTGTTGGTCGTAATGTGTCCTCTTCACCGCGGTGAGCCGAAGCCAGTGACTTCTCGGTGCCGGCGCAAACCCGAAAGGTATAGGTGCTTAACTCTCTAAAGACTGGAAAAAGCGGCGAAGAAAAGAAGACGTTGCGTGCAATCTCGCAAAAGTAGGTTATGGAGAGGAGAAAGTTGGAGGGGCGGAGGAGGTTTGTCTGCGCAGGCGGCGCGCTAGCGCTTGCCCACATGATAAGGAGAGCCATCGTGGCACAAAAGCGGCTGCAGGCCTCGCTGCTAGACACTATAGCAGCGACTGTTCCTCTCTGAGAGTTTTTTAGGTGGTAGATCAGCGCTGCGCTTTCGAGCCTTACAGGCGAAGACGATAGTAGTTATTGTCATGGCAATAGTTACAACGTTACAGACTATAACGATAATCAAAACTGCTGTCGCGGATATCATGATGAAGTCGCTAGAGGTACAGCTGCTGTGGCTCTCGAAGTTGTGCAAGTAAATGTGGAAGTAGCTTGAATTTTCAAGAAGGGGAACTCGGTGTCCTATTTATGTCTGCTGGTTGGGCAAATGTTGAATCTGGTTGTATGGTACCGAGATGTGTCTTTTGGCACTGATGTAACAGACCCATCCAAGAAGAGCCCAACCGTTCTCCGCCATCAACATGCGACCAGCATCTCTCGATCCTCCCTTTCCAAACCAGCCCGGCTTGTCCTCCCAATGACTCGATTCTAACAGCCACCTTCCACAGAAGATCTATCCACATTTCCCAAACACTAGTGTCTGCCTGAAAGGTTACTGTGCTTCTCACCATCCTTCTTGTACTTCTTGGTGAGCGGCTTGAAGAGTCCAAAGGCATTGGTGAGAAAGCCTTTCTTAACGGAAGAGAAACTGGATGTCTTTGCGAGGATCCTCGGTGTTTAGGCTCGGCTATTTCAAGCAGTCGACGGTCGTGTCTCATTGAGAGAAAGGCGCAAAGTGAGTTTACTGTGCTATAACGAGCCGCGGCTCTGTGGAAGCTGACTAGACCTGGTCAGCTTCTGTTCTTGGTACACCTAGTAGACTGTCCATGGTAAGGAAGATCAGGAAGAGAACATACCGGTCGTGGATGCATGGTCGCTCCATTCTGAGAAGACCTACTCTCTTCAGACCTCTCCTTGGAAAGTTTGAAGCTCAAACTTCAGATTGTCGCCGGATTTTGAGCGCTCAGGCTTGATCGGTAGTCGCAAGCGTCGTTCCCGCGTTGTCCAGCCAGTGTCGTCATCTGTTTCGGACAAAGCCGCCTTGACAGCTGTACATGCTCGACGTCGCTTGCCGATGTTTTCTCATGGCTTCAGAATCTTTGGACAGGCTCGGCTGAATGTGCGAGATCTTCAACTATTTCGGTCCGTTAGTTTTCATTGACAGGACGGGATCGGGGTAGGAAATACCGGTGCAGAATGCGTTCGCAAGGATGTCGTCCACACGCTGAGTGAGAGCCGTCCGGCAACGCTGCCAAGGTGTTCGACTGGCTCGGGAGGCCATCCAGCACAGAGGCCAGGACGCGCTCATTGGAGCTCCGCACAATCGGTGTCCACGGGCTCGGCCAGCCGCCAACCATCATATGTTGTCATCTGGTTGGAGATGCTGCGCAGAATTACCTTAGTGCGATCGTCGAGACCGCCAACCGCTGCCGCCGTACGTTGTCATCTGGTTTGGGATGTTCCGCAACATTACGGTGGTGCGAACATCAAGGCCCGCCAGGGGCCGCCGACTGTAGTAGTCGTACTTCCCTGGCCTCGGTTTGCGGTCGGGCTCCGGCTAGAGCACATTTTCTCGAATTGGGATGCCATCGGCGCATAGCCACCGGCGGATGAGTGGTTGGATAAGACTGTGAGCTTGTTAGCGGCTGTGTCTGGTGGTAGTGGAAAAAATGGCCGAGCCAGTGGGGACCCACATAAAGAATGTTGCCGACGGCCCCTAGATTCGCGGGTGCTTGGAGGTGACGAGGATGAAGGATGTTTGGTTTGATGAAGGATGTTTGGTTTGAGCTGGAAGGAGATCTGCCTTTTATAAGGAGGGATGGCTGTGGGCAGTTGCGATAGCTGACATGGTGCTGCGAGCTGGTCTTGCGCCCTCGGCGGGTTGGAGCTGCCATGTTTAGAGGAGCATCTCTTGCGCCCTTGCGATTCCAGGTGGCAGTACCGCCCCGAGCAGCGGGCCAGCCTTTCCTGTGTTCTTCCCAGCAGCCTGTAGAGAGAAATCACAGCTGGTGATTCGTGCAATTACGCCCTTACGTGGTTGGATGCTTCACTTCAGCGCATCTCCAAGCCAGTTCAATTTCAAAATTGTAGTGAGCAAAGATCATGAGCCAGCTCATGAGATGGTAATGCCTATAGGCTGGGGCTCCCGGGCGTCAGGACAAGGGCCGAAGCTGGCGGCAACAAGGTAACAGGGAGGAGGGCATTTCAAATCTTCCTCAAGATCCCGGACAAGCCGAGAAGCTCAATGAAAAGATGAAAAAGATGAAGGTCGCGTCAGCCCGAAACAGTGCAATACGAGCGACACAGTGCGGGTTGACCGGCATGTGAAAAACACAGCGGCCAACCAGCAAAGTCCCAAAAACTGGTTGATCACGTTGAGGGCCCCCGTAGGGGCCCATTCAGCGATTAAACTGAATACACCCTTCGGGTACCTATCATCCCAGCCAAATGGCAAGGAGACGGTGGAGGGGAAAAAGGGACGTGGGGGGAGGGCGTTTATATAGATATTGGGGTGGTCCGTGCCAGGCTGTGAGGGCCTCTAAGCGAGGTCACGAGGAGGCTTTAGAAGCATCTGGCTGGCCGTAGAATGTCGTGGAATGGCTGAGCCGTTGGGGAGGATTGCGTGCAGGGTGACTAGCGGCTGGCAGCCTGCTTTCACTGAAGGATCGGCGAGCACGCAGGGGTTGGGCCATGTAGGACAGGCGAGGGCCTCTCCCAGGGCAACAATCGCCGGCACGAGAGATCCAACCTTCCGTCTTGATTGATAGGTATGCTGCTCTGCCACTTGAGTTGCAAGGATGCTTGTATTTTCCCAGCCTGCTCCTCCAGAGTGGGAGGTGCGCAGTCGAGCAGACAACTGCCACGACCAACACTGGACACTTTCACGCCTTTTTCAAGCAACTCGAATACGGAACAGAAACCCTCGACAGCTGCTAGAGCGGAACTTCATCAGTGACAGGGGAGACAACACAAGAAGCCTACAACGGCAGCCACACATTCCACGATCAGCTGGCCCATGTGGCATCGTTGGCTGCGCGCAACCATCTCTGAGACGGCAGTTGGCAGATCAAAGGATAAGCGAGAGACCTTCGCCTGGAATCCACGATTGACAGCGCTCCAGCGTTTTCGCGATTCAGAAATCCACTTGTCCCTGTTACTACCCAAGCACATGGCTTCGAGGAGCTAACACTCTTTCAAGGAAATACTCCCCGCACAACCTCGACCATCGAAGCTACCCTGTGGACAGTCATCGACAACCGCATCCAGAGCGCCCTTCTTTGCTCCTTTCTAAACAACCTGACACCCAGATTTTCGGAGGCGTTTCTCAGCTCTGCACATCGAGGAAACGAGTGCACAACAACGGACACTTGGGGAAAACCCCTACTTGATCATTGACTCTGGCTGTGAGTGAATGAGAGCTCCAACGCACGAGGCGACACGGCATTTTCCCGGTTTATCGGCCGCTGGAAAAGCGCAGACGGTACAGTCTCCCTTTAGGACCTTGCAAAATGACAGACCCTGCCTGGGGTCGCTGACCATGTTCGACCCTGTCCTATATTACCTTGCTGGAGAACATCAGTTAAGCTTTTCCTCAATCTGTGCGTTGATTTCCGCTGACATGAGTGGTAGCTCGGCCGTCTTTCGATCTACCATCTCCCACTTCAACCTACCGACGAAAGCAAACAACAACAATCGCAGCACCAAACTGACATACCACCATGTCAACGTTGACAATTCCGACAATTCCCTACGAGCATACACGAAGAGCTTGCGACGAGGGTCGAGTGAGCAACACAGCCCGATGCCTAAAAACGGCGACTGGAGGTATATACACGGGCGGCTAAGGAGGCCCTACCGAGGGAATAACACCAGCATGAAGCGGAGCAGGGATTGATATGCAGCAGAGCGGAGCCTGTTCAGCCAATGAAGCTAGCTCTCAGGGACTTAAAGAGGAGAATCGACCCCGACAAGCTATCTTTCTCACAAAATGCAAAAATTACAGCGCCTCAGGTCAGGCATAAAGAACAAAAACACATTCAAAGTCAAGCGACACCCTTTCATTGCAGTCTACCAAAATCCAAGACAAAGAAAATCCGAAACAATAGATCTATCCCAAAACACCTAAATTAAACAAAGGAAACCGCAGCCGCACGCAAGGAGCCAGCCCTACGCGCCACACCACCACAGACAGCCCACAGCATCGCAGTAGCCAGCAATCCTCCTCTCCTACACCCGTCCACCAGCACAGCACCAAAACACGCTCCCCCAACCCGCTAGCATCTCCGCCCACCCCTTCCCTGTCTCCCCCTCCCCGTCCTTCACAACCACCGGATCCCCCAACGGCACCTCTACCATCTCCGCCTCTTGCTGCTCCGGCTGCTCCACGACGACGTCTTCGAGCTCCTCGCTCGTTAGGCTCCTATAAAGCGTGCATGTCGGACAGACACAGTTGGAGGTACAGCCGAACTTGCTGCGCACCCTGTTGAGCGTGGCGAGGAGCTCGGCCGTGTGCTCGGAGATTATGGGGACTTGGGTATCTTCTTCCCAGGCGATGTAGTCGTCGTATTCAATTGCTTGGGCGCGGGTGGGGGGCGTGCTGGTGATGGTGGTGGTGGGCTTGGCCGTGGAGCTTGTGGGCTCAGCTGTCGGGTTTGTGGGTGCGAGTGCGGTGGGTGTGGTTGGTGGGGTTGGCATTGGTTGGGTGGACATGGTGTCTTGGGTTGTTTCGGGGGTAGTGGTAGCCATATTGACTTGAATAGGTGTAGTGGGAATTTTGCAGATTTGATTGCTTTGTAGGTGGTTAGCAGAAAAGACTTCGTTGTGTTGAAAATCTAAGAGCATAGAAGCTCTTATCTCTTTCGCTGGCGATTTGGAGAAGAAATCGTCCGTGGTTTATACTTTGGCAGCTGCAATTTGGTGTTGTTTACTTACAATGTTGCATGGCGGTAACAATGCATGGCCTGAAGCTGACCCTCAAAGTGTACGCAGTAGTCCGCTCTTTCAACCTCAGGTCTGAACAATGTTTTCAGGTTGAGACAATGCGAGAAAGCACGAGAATTGTCTTTGGTAAGGCAAACGTCGTAGACAAAGACTGGAACCTAAACCGCACTTTCGCGGTGAAAGAGCTATAGACTGGAACATTGAATCATGGTAACAAACTTTATTTTATAGGCCTTGAGAGTAGAGACAGCAAACTCGCCAAGCACAAATTATCCTATTTCTCACATCCCAATCATATCACGACAGCGTATATCTTTGATTTCCTTCCTTACCTCCCGGCACAAGGCCAGAAAGACAATGAAAGAGAAACATTCTTTTCCCCAGACAAGGCATCTGGAACCCACCCACCCAGGCTTACGCAAGAGCAGCCCTGACTCACTTCACGGACCGGTCCTATTAGAGAAGTTAGCAGTATTCTTCTTTTGAGGAACAACATTCCCCGTTCCGGCCGGCGGTAGTGCGGGCGAGGCGTGAGTAGGTGTGCAAAGGCGTTTAGCTGTTACAGGCAACGAGCAGCGAGCTCACAGCTGCAGCACGCGTGTTTCCCTCACCGGTGCTACCGGCGCAGCAAAAACCGTCACTCTGCCCCATCTCCCTCTATCCGCCCCGCCATTATCCGCCCAGACATCCATCACTCCGGGCCTAGCAACCAACGCACCAAATCGGCGGGTTGCTGGCGCGGCAAACCTACCTTGTCCAGCTCTCCCTTGCTTTTCTCCCTCTTCGCTTTCTTCGCCGCGGCCTTCTTCGCCTTCTTGTTGGCCTCAAGCTTCTTCTTCGCTCTCTTGGCCTTCCCCTTCTTCTGCTGGTTCTCGACGTACGCAATGCGCATGGCTTTGCGCACCTTGCATGTCGTGCATGTGCAGGTGGGGAGCGGTATGCTGCGGGCCGCGAAGAGGGATGCGGTTGCGAGGGACGCGGTGTGTGTGCAGGTTTGGGTGTTGAGGGTCGCCATTGCGGTTCTCGGGGATGTTGTGGGGTGAAACGATAGACGGGGAGGAAAGCGTTTTGTAGGTTGTGTATTGGGGCGTTGTTGGGAGACAATGCGCGTTTTTTCTGGTTGCCTTGTTTGCCCGGTTGGCGCCGGTTTGTGTTGCTGCGGGAGCAGCTGCTTGTGTCCTAGATGTGAAAGATATGTCAGTAAAGAATCCTGCGTCGTGTCAGTTTGGTTCTCCCGTGGCGGAAACAACGTTGTGTGAAGATAGTCAAGAACAATATACTCGTCTTTTGTGCTCACCTTTAACCGCTCCTATTATTGACTTCATACCCTTGCATCAATCGCTATTGGTTCCTAAGTCAAGTCAGTAAGATGGATGAAGCTTGAAGTGACACGGGAAATACTTGAATCGTCTTCGATTCCAGCCAAAATCTCGTCGCTCTCAGCTCAACTCCGTTGGGTCTCAAAACATTAAGAAAAGCATGGCAATTAATGACGTAAATGTCAGTTACATTTATCGTCGGCTATTCATGATTCTTTAGTTTCTTTTTTTGGTGAGCTCCGAAAGGTAGTAGATCTGTCTACCATACCTTCACAGGGCTCGTTTGTTGCCGCTAGGCATTTTGGTGTGGGGGGTCCAGAGGTCGGTAGTGTGGATGAAGCCCAACCTGTCCAGTGCGCTGTCCAGGTTGCTAGCAGTCACAGCAGAAGCTATTTCTTGGTTTTGGCGAGTTGCTCGAAGCTCAACTCCGCAGAATTGCCAGGCTACCTCTTCGGGTCCCTGCCTTGCATTTCTCCTCCCTCCATGGTCTCATCTTCGGCTTCGGCCTCCTCCCAGTGATGCTGGAGGGCGACCTCCATTGCCACCTTCTCGGACTCGGCCTCCTCCCATTCCTGATGGAAGTCGTCTTCCCAATCTCTTAGATCATCGTCCCAGTTCTCTGTGTTCACGTACTTGCCGCGATGAAGAGAGTTGCTCCCCTTCTTGGAAATCTTTGTGGTTGAAGTCGCTCTGGAAGGGCTCTGCTTCGTATTGCCCATTTCTGCGCTCGAAGTTGCTTGATGGTCTCGAAGTCTGAGGGTTTTGTGATCGGAGTTACTCAGCGGATTCGAACTACTTAGTGTTGTTGTAGCCTAAAGTTGCTAAATGTAGATGCTATCCGACGAAACTGTGTGCTGACGAAACTGTGTGCCGAGATCTTTTGGGTATCTGCTTGCTTTTATGTAGGTTGTGTCCTGCTTCGAGAAAGTCCTGTCGTGTTACAAGTCTCGGCACCGTGTCCTTTGATTGCGAACAATGCCGGTCATTGTTAACGCGCCCCTTATATTTGCGCTCTTTGTGTAAGAATGCCGAGCCATTGTATATCCCAAAGGAAATGTATTCGGGTACGAAAAATATTTGCAGAGCATTGCTTGGAGTTGGCCGCACTTGCCTGTCTCGAAAAGGGTTAGGTACTTCTACACGGCGCGTTTCGTCGAAAGACACTGAAAAACTAGTGAGCTTTATGATAAAGACAATGGGGAGAGAACAATCCCTATCTGGAACATGTCCTGCGTATCGGCCGGGTTAAGTTCGAAGCCAGACGCTCCACATACTTAATCAACAGATCCGATGCGGAACGATCCAATGTTGTTCCAGGCAAATGCTTTGCAGGAATGTAGCCGATAGTAGCTGTTGGAAAGCATTTTGAGCAAATTCGGTATTGGAGGAGGGATGGCCGACGGATACTAGACGAGCGGAACCAGTGTGTAGGGTAGTGCGTCCTGTGTCTCTATGTAAAGTTGTGTCAGCTTTGACTTTCTCAAATGAACATAACTCGGCCACCGGTATCTAGCATGTCCTGGAATAGATGGCATCCTTATACCTCCCGGCAACAAGGAAGGTCGATAAAGGCTTGAGAAATATCTCCGGTACAGCCCTGAGAGCCCACAACTCAACCAGCCACCACACAGCGCCCTCTCATAAGCTCATGTACCTGACAAACGGCTGCAAGGCGTCGGAAGACCCAGTTCGACCTCAACTAGCGTCATCTCTAAACGGCTTCGCAACAAGGAGGAGGGGAAGCGGTATGAGGCGGGCTGTGGCTTGAGCGTGAGAGTAGATGCGTGCGGGAGAGGGCGAAGTGGAAAGGGGTGGAGAGGGTAGAGTGATCGAGAGCGTATGAAGAAGCCCGTCTGCGAGAGATACGGGCACCTGCGCAATATCAGCCGCGCCGTCGCGCGCTTGCTGGAGTGCTGGCGGAGTTGGAGCAGGAAGACGACGGTCCGTGTCTGGAGGTCAGGTGGGTGTGAGCGTGCGAGCCGAATGACAAAGACGATGGAACAAGATGGAAATTGAAACACTGTGGAGTGGTCGTGCGTGGGGTTTGAGGCGCCAACAAAGACGCGTCGGCGGAGGAGTTTGGACGCCAGCAGGAGCTGAGAAAGCAGGTGGAGGAGGCGGCGGAGGCGGCGAAGCCCCGTCAAGCGAAGGATGCCGAGTTCAAACCGAGCATAGTGTCCAATGAGCAAATCCATTTTCCTAACCCGTAAGCATCTGAAGCGCCGGGTGTATTGAAAGTTGCTGTGGGCGCGTTGTTGGCTGGAGAGGCGGCGCCGCGCTGGAAGGCGGGGGAGAAAGCTGTCGATGCGGTCTGCGATAAGCCGCGATCCTGCGCGCTTTTGTGAGGGGCTGTTTGTCCGAGTGTGATAGCGGCATCCTTCAAAAGCTTGTTGGGCTTCTGTTGCCGCCTGCATGGGCGTTCGTGGTCGTTCTTTGTGGCTGGCGTGGTGTCTGCGATGGCGCCGGCTTGACGTGCGTAGCCACTGGTCCCTCCCTGAGCGTCAAGTTTTTGCCCACTCTCCAACGGTTGTTGGCAGGACCATCCACTGGCCGGAATGAAGACTTTGGATGGAGAACGTTGTTCTTGTTGGGTCAAACCGTCAAAAATGTGAGGTCTTCAGTCAGTGTTCGAGATTGCGCAATGTGTCGGGTCGGTGGCTTCCAAGGCATAAGTGCCATGCTCTTGAGTTCAAGAGAAAGCCATTCGGTCTTCTTTATCCCCTCGTCTAACCTGTTAAAGCCAGTTTACTCTGCAGAATGGTCTCGGAAGGTCGTTGTGACTGCTGGAGGATCATGGACGAGAGAAAATGCCATTGGATCGGGGGTACATGTACTTAATCTCGGACATGCTCTGTACGTAGCTCTGCTGTGCCAGCTCGCTACTGTTGCCATTGTCCGGAAGAATTATAGGTTGGTTGCACTATTGCCGGCTGGAGAGTGGGCATCAAAATATGAACAAGGCCTTTGACAGTGAGCGCTTGGTGTCAAGACGCGGCGTGAAACGAGGAAAGACTTCCCGGCTACGTATCCGCCCTACCCTTTACCCAAGTATAAAAACCCAATTAGCGGGAATAGCTTTTGTCTTCGGACACTGTCTTCGGACACTTGGTCAAACTAAAACGATACAGAGAAGACCAGCATGGCCCCTGCACTAAGGATGACACGCGTTAGGTCAAAGAGATTACACCCGTTTTTTTTGGAAACTGTTCTTTTTGGCTGGTTGGGTGTTCGAATCTCGCCCTGGTCACTACTTGCTTTGCTACTCTATGGCTGCTTGGTCATGACCATAACGCAGTGACGTGCACCTCCACACCACGTCGTTGCTCTTTCAGTTGAGCTTGGCCTCACCGCTGAGTGCCCCATGTAATTAGATCCCGAGGCGGTACCTGCAGCCTTTGTGAACTTTTGGTGAGGGTCGACTTCGCACGACAGCGACTCGACGCGCTCCACGCCCTCTACGCCCTTCCCAACCCACGACTCTAGCACCAGCACGAGCAACAGCACAAGCTTTGTCGATTGGGACCATCTTCCTCACGAGCATTCAATGATGCACAAGGAAGAAGGCACTTGGGCATACCAAGGCCAGCCGCTCATTCATTTACCCCGCCTCTGGCCACAAAATATCACTTCGAAGCTCTCTGGAAGCACACCAGCAGCACAACAGTCACTCGGGATCCGTAAAAGTATTCCACCACAGCCGATATCGAGCACCACGCGCTTAGGGAACATTGATTTGACTTCATGGTTGACTACTTTGATATGCCACTTCACTGAGTGGCTGACGCGATGCCCACCCCGTCCTTTCGGCTGATGCACTTCTTTCGATCCCAATGCGCGGCATTCTTCTAAGCACTTGGCTTACAAAACCGAGGAGGCGTGCCTTGCGACATCCTGTGGCGGAAAATAAAGATAGCTAGCAAAGACGGAGGGTCTCGGGATGAGTACAGTAACTTGTTTGCTGGTGATCGCAAACAAGCCGATCAAGCTAGACAGGACAATCTTTGGAGTTTCAGCAGAGTTTGGACAGACGTGTTTGCTTTGACGATATGAAAGATGGTGCGCGAAACCTCTCTTGGTATGATTGGAAGAGGAATGAAGACTGGCGAACGCATGGGCGGAAAAATGGGCATATGTGAAGCTGGGCGCGAGGAATTGGACGCCGCTTCCCCTCCTAAATTACTACTACCTATGGAGGTATATATGCTGCTATCTAAAAGAACACGTTTCTCTTTAAGATCCTTATTCTCTTGCAGTGGATAAACGTGTGGTGTAAGGGGTAAGGCTGTAGTGTAACAACTAACTGTAATAAGGCTGAAAAAAAGAAAGTTATCGGAGTGATCCTGGCTGACAGCATAAGTTGATAATTCCAGCACTTTCTGAAGCATATAAAGGCACTCACAAAACGTCAAAAGCCCATTATCGCAGTAGTGTTTGATTGGTCTCTACGCAGCTGTATTAGAAACAAAGCAAGCATGTTCCAGAACTAGTCAGAGTCTCAGAGCCGTGCCAAATACATCCGCTTTTTAATCAAGCCATTCTCTCCGCAAATAAGCCAACTCAGGCAAACAAAGACTTATCGAAGAGATTGGCAGACTCAGTGAGCACACCTACCGGCCACAACTCATCCTCATGACACCAGAGGGTCTTCAAGCATCTTCAGCCTGCAGACCTCCACACGAAGGCTTACGACGCAACTCCTTGTCGACTCTCTCAGCCTCGAAGAAGTACTCATCCGGGATGTTGCCGTAGACTGTGTTGTCGTTCTCGTAGTTGGTCTCGTCGACCGCCTCATGGACGGCTTCATCGACCTCGACGGCGGGCTCGTCGACATCACCGGTGTGCTCTTCGACTACCTCATGGGCAGCTTCGGCAACCGCGACGGCAGGCGCGTCGTCTGCCTCAGTGAGGGCCTCGTTGGTGGCTTCGTTGTTAGCTTCGTCGGCCTGAACGTCGACCTCATCTTCAACCTCATGGGTGCCTTCATCGGGCTGAACGTCATCCTCGTCATCAGCCTCATGGGCGCTCCCGTCGCCTTGGTCGTCAGACTCGTCGTCAGCCTCGTAGAAACCCTCGTCAGACTGAACGCCGGCCTCATCGTTGCTGGAAGCGACTTCTTGGGCCTGTGTGGCGGGAGCCTGCGCATGGGGGTGAGTGCCTTGCGGCACGGAAGAAGCGGAAGTGGTGCTGCCGTCCGAGGAAGTAGGCGGGCTGGTCAGGGGAGTGCTGTAGATGGAGCCGTTGACGGTGCTCGTGCTGTTGATGTCGGAGCTGTAGACGGAGTCGTCGATCGCGCTGGAACTATCATCGTTGTCGCTGCTGGCTCCGTCGTTGACGGCACCGGCGGCGTTGTTGTTGCGGCCGTCGAAACCGATGACTTCTAGGTTCGCAAGGCTCACCCTGCCACCTATGGCGCTGCCTCTGTCGTCTTGGTCACTGCCGCCACTATCACTGCCGTTGACGGCGCCCATAGCATCACGGGGGAGGAAAGCAGTCGTGGTCTTCGTGGACGTATACATATGACTAGGAACGCTATTCTCGGTGTGATCTGAGACGGTGATGGTGCAGCTGGACTGTAGCTTGCCACAAAGGTAAAGTACGTTGTTGCGGGGCTCGCCGCTGCTAGCGTCGTTCTCGTTGAGGTCGACGTCGGTCTCACGTCTAATGAATTCAGTGCCAAAGGACTGCAAAAGCTCCTCAGCCATTCTGAGGTTGTGTTCCTTAAGGTTTCCCAATACCCGGATACGGCAGGCAAAGTGGGGAGGAACTTCCTCAGAGTCGAGCGTGGTGTGAGCGCTGACGGACCGGCGCTATGTGATTTAATCAGCTTATCAAGGCTACAATCAGGGAAACGGGGAAGGAGAAGGCGACTTACAGGCTGATCCATGGTGTCGGTGTCTATGGGTCTGCAAAAGAGGTCGATGACTAGTCCGCGGGCGTCGGCAATTGCGTCAGCAGGGCAGGCTGCGTCTCGCTCAAAGGGTCACCGCCGATACGCCGACCAGGATGCTTCTCGGAAGAGTATTGACGGCGGTTGCTTGCGGCTTTGTCGTCTTCTGCGCAGTGGACAGGTGGAACTGGCGACCAGCTGCGGAGCGCTGATGCTTGGTGCAGGAATTTTGCGAAGGGAAAATACCTTGTGTGGCCTTGAGGGGGGAAGGCGGCGCCCTTGTTGCCGTGACAGCACTACTGCAATTGGTTTAGTTGCCAAGGAGAGCGTTGCCTCACAATTTCACGATTGCTTGCGCCTCTTGAAGCGCCTTCGAGCTTGAACTTAAGGGGAATTTTAATGATGCATTCGCTGTTGGTTTCTGGCAAGGAAGTCCCAGAGCCCAAGACCATAATGATCCCCTGTTCGCATACCTAGTCCGCTACGCAATGCTAACATCTCATGCGAAGCTAGTTCTGTCGGCTATGAGTATAAATATTTTAGGCCGACTTCTATTTCAAATGACAATTATCGCACCTCACACCCCCTGCCATTATGCTTCGTCTCTCACATCTACGATATACGCCGTAGCCCTTCTTTCCTGCTTCAAGATTGATGTGCACGCCCTCTTGCCATAGCGCCCTATCACAGTTGTGTAACAGCCCGAGTTCACATTCCCCAGTCATGGCCGTTGGCATACGAACATGTCAATGCGACACCATTGCGCAAGGATCACGAGCTCAATCATCATACAGGACGTATACCAGGCGAAATCAACTGCGTCTGCAAGAACAGATTGTTGTGACTGACTTCAACCCCCATCAACTTTAAGGAGCGTCCTGCCTTCGACATTTCCAATATGTCGCTCTTTACAGAAAACCCTCTCGTTGCCGCGCAGTACTACGACCTTGTTTACCGCCTCGTCCCAGACGGGTACCCTACCGTCGCTACTCTCTGCCGCATACGAGGATGTGGACATCCCCGTTGTAGTGGATGGTCTGTCGTCCGAAGACATCTTCGACAGTTATGTTGTCCGTGAACAGTAAGCGCTCCTGATAATGCTGATCTTCAAGGTATGATGCTAATAATAATCACTAGGATGTTCACCGACTTCATCGCAGCCACATCGAATCCCTTGTCTTGTCTTCGCTATGTTAGCCAGAGGCCTGCCATTCGTCCAAGCAGTATGTAACCCAATTCCATCCTGCGGTCGTATACGGTTTCAAGAAGACGTCTGTTTCTCATCCTCGGTGCGCGGGTGCGGCGCACAGGACGTCGACGCTGCCCGCTGGGTCGCGGCACAGCGGCCGTCGTGCCACCAGCGAGTGTTATGGCCGTCGTGCCTTCTGACAGCGCTCTGGCACCCCAGCCACCAACTGCTGTTTGATAGTATCCTCAAAAGCCTAGAATTGGTACACTTTGGGTTGTTGTTGCTTTCGGAATTGCACAAGGGCCAGCGCGAGGCTTTGGCTGATAGTCTGGGCTAAGAGGAAGGCCTTGTCACCTTGTGTGACGGAGCGGAACATGGAGGGCGGGAGCGCTGTTGGCATGTTGTAATTTGTGTATGAACTGATCATTACATGTCAATGAGGAAGGCTGGGAAGATTTCCTGTGCTGCAAACACGATTTGAGCTTAGAAATGTATGGCTCTGTGATTATGCCTAATTTTTGGAGGTCCCCGCCATGTTACTACCAGAGGGCGAATGAATTGGCGCTAGAGTACCATATTCAAGCCCAATCAAGCTTCACTCGTTATCAAAGAGCCCAGGAGGACCCATTGAAGAAGATTCAATTCAAGCAGCAGCAGAAGAGAGCCTATCTAGCCCGTAGGCCCGCAGCCACCACCGCACCCATCCAACCAACCATTGTGCAGTGAAGGCGCTCAAGAAGAAGCGCCCGTCTCGCCACCCTTGCCGCCCTGCTCAGCCTCGTCGCGCTTCGCCTTCTTGGCCGCCTCAGCCTGGCGCTTGCGCAGGCGCTCCATCTGGACCTTGTAGGGTTCGTGGATATAGCGGTAGTTGATGATACGGGGGCAGCCGTCACGGTCGTGCTCGAGGAGGACGCAGTTGCGGCAGAAGAACGCGTCGTTGGCAGCGCCCTGGGAAGCGTGGAATGTTAGTAAGGTGTTGTTGTGTAGGAAAAGGGGTGAGGGGGGCTTACGTCGTGCTGGCAGATCATGCACTTCTGCTGCTCAGACTCGTAGGCACAGTCGTTACAGACGCGCGCCTTGGACGAGGGGCTCACGAAGCTGTCACAGCTTAAACAGCGTCCGTCGCATTTGTCGCAGAGCTTGCCAGCCTGGATGCCTTGCACCCGACCGCAAAGAACGAAATCATGGCTGGCTTGAGGTCAATGTAGAGTTGAACGGCAGAGGGGCGTGGGGAAGCTTACCGGCGGTGGGTGGCCATGGTTGCGGATGTTGGAGCAGAAGAGTGGTGTTTGATACGGATGAAGGTGACGACGGCGGCTGTGGGCGGCTGGAAGGCTGCAGGAGTGGTTGAGCTGGTCGTCGAAAGCTGAAGGAGGATGGAGGGTCTGGGGAGGAGGGGTTTATATTGGCTAGTGAGAGGGCCGGTACGTCATAGGGCTATGTTAGTGAAAGTTCAATTGTGTTGTCCTGCTTGAAATTAATAGGATGTGAGCGGTGAAAATGCTCATTTGCTTACTGATGTGGCAATGGGATCTATAGCAAAGGTCCGTTTGGAAGTTGTCATCGGTATTTATTCCTATAGTTTCCTACCTTCGACGGCGGCACAATGATGAGGCTCATTAGGGTGTCGTACATGAAGATCGTCGCAAGCAATTCATCAAGCCGTAGAGAGGGAAGCTGCTGAGAAGCTGAAAAGAGGCGGTTCGACCACATCTTCTACTATAAAGACCAAGCCAATATTTATCATCTTAAAGAACACTCAACTATCTGCAGTCGTTTGGCAGCATGCCGTGGTAGCGAAGGAGAAGAAAACGATGGACGAGCTCATGCCTGTGAGGCGGAAAGAACTCAAGGAACATGGAAGGCCTGGCCATATGACAATTTATTACTAGTCACAGCGGAGCCCGCAGAGGAAAACGAGAGAAGAAGTTATATATGGTAAATATTGCTAAGAACATTCAAGTCTTGTTGGCAATAGCACGCGCCGTTTTGCGTGTTCTAAAGGTCACGACTGAACATTGGTGGCGAGCGAGGAAATGGGTTTTGTTGAGCATTGAGAACAACTCTTTGACAATGGTCAAACGTACGAGGTTGTTCAGGAGCATTCTTGGGGCCTCGCGCTTATAGCTCTTGAGCAGGGCCTTGAGAAGAAGCTTTGTGGGTTGGTCATCCTACTCCACGTTCGTCTACCGTCCGACAAACACGCTAGACAGGGCAGCTTCACTGTTTCTTCAGCAGATGTTTGATGGTGCTAGCGCTTGTGGAAGCGTGGATGTGGAATTGTTTGCGTGGTCCTGCATGAGCGTTTGCTCTCTAGGATCTGGATTTTGGTTAGCAAACACTCCGACAAAGACACCACAACGAACTTCAGATTGGGGGGCGCAACGGACCTGCTTGCTTACTGTTTGTCTTGTCCTTTCTGTAGAAGCTCTCACCGTTGAACCGGCTGTTGAATCTTTCCTTGAGACAGGTACGCTTTCCACCAGAGCAGCATCCAGTCTTCCCACCTGCCCTCCGCAGACTCTACTTTTCTTACCCGTTGCAACCCTCTCGTTCCTCCCTTCATTAAGTCCGTTGTTGCATCCTAAAATGATATAAGAAAGTGCCATGGGCCGACATCGCGAGTAGGCGGGGGAGCAGCAGGCAAGTGGATGGAGTCTGGCGCTTGTCGGTTGTTCCTGAGTCCAGCGTCCTGCGTGCATGATGCCTCCGCCCAACACCTGCCCAGATCAAACCCTCGATAATCCCAAAATGTGCGTTATTCGCCTTTATGGCAAAGCTGTATGCCAGGGGAGCTGCTCAAGTCCAAAGCTCGTTGGATTACGTGTGTGAACGAGAGAGCGGTAGAGCGATCTCGCCTTCGCCGACGCTCGCAGCCTGGCGCACTGAGTGTAGTATCGAAGGATCCGAACAAGTGACCAACGGCTTTTTTAGAAAGCTGTCAACAACAGGCATTAGCTCCATTCACGAATGAACTGACGGCTGAGGACCTTACCGTGCGGTGCATGGCGTGTTGTCATCTTGAGATTTTGCGCCTGGTCCCAGCTGTGGCCTGCTGGCGCGCGACAATCGCAAGCTGAAATGGCCGCCGCTGGGAGCTACTTCTCCTGTCCCTCAGAAGTAGTGGATGTGCTCTCTGTGTCTTTCCGTTGTACTCCTCGGCCCAGATGCTTCCCTGCGCAGCTCTGTCGTCCGCGGTCCAGCGACCCAGCGACCAAGTGACATTCTTCTTCCAGATTCGCGAGCTGCCATGAATTGTCTCCTAAACTGCAGAAGCACCAAAGCGTTCCTGCTTCTTATATACCAACACGGTCGCAATCTGCCGATGTTGGAGTGCTGTGTCTAGCAAGGAGGGATTGTCGCGTGTTGCGCGCGCGGTCGGGAGAAATACCATATCGACGCGCTCTTTAGGCTGGGCTGATTCATGCGCTTGTTTTGCTCGGAAGGGCTTAGAAATGTCTCTTTCTTAAGTCAGGCGAGCCGCTTTCGAGTCTGGGCTGGTTCGCACATGTGGCCCTGGAGGCTTGCTCTGCAAAGTATCAGGGCCTGGCGTGATCTGAGAGTTGCTGAAGCGCTGGAAACCGAAGCTCAAGTAATCCCAAGGAAAGTACGGCAAAGACCTTGGTAGGCGTGATGTTGTGTTGTTTAGCTCAAATCGAGGGTCGTGCCGCCTCGTCTCCGCCGCCAACGGCTTTGGAGAGCCGGCAATGAAACGCGCGCGAGTGCGCCGAGGCGCGTCGGATCAACAAATTCATGTTGGCATAGATTGTTTCTGGAGAGCTTGGTAGGTGTCTGCCGAGGGCCCGAGGAGCTGTGTTGTAGGGCCGTGGAAATATTGCTGGGTGGAGAGGGTGCGTTTCGCTTTGACTCTGGCCGCTGTCGCGCGTTCTAGGTCAAAATTTCGGCAGCGCATTCAGTGGAGTGTAGTAATGTAGATGGAGACGTGCCACCGTTGCAGTATGAAAGCTGAGTACGAGGCTTGGGCATAGTGTTTGCGCTTTCAGGAGGTTGGGACACGGAAGAATTGGTGGGGCTCTTTAGTCGGGCGGGCAGGTGAGAGGCAGCACCGCATAACAGCAAGATGCAGCATCAGAAGCTCCACATACCATAGTTTATCCACCACAGTTGCGTGGGCTTCAAGTCCTGTCGAAGAGGCACAAATTTCTATTTTCTTCCTCAAAGTCCTGCGCAAGGCAAGAGCATCAATGAAAAAAAGTTGAAGATAGCTTGTACAGGGAGCCCGAAACAGTGCAATACGAGCCCCAGCACGAGAATCAAGAAAAAAGAAGATCCAAAAAAGCCTGCGCAAAGCGCGGGCTTCAAGTTCCAAAAAGTATTAGTCCTCACAGCCCGTCGTATAGACGTAAACTGAGCTTTAAGCGGAGCCCCTGACAAGCAGAGATGCAGTTGCTGTTGGTTAGCTTATACAATTGCGAAGCGCACAATCAAAAAGCATGTGGGGAGTGGAGGGAGACTTAGCTGCTTGGGAGTGAAGGTGAGCCGCCGTGTTGGCGCGTTGAGCTGCTGGAAAGCTCGTCGAGGTGGGCGTCAAGGCAGGAGGAGCGGGAAGAGATGAAGGACAAGAGTGGAGTGAGCAAAGAAGTAGAAGATGTAAGGTTAAAAGACAAGCAGAAGGTGAGGAGGGAGTTGAAGGAAAGAAAAGGTGAGGGTGGGAGGAGGTGGGGCGCTTTTGTGCACCAGGATTGATGACTAACCGCCGAACTATCTCAACGCTTGTCCTCTTTCGGAAGAGAAAGTTCGCTTCAGGGATTGATTCTAGGCTTGAGGACGTTAAGCTCGCTGAAGTGATGGATTCCAGGCCTTAGAGAGGGTGACAGTGAAGCAGATAGTTCGCCCGGGTCTGGCACGTTGTACCTTCAAAGTACTACGGCCAATGTAATGACCTGAAATTGGCTGAAGGCTTTCTCGGTGTGTAGTAAAATGATGTGTGGAAGCACAATACCAATTTATCTCATCCACTGCGGCTATTTCCCCCTATCCATGTAGTTTGGAAACAGAAGACACACGAATTTCTCCCGCAAGCACAGTATATACGTCGTTGTTTTAATGGCAGCGAACAATACCATCCAGCATTTTTCTGGGGTTATAAATCAAAACTGTGGGACTAACTTCCGTCCATAGGACATTTGGTTCAGTTTAACGATACAGAGAGGATTAGCATGGCCCCTGCACTAAGGATGACACGCGAACGTCAAAGAGACCTGGATCATTTTTTTATTCCTTTTTTGGCTGGCTGGTTGGGTGTTCGATTCCCGCCGTGGTGACGTTTTAGTTGGAGCGCCGCCTTTTAGTCTTTTACACTACGGGCAAACATGCTTTCACTTAGCCAATGCACTCCTTCCGTCCACCAGACACCGGCAAGGCACGAGTGGCCAGCTCCCGGTATCGCCCATGCAACACAATCTCTTTTTTATTGAACCCGACGCTGCAAGCTTCTCAGCCGTTCCGCGGTAGAGTCAGTGAGCTCTCCTCAACATCAAGCGCAGGAAGACAGCCAATCAATCACACGAGCTTGTTCATGACTTCCGTCATTCAGTGTCTCCCATGACTTGGTGTGTGCGTCGACGTCAACCATATCTACAAGTCGCAGTGTCGCCGCCGAATGGTGTTGAGGCTCCAGCAAGGCCACCAAGTCCAACGCCATGCTCACCAGGACCGTCGCAAGCAGCGGCATGACGAGCAAGCCATCATATGTTCCAATGTCCTGGGATAGGTCATCCAGCCAAACTTAGTTCGAGCTGACTGCCTGGTAGCTGACAATGACCGTAAAGCGCCACTGGCCCGCCGCGCCTCGAGGGCACAACGAAACCCCACGCCGGACCCAAAGATTCCTGTCAAGGCCCATAGCCCCCTGCTCGCGCTTAACATCGTCCAATGTCGACAGAACATGGCGTCGAGAATCGCTTCTACAAGGCACGGGCTGATAAGACAGTCAGAGACACTGGCTTGCCCACGCTCTTTGACTTTACCTCGACCACGATAACCATCTCCCTCGTCAACTTCAGCGAACAAGCCTCCCAGCACCCTCTATCTCGTCGCTGTGACTATACAAATCCAGACAACTCACATCCCAAACAAGAACACATTACCCGCTCGTCCCCTCAAGCAGCCGGAACGAGGACCAGCTCACCCATTCGCGACTCCGGAAGCTCCACCTACCAGCCACAGCCACCAACCAACTGCAGCGTCTCTCGCTCTCGTCATTCCACCCATTTCATACACAACTCGCCCTGTCAGATTAGCCAAGCAGGCAACGTTGGCGGAAAGGACCCCTGTCTTATGCCAACTTTGAAGGAGATAGGTGAATTGAAGGCCAGAAATATTGTTGGATAGGGTTTGGATGTCAAGCTGTCCCAGCACGGATCGAAATTCGGAATACTAAAAAACATTTCTATTTTTTGCCGCTCGATCGAGCACACTGGCATCTTCAGATCAATGGACAGTACACTTTCTATGTCGGTGAGAGGCGCGTCGTCTTCATCATCCCTATAGGCGACGTGCCCGCGGGGCAGCCGGCGGCGTGTATTTACTTTTTTCCGCAGAGCTGGGCCGAACGATGACACTATAGTTAGATCAGTTCGGAGGCTTATAATGAAGGTTGGTTGGACCTGCGGACAATGGATGGCGCTTATTGTCGGACATGTTAGGGGCCTTTGCTTTAGCTGCTGGACTCGATTCGAGCTAGCCAAGCGGCCTCCCGTGTAGTGCGAACCATAGGATTCCAGCGTAAGACATGTGGCGTAGGTTGGCACTTTACTGCTTGGGGAAAAATCATGCTGACAGAGTACCGGTCTGACAATCTGATAGCTCTAGTACCGCCAACCCGTCCACCCTCTGGCCTCCTCCACCTCCACCCTCCAACACGAACCCACCAACGAATCCAGCAAAAATATACCTACCTACGCCACCCTTATGAGATATTTATCTGCATAGTAATTTGCTCCCCAGCGCGCCGTCCAATGACGTTGTCCGCCGCTGAGTCGTACACTCGTCAAACAAAAAAGAAGATTGTGAAACGCCCAACACGCGTGCGAGGCGCGCGAGCGGACGTCCAAGGGGTGGACCTTAGGAAAAGGGAGGTGCAGGAGCGAGTCATATTATGTGCTGGCGCTGCTAAAGCCGGTTGGATGTGCGTTACTGTGAGAGAGGCCGCAAGCAGGGTTGGGGTTAAGGATCTCGGGCGTAGCTGCGGGCGCGAGAGTGTGGGTGCGGGCTTGGCTTTGGAGTATGATGTATACAGGCGCCGCTGCCGCTGCTCTCTTGCTCACATAAACTTACGTCTCTCCCGCTTGTACAATACTTCGAGCCTAATCGTCTACGCTCTTGCTGTATATTTTAGACCATTTCTTCTGCTGAACAATCTATTCTTGAGTCTCCGCGCTCTTCAGTTCCTTAAACAAATTAGCCTTTCATCGCTGCTGCTAGAATGTGACCACCACATAATATCCGATATTTCATCTCCCTACCCGACCAGTTATCTTCTTCTCATGAGACTATACTCTTGAGCGCCCAAGTCTATTTTTCATCGTCGTTCATCAGCTCGACACGCTCCTCAAGAGCCGGCCCTTCCCATGTGGTCCACTGGTCCCTGCCCCGTTTGTGTTCTCCAGGTTTGTTTGTTATGTCCACAGCTGGTACAATGGGCGCGGAAAGTCGGAAGACCGAGCTGAGTCGAGACCAACTACTCAACTCCGAAGTAAGAGTACTTGCCAATGTGCTCTGCTGCTCTGCCAGTCATCCATTCTTGGGCATTGGTTCGGCCTTACTATGAGGCATGTAGTTTGGAGGTCCTTTGCTTGTCCGCGCTCAAGGCACTGAGGCGATTGCCGACCGAAGCCAGCGGCTGGAGCCGTTTGTGATTTATGCCCACCGCGCTCCTCCCAGGCCGGTATGCTGGGTATCCTGGAGGCTGGATCTCAGCTCCAGACTATCGTGTGACTTATTGCTTTGGAATTCCTGATTGCGCTTGGAAGAACGGTGCAGGAGTATTGTCAGGATTATCGTTCGATGCTATCGGGCTTCCTGCCAAATACCTGCTTGTCACTTTCCTGTTAGTCACAAATTGTACCCTGAGCCGATCGAAGTTCTTACATGAGCATGTATCTGAGCTTAGGCATCAGCCTGTCCGTTTCCAAACCTCGCATCCTGGTTGGTTTAATTGAGAGTGCGTATGCAAGACCCACTTGCGCTTCAGCATAGCGGCACATGCAGGGCGCCGTGTATTGCTCTCTTGTCGCGTTCGGGTGATGCTTTCCTTTCTCTCTTTCATGAAGTTTCCATACTTATTCCCCCCTTCAAGTGATAGAGGTTTGACAAATATTTGGCCTTTATGCTCTTTTTTTCGTGTGGAAGGTTTGAGCTAGTGGCGAGGGCGGGATGCTGCAGGATGTCATTTGTCTCAGGACCGCTTTGTTTCGGGTGCTCCCTTGCCCTCCCGTCGCTGATTCCAGTGTGGCTTCCGAGTTGCGGTCGTGTAAGATTGCGGGTCTGCTCGTCCTCGAAGCTGTTCCAATATCCTTGCTGTCCATGCTCATGCGAGCTTGGTATCATAATCCGCAAGTGGAACTGCTGATCTCTGATAAAATTATACTTGGGTTGAAGTCAGCCATGAATTCTGGACTGTAGAGTGGTTTCGGCGCCTGAGGTGCTGCGTAACTGTGAGCCGATGTCGCCGTGCCGTACCGTCCTGAAGGAAAACAGGGGAAGCACACAACCTGAAATCCTTACCTGATTATGGCGACCCTCCCAATTCTTTGCAGATCAATCGCGAATGTGTAAAAGCAAGCGCTGTTGCGCTACCGTAGTCGACAAGGCCTCAGCCTATGGCGTACAGGTCCTCTCCTTGTTACTCTGAGACACTCCATGGTTCAACTTCCTTCCATCAGCTCTTTTCATCGCTTGCGCCGCTTCCCACGTCCCTTCACACCATGAGCGCTCGTCAGCACCAGCTAAGGAGTCACTGTAGTTTGTTGGCCAAGAGAACGGTTTAGGGTTGTTACAATTGGCCGGCGGTGGCGCTCTGGCCACCATCGTTCCTGTCGATCGCCTAAGTCCTTGCTCTCCATCGCACAAAAGCCCTCGGCTGACCGCTGAAGTCATGCTCATGGCGATCGGATAGAGGATGGAGTACAGGCGTGTTTCCTAGAGAGCGTTGGAAGGACGAAGCGGGAGAAGACGTCGTTATCAATGGTGGGCGGAGGAGGGACGGAAGGGAGATTCGAAGAGGACCTTGATGCTGGTGCTAATGCCGAAAGCTCTGATGCGGACGCTTGCTGTTGCTTGCTGTTGCTTGCTGTTGCTCGCTGTTGTTGCTGCTACTGCTTTCAATGTTAGTTTTGAGCGAGGCGGAAGAGAACAGAATGAAGGCCGTAGCGACAGCAAGTGCGTACTTACTAGAGCTCTATCCGTTTGTCTGCTTGTACCGTCTCTCAATACTGCAGACCATAGATGCTTCTCTGTCTCGGCCATCACGAGTGATCAAGGAGAGTAGACATCCAAATGGCCCTGCCTGCTCTCGCCGTCAATGCCTCCCATGATGACATTTCTGGGTTTCTTGGTTGTTAAAAAGGCTGCCTCTTGTTGTGTTGCCGCGAAGTACAGGGATTCTCCCCGGAAGACCAGTGGCGCCGAGCAAGCTCGATTCGGTCAAACCGTCAGTCGAGCAGCAACCTTCGCGGAAGTAGGCTAGAAGAGACGCGCAGCATGTTGACGCAGATGATCCAACTCTTATGCAGCTGTCAATAGAGAGTTATGTTGTCTTGTGCGCTTCTTTGTCAGTTAGTGTGTCCTTTCCCCGAGCCTCCAGCCTTTCGGACTGGCGTGCTCTCGTACCTTCCATTGACCAAAGGGTCATCTTTGTTTGCTTTCGCATCGCTGATCCGCCAAACTAGAGTGATAGATCTGGAGCCTTTTGTCCCATCGCACATGCTGTGTCCCGTATTTCTTCGAGTCGTCCGGCAGGTCCTCACAGGCTCTACCGCATCTCCTGAAACTATTCGCGACTACGAGCTGTTAGCAATCTCATCAGCACTAGCCTTTTACGCTTAGGAGGTACCTTGAGCTTCTTGGATTGATTTGGATGTAAGCGTAGGCGCGGAACTGTCCGGGGTCTTCCTCCGGACTCACCGCCACGATGTCTGTCGCCGCCCGGCAGACGTGAAGACGCAGTACTTGCTCGGCTGAGATTCTTGCGTTCTGGTTGCGCTTCGAGCGCGTGGCCGCGCTGTGGCGGGTTCGAGAGAGGAGACTTTGGTTTTGGTTGGCGTGGTGCTGAGATGCGCATAGAGTCGGCATTTGGTGAGCAAGCGTGGGACGGAAAACGCATTGTCGTAAGATACTTGCTTGCAGCTTGAGTTTGTTCTGCGCAGGACGTGCCAGTAAGCGTAGAGGAGTTAGGCCGCGGAGGTTTCGTCGGCTTGTCGACTTTGCCCAAGGCAAGCGAGCGAACTGTACCTCCCTCGCACTGGTAAGTTCTATAAGCTCTGTGAAAGATGCTATTCGGCTCTGGAAAGTCAATTTGAGTGGTTTGTAGAAAACTCAACGTCACCTGTTGCAGGAGTGTTGTGAAATGGCGCTCCCACGCGTCGGCTTACCCCCTTGTAACATTGGGCCCTGGCTTATCGCAAAACACCAGAAATGCCATCGTCTCCTGTGTTTCTCTAACTCTCTTAGGTCGTCCAAAGTCCGCAGGTCAAGATACGAACGTTTCACGGGGCGTAGCCAAGCTTGTCCCGGACTAACGGCACTAGGGGACATCAACGCTCGCCTCCAGGTGCTTAGCATAGGCGGCGCTTGTTCGATGCGCTTACGCGTAGCCAGCATGAGTTCCTAGCAACACAGCTACGTTGTCTCAGCAGTGTCGCGGCTGGTAAGTGGAAACCCATCACAATCTTACAGGTCTTGAAGCCGGCATCCGAGCGGCTCCTCGCCACCACTCAAGGTCCCAGTAACACAAACCCCTCATCAGGCGCCGCGTCTGACCACGAGTTGCGCCTCAGCTTACAGCCAGGCATGAAGCGTAGAGAAACACGAAGCAATGTGAAAAACGAGAAGCCAAAAGCTGAGAAGAGTGTCTTCCTCGAAGGCCTCAATATAGCAAGCGCGACAATGAAAACAAAGACCTCAAAAAGAGGTTGCGTCGACCCGAAGCAGTGAAATACGAGTGACACGGTGGCAGTAACTACCGAGCAAAAAGCCGCAGCAGCCACCGCACTAGTTCCAAAAACTAGTTAATCACGAGGCACCTCCGTAGAGGGCTTCCAGCGATTAAACTGAAAAGAACAGATAGTCTGCATTTAGATCTAAGCCAAATGGCAAAGAGAACTGAAGAAAAAAATGAGGCAGGGGTGGAGGGCACTTATATAGGGTCAGGAGTGGCCTGTGCTCGCCGTAAGCGAGGGTCTGATGTCACGGGGAAAGCTAGAAAGCAGCCGCTAGAAGGCGCCAGAAGGCTTTAGAGCGCTGTTGAACCTTCTGCTAACTTCTGTCGGTGTGGAGGGGTGCCGGCATAGCGCCAATGCTGGGGTAATGGCCGGGGAAATTAGTCAGGGCAGCTGCCATGGCCCATAGGGGTTGGCATGTGTGACTATTGCGAACGGGGGCTCGTGAATGCTCAATCAGTTCAGTTCGCTGTTGAAGTGAATGTGCTACTACAGAGTCGGCGTAGTACGTAGAAGGTGGCTAAAGCCCACAATGGCATGCACTGGTACGCAGGGCCGGGCAATGTTTGTATGCGGTCCACTTCAATGATACACACATTTCACAGCTGTTGTGGAAGAGAGCCAAGAGCTAGATCATTTAAAGCATCGCAAGTAGAACATCGATCTCTACCAAAGAGCGATTTTCACAACCAATATCAGCCAGGATACGCTGAAGTGTTAGCGATCATCTATAGCCATGCTTAGCATCTCAGTCCAACAACGTGCGGCAGACGCATCTACGAAGCGCCTCCAAGCCGTGTCAGAGCTCTTTAAGTGTGGAGAATGATCGGATTACTTTCTACCAACCTGAACATGCCAGAAGAGCATCTCCTGGCAGACAGAGTTGGGAGCGACGGAAGTGCCACACTGAAGGCCAGGAGGGTGATATTTCGGATCGACGCGTCCCCAGGCAGAGGGCAACAACAATAAGCCGCTATACCACGCCTTTCCTCAATGCTCTTCGCCTTTCACTTCTCTCACATGCTTACCGCCCACCAATTGATCATGAGCCACACCTGTGAACTGATCTTTCGCATGTTGATAGCGGACTAGGAGACAAGGGCAAATGTATGGTATAACGTTGAGTACATTTATTTATTTATTTATTTATTTAGGTTTAACGTCCTTTTAGAGTCGGGGACTATTAAAGACGAGCTATTAAAGCTAGGTCTAGGAAAGAAAAGTAGCTAGGGAGGGACTTTCACCCTATAGCTAGATCTAGGTAGGTACAAGCAACGGTTCGCCTTCGAGGGCTAAAAACATAAAAGTAGGAAAGAAAAGGAGTGGACGTGCTCGACGTTTTTATACCTCGTTAGAGGCGTCGGTAAGGTACTATGAGCGCGTAGCAACCTTAGTAGACTTAAGAAATTAGACCGTAGCCGCAATGTTCTTTGTTTTGGAGAAAAGATCCTTAAAGTTCGCGTTGTTTTGTCTTAAAGCGTCCTTTAGATGAGCCCGTTAGGGCCTTAATAGAGGGTATTTTAGTAGGAGGTGTTCCGGGGTCTAGATTGCCGTTCCTGAGCATCGATACTTATCCGTAGTAGTATAGTTAAATCGATGAAGGTAGGACTTAAAGTAGCCGTGTCCTAGCTTTAGTTGATAGAAAGCGGAGGCTATTTCGCGCTCGTTAGAGGGCGGTTTGTAGCTGCGCTTTGCTACTAGTGGAAATATCTTAGCGTAGGAACTCGGTAGGGTAGATCTAAGCTGCTTCTCCTACGCCGTATAGATTTTAGCCTTTACTAGCATGCTATAGTACGTATAGCTAGTGTTTTTCTCTCAAGGTGTAAGTAGGGTAGCTTTTTTAGCGAGTTTATCCGCTCTTTCGTTTCCAGGGACGTTGACGTGGCCTGGGACCCATTCTAGGGAGATATTATTATCTCTGTTTCGTAGTATAGTAGCTAATTGAATAGCCCGTTGTTGCCAGGATTGGCCGGGCGTATTAGCTGGTACCCGTAGCCTTAGGAGTGCGGCCCGATTATCCGCGAAGACTCATATATCCCGAGATGTATATCCGTTGTTAACAGCTAGTTCTAAGGCAGTAATGATGCCTTCAAGTTCACTCCAGCTTCTCCCATTCACCACTTCCTTCCCTTTTCGACCTTTGCGTCACGCCTTCCGCCTTAACGTTGAGTACAAAGATGTGTCCAATTGAAGGGACCAGGAAAGAGAACCGGCTGCCCAGCCTCGAGCATCCAGGTGGGTGTGGGGGCGTACACCTATCGCGCCAGCCCCCCAACAGTGTAAACAGCTCTCCCGAGTTGCCGTGCGAGCGACTCCAGAGCTGGTGTTCCTGCTCCGCCTCTTTCGACTGATCTATAGCTTTCATTTACCAAAACTCCTCGCTTACTGCTCTGCTAGCGCCGTCCAACATCTATATAAACGACCCTCCCTCCGCCCTCCCTCTCTCTCTTTTTCCTCCACGGCTCACCAGCAATGGTGGGCGTTCTCTTTGAACGCCTCGACATGTAATGCCTCATGGACTTTTCAGTGTCCCCTCGCGGTATCTTGTCGACGGCTAGATTGAACTGCATAGATAATTGGGACTCGCGCTCATCCAGACCTAACTTTCGGGTTGGTGATCTATCGCGTACTCCTTCTTCCACTATGCTACATACCCATGACTTCCGTGATCTTTGGTAGCTTTAATGTCATTTAATCTTACTGCTTTGCCTTTGCTTGCTTTCAAAGTGACGCTGTTGTGTTCTTCTTGGATGTGATTCAGGTTGTACTTGGAGAGCTTCGTTTCTATGTCCACCATTTGGAGTCCCTTTCTCGCTCTTGATGCCCAGAGCCTGCTTCAGCATGTGTCTGCAATTGCCGATAGCGGGAAGCCCACCCAGAATCCCATGCACGACGGCAACCAGTGATGGAGGCGTCCGGAGAGAGCGCCAATGGGCAGGAACTGCATGTCGTTGGGGTCTTCATCTTCGGCTGAGCCAATGCCGGTACCATCGAACGGCATCCTCGACCTCCTCTTCGGGATGCCGAAGTCCTCAACCTGTTCCATGCGCACACTGGCCCCATTGGACTTCTTTTTTTTTTCCAGTGCCCGGGCGGTGCCAGGGCCAGTTTGCTTGCCATTCGCGACATTGGAGCCCAGTATGACAATCACATCGTCCAGCGCGGAGCCGTCGTGTACACGATCCTGCCAAAGCAATCAGGACAGAGGTATGAACATTTTTCAAGCTAAAATACAGGCGACAAGATAACCGTAGAACAGTTTGAGTGTATGGTGGTTAAATTTGATCAAAATGCAGGACGGTTTCCAGCCGGTCGCGGGCGTGACCACGGCCATTGCCGTCAGACAGGCGGAGCGGTCGAGAGCCCAGCAAGGCGGCAAGCCCAACACCTACCAACTACCACTCCACCCACGAAAGGGCCCTCCAGCACCATACGACAGCATTCGGCGCATCTCCGATTAAAATCACATTTACTTTTTTATTATTCGCTTACCCGCTTCTGCCGGTAAGGTGAGAGCGGCCTAGAAGGGCGCAGGTCTGGAACAGCGTCGCCGACGAGGCCTCCCCGAAGGACACAAGGCCTTGCAAACTCGGATTCAGCAGGTGACAATAGACCCTCCCTAAAGACAACCAACAAACAACTTAACTCCTGACTACTGTGTAGGTCTCGTCATGTATCCAGCGTGTCGACTGGTCTGCACCTGGAGACCTCTCCGAAGCGCTCTCAAGTCGCCCTCCTCGCTCCGCGTTGATGCTCTCAAACCCTTTAAGATGATCGTGACCTGGCTTCCCTGATATGCTAATTTCACGGAGTAGGGGTAAACCCTGTCGGATTGGTATCTCGGAATGAGACGCGTTGCCACAGATAACACCTGTGCCAGGACGAGCTCCGAAATCGCTTTTCAAGGCCAAACGCGCATCTTCAGGTTGACCATGAGCGGCCTTGCTAGTGGAACTATGGCACGTCAGAACTGAAGCGAAGATACGAACCCCTGGAGCGTCGACAAACGTGGTATGGTTGCGCGGGATCAACTGCTACCCGGAACATTTCGACCTCCTAAACGTCAAGAGTACGACCTGCACTCCGCTCTAGGCCTCAGAAGCGCGCCTCGATGCTCTGAATTGGCTCGCGGACATGGATCATGCAGCCGGCAGGTTGGGAGTTTGCGATGATTTTGCCGCCGCGAAGGGCTGTCTGGCGGGAGAGAGATTGTGGTTAGACACCATAAGCACCTGGCCGATACCAACAAACATACTGGTTTGTATTTACAGTAGTGGGATTTTCGAAGAAAACATGTTTCAAGAATTGCCAGAAGTGGCTAGGGAGCAAAAGGTGAGTCCCTTGTTCTTCCAGAGCGTGGCGCAAAGCAAACGTTGGCCCAAACCTCCTTTGACAAGGACATGAGCATCTCGCTAACAAACTTACAAACAGAGATCAATACAGAATCCCAAGTTGCAACTAGCCGATTCAATCAAACAATCCTTCCACTAGCATACCGCGGGCCTTCCATGCGCCTCTCCCTTCAAGCACTCAGACTTCCCCTTCCGCACTACCTACATCTCACGATGCGCCCTCTCCTCACCGTACACAAACCTGCAGCGAACCTGAATTATGAAGCACAATGCAAGATCTTAGCGAATGTTGCCGGAGGACAAAAACTAAGGGATTGGGCCCGGTGCTACACTACGCAGAAGCACCCCTGCACAGGCGACGGGTCGCAACTCGACGTGACCACACCAAATTCGCGGAAGGTCCTCAGAGCAAACATCCTCTTCTGCTCACAACCGTCATGCGCAGGATACAGATAAGGACTAAGGTCACTACAAAGCGCTGAACATGGGGAACAAGGGCTGGGGGCACAAATCGCGCTTTATACGGGTGGAGACAAAAGTATGCATTGTAGGAACAGCAACTCGCCGTGCGGGTAGTCACAATGATCAAGCAGGCCAGAAGTGATCCAATCGCGTTAGCAATAGCTTTTTTACGTACTCGTCGAAGGCTTTACGCACACAGGCGTGGTAATTGTGATAGGGGCCCGGAGCAATTCTTCAGTGTTTGGGAACAATATTGAATTTGTTTGTGAAACCTTTCGAATGACGGTATGAACACATAAACCGTAGAGAGATGGGACAATTAGACAGCCTACAATGGTTGGGTTGTAAGAGAGTTGGATTGCATTTTGTATTGGCACGACGGCACATAAATTCAAGCCCACTCGCCTGCCCAAGAAAGCCTCAAAGCTGCATACTCGCACTGCCACCGCCTTACCCTACAAGGCCCCAAAAGCACACCTACTCTTCATCCCTTTACGTCCTAGTCTCTTCCGTCCTGCCGCCCAAAAGCGCCGCAACTCACTTCACCAACCCCCTCCACCATCCAAGCACGTGCCCCACACCACCCCTCCGTTTAAAAAAACCCCTACCTCCCACCTCCCTCCTCCCACAACCCGTCCTCCAAGCACGACCCTCAACACCACCAACGAACAACACCATGGCGCCCCCCTCCGCCCTATCCTGCTGCGGGCTTCTCCGCCGCTGCACTCCCGCCTGCTCGCCCCCGCCCTCGCCCACGCCCGGCCTCCACCACCCGCTGCGCTACGACCGCCGCCGTTGGGCCGTGCTGCCTCAGCAGGAGGAGGAGAGCGGCGGACGGCTGACGAAGCTGTTCGTGGAGATGAGGAAGAAGGCGCAGGTTAAGCGCGCGATGAGGGAGTTGGGTCTGTGATTGGGTTCGTGAGGTAAGTTGCTTTGTTGTGTGCTGCTGCTGCTGCTTTTGGATGATGGTGGCTGATTGTTGTTGTAGGGATACGCGGCGGTAGCTGCTTATGCTCGCGAGGTAGCTGGTCGGCTTCTTACGATCTAGCTGATCAGCACTGTTGATATCATCGAGCAACCGGCATGAACAGCTACCGGTGTTCCTCATGAGCATCGAGTACAGCGACGTCAAGCTTGATCTGGAGGTTCCGAATGAGAGGCCTTCGTGCCTAGAGAGCTTCTAAACGCCTACACGGTACAACACGGCACAGCATGATAGAGCACGGCACGACCATCCCACGCGGCAACGCCTACGCCTATTCCAACACCAGACCGAAGCACGAGAAGAGCACAATTCCAGCAATATCCCACTCCATACATCCTGCAGGCAGAGCAAGAACCTCATCCTACCCTTCCACCAGGCATCAAACACGATCAAGACCCCCAGCACACCCCCAGCAATGCGTCCGTACCTGCCAGCAGGCCGAAAACCACAATCCAACCCTTATACTATCACCAGCAGCAGGAGCAGCAGCATCGAGAACCTCAAGCGGAGGAGGCAGAATGGCAGATCAGGCAGGAAAATGGGGCTGCAGGATTGCAGGATTACATACACGGACATGATAGCCCAATTCCCAAAGAACACTCGACCCCAAATGTGTAAAGACTAAGAAACGTTCAATCCTTCGTGACTCGTCCCAAAGACCATTCAGCAGATAAAAGTGAAGATTCGACAAAGTACTCATCCAGTGATTCAATTGCTAGCATCGGCCGCTATTTCTTCGACTGCTTCTGTGGCTTGCTCAATTAATTTCCAGGCATGGAAATTGTGCGAGTGACGGCATGACCGGCGGTCGACGGCCACTCGACGGTTCTTCCGAACCCTGAACCAAGATGGAACACCACATCAAAACGTCACTCTTTCTTCCTTGGCCCTTCTTTCCGACACTCAACGCAAAAGACACGCGCCTCCGCACCGTCAGCTGCTCTCACTCGCAGTCCTTCACTTATTGCTGATCCCCCGACGCTTTCTTTTCTGCCGGCACTAGCACACTCGCTGTAGCAACTCGTTCTTTTTACACCAGACACTTTCCACGACTGAGAGTGTGACATTCTTCCAGCCGGATTCTGTAAACCCAAGTCAGCCCTTTCATGGCCAGAGTACGCAGCCAGAATGGCTAAAGAGGCGTCGTCCAGCTCTACGTCTTCACTCCGCAACAGAACGCAATACCAATCATTAATCCAAGAAAAAGGCGCTGAGCAAACGTCATCACTCTCACTCCCGACCACGGATGACAGACGTGACAGCCCTGTCGAGTCAAGCAGCGTCAGTGCACAATGTCTCCACGCGATCGAGCCACAAGAGGATCCGAGCGGTCCAGGCGCCCCGCCATTCAGATGCCAAAGCTGCAAAGAGCTCGACGCTGCCATTGAGAAGCACCGCATCGCCTATGCAGCACACGCGGTCAACAAGGATGACCGGACCCTGAAGAAAGCGTCGCGTTTGGCCGCCATGGAGGTCCGCAGCCTGAAGATCAGGCGCTTCAACAATGCCATAGTGAAAGAGCAAGGAGAAAAAGAAAAAGAAGAGGCCACGCTGGAAAGTGTCGAGGCGGGAACCCAAGACGAAGAGGAGACGCCACCAGGTGCCCGCTCTCCCAAACGCTCATCGCTGGATCTAGACGACGTCGTATGCCCCACTGCTTTCGTTCTCTTCACACAAAACTAACTCCCGCACAGGACCCTTCTTCCGCTCCCCAGCACCGCAACAACAACAACCCCGCCAAACGTGTCAAGTTTGCTGCCCCGTCTGACCTCTCCCCTCCGCGCCAGTTCTCCCGCCGCAACCACAACAACTTCGACCGCTCGTCGCCGGCCTACCGCCCAGGAGCGTACGCCAGCACGACCGCCCGTCCCCACGTCGACACCAGCGGCTACCGCCTGTTGTACGCCCAGTTCTACGCCGCCGACGACAGCCTCGAAAACGATGTCTTCACCTTCAGCAGCTCCAGCAACGGCACCCCCTCCCCCACCCACGACGAGGACCAAGACGCGGACCAGGACGAGGACGAGGACCAGCAGCAGCAGAGGCAGCGGTCGCGCCGCCGCCGCGCCCCTGGCCCCCCACCTCTCCCAATTGATCCAGCACGGTACGAAACCCCGTCCATAACACTAACCACGCCCTCAGGGCTGTCGCACACACTACTCGGCGCGCGTCTGCACGCCCTCCGACCTCAGTCCCGCAAACCGCACCACCCCCTTCCCAGCCGCACGCGCAACCGCACCCGCAACCGCGCCACCATCACCTGCACCCTCGCACAAAAACTCCCCCTCATCACGCTCACAGACTCCACGCAGCACACGCTTCTGCTCTTCTCGCGGCGTCTTGCGCGCGCTGCTCGCACCGCTGGAAAAAAGCGCCCTGTCGACGGCGTCCGGGTGAAAGACGAGACGGGGGCGTGGCGGCGCGTGCGTGTGCGGGGGGGCGTGATGGTCGTGAGCTGGGAGGGAAGAGGCCGCGAGAGTGTGTGGGGCGATGGGGAAGAAAGGCACGAGGAGATGGTGTGGGGCGTGCTTGATGGGGGCATGTGATGTGCTGTGCTGATTGTTTGTTTGTGTGGGATGGGTGAATGGATGGTAAAGGGCTGGCTAACATGCGTGTTTTTATTTAGGGGCGAAGTGCGTCTGCGGCGGAGGAGCGGGCGGGGCGAACGGAGCGGGCGGAGTGAGCGTGTCGAGCGTGCCCAGCGTAATGAGCTTAGTGAGCACAGCGAGCCTAACAAGTTGGACGAGCAAGGCGAATATAGCGACCTGGACGAACTTAACAAGCCAGACGAGCGTAGCAAGCAGAACAAGCGTAACAAGCAGACCAAACCCTCTTTCCCCGTAGCCGTTCCCGAACCTCTAGACCTAGATTTGGCTACCTCTCCTCCTTCATCACCCCCTTCTGAGAAGGAGGGGAGGAAGGAAGACAAGACGCCAGCACCACCGCCCCCCCGCCCCCGACGCAGGCGCCCCCTCAGGCGCTCGGACGCGTTTGTGCTGCAGGTGAGCGATTGCAGTGACTGCGACTGCGACGATGCGTTGGCTGGTAGTTTGGCGCTGCGGTCGCGGGCGCGTGGGGATGGGGGCGGTGGTGGTGGTGGTGGTGGTGGAGAGGGTGTTGGTATTGACGGGAATGAGGAGGGTAAACATGAGCGTGTTAGTAAGGAGGAAGAAGGGCAGATGCGGGAGATTATTCGGCGGCTGGCGCAGAGTTGATGGCTTGTTTTGTTCTGTGCGATTGGATACGTTTGTATGTATGTATGTAGGGGAGTGGGGGAGGAGTGTTTGTGTATGGATGAAGAAGGGAGGGATGGGCTGTGTGGTGGGATGGATAGATAGATGGGATATATGGATGGATGGATGGATGGCTGGTTTGGTTGGTTGTGTGTGTGTGTGTGCGTGTATGCAAGAGGGAGGGCGAGGGGATATGCACGGGTGGGTGGTTTAGCTTTAGATTATTTGGGATTTAATACCTAGGGAAGAGGTAAAAGGGATTTGTTCGTTCGGTTGTCATTGTTCGTTCGTCTATACCTACTGATCGTCGTCGTCGAGATGGTGGTAGTCTATGCTATGCCTACGCGGGAGTGCGCTGGTGAGAGCTTAAAGGTAGAGGGGGAGAGAGAAAGAAAAGGAAAAAAGAAGGGGAAAGAAAAGGAAATAAAGGGAAATAAAAGAAACAAGCAGCAAAACCACCCCCTCCCCCCACTCCATTTCTCCTCCTTCCCTCCCCGCCACCCCCACCCCACCCAACCTAAAGCTTATGCCTCTTCTCGCCACTCCTCAACCGCGCAAACTCTTCCTGCGGCACGCCGCGCGCAAAGCGTTCCAAGCCCGCAAAGACCTCGTCGACATTCGCGCGGTCCAGGAACTCGCGCTCCGGGGCCCGCACCAATTGCTTGATGCCTAGCAGACTGTCTGCGTTCAGATGCGGGCCGAGCCTGTCCTCCACGATGCCGATGACGCGGGCGAGGAACTTGTCGCTGTCGTACTTTACACCCCCTTCACCCGCTGCTCCACCCGCTGCTCCACCCGCTGCACCGCCCGCCTCAGCACCAACATCCACAACGGCATTAACAAACCCCGCGGCCAGCATCTCGTCCACCGTAATCCGCTTACTCATCAACAGCGCCTCATTCGCCTTCGCGACGCCCAAACGCTGCACGAACGCGCGGCTGCTGCCGCCCTCAGCGACTAAGCCAAGCGAGCTAAACGGCGTCAAGAGGTACGCGTGGGGCGCCGCGTATATGAAGTCCGAGAAGGCGATCAGCGCGGCCGAGAGGCCGACTGCGGGGCCGTTGAGCGCCGTTACCAGGATCTTCGGGTGCGTGTAGAAGGCGCGCGTTAGGTGCAGGTTGTTTGCTACGAAGGTCGAGAGCCAGTGGCGGCGCACGTCGGTTTCGGGGGGGAGGTCGCGCGTTAGGGATACGTCGGCGCCGCTGGGGGGTGTTAGTGCGGTGTTTGTGTGTGTGTGTGTTGTGGGGTGGGGGGAAGGGAGTGTAGGTTTGGGTGGTTTGTGGGGTTAGGTAGGGGCAGGGCGCCATACGCAGAAAAGAACCGCCCCTTCCCCGTCAGCACCGTGACGAGAATGTCGTCGCGCTGCGCGATGTCATTCAGCGTCGTCGCGAGCCGGTAGTACAGGTCCATGCCCATCGAGTTGAGTTTCTTGGGCTGGTTCAGGGTGACGATGGCGATTTTGCCGCGCGTGTGCAGCGTGACGGCGTCTTGGGGGGTTGTATCGGCCATGGTTGTACTTGTGATTGTGGTGGGGTGAAGCGGGGATTCAGTCAGTGTTGGATGTGGAGTAGAGGTAGGTAGAGTGAGATAAAGACTATGTATGTATGTAGAGAGGTAGCGAGCCCAACACGACGGTATAAGAAGCCCCGTACGCAGCTCTTCACATGCGGAGCTACGTAGTACGAGCACCGTATAACCGAGCTTTTGGATGATGAAGCGGGCACGTCCGTCAGTGAAGGAGCGCGGTCCGGGCGATTAGTGAAAGGCAAGTGTGGAGTGTGGAGAAGATGCCGAGGTCCAGATAACGCGCTCTAGTAAAGGTTATCAGATCGGAGGATTGTTTCGCCGCGCTGTCATGTTCTCCAGATTATTCCATCTCGCGGATATCTCCGGATAGGAAGGCAGGCACGAGGAACGAGACACCCCGCCCATCACGCACGCCTCGCGCATTACCTACCTACCCACCTAGACACACCCACCCACCAACCCACCCAATTGGCCACCAAACAAAACAGCCAGAGCAAACACCTCCACGCCTCACCACTCTTGCAAAATGGGCGGCCCCAACCTCGAGATCTTCAAAGTCAGTCCCCTCCACCTCCCCAAAACCCCCATAAACCCAAACCCCCACACCCCTCCACTAACCTCCCACCCTTAGTTCGGGCTCTACATCCTGTTCCCGATCGGATACATGTACTACTTCGGCACGAACCTGGAGGAGCGCTTCAGCGTGCCCGATTTCTGGCCTAAGCCGCACCAGACGCACAAGCTGCCGTACGAGAAAGACGAGATTGAAGGGGAGCTGGCGAGGTTGAGGGCGCGGAGGCTGGCGCTGAGGGAGAGGCGGTTGAGGGAGGAGGGTGCCCGGGAGGGAGGGGGGGAGGAATAGTGTGCGTGGGGGAGGTGAAAAGGATGGGTTGCATTGGAGGCGTTTTTTTGGGGGGTATATTGATTGGGCTGGAGTGCGTGCGTTGGTTGTTGCCAATGGGCGGCGGCTGTTGCTGCTGCTGCTGTTTCTTCTTCTTTTTCTGTGGTCTAGGGTCTACAGTCTACAGTCTACGGGCTCTGCCTACTCTGTGTGCGTCGCTTTCGCGCCGCCTGTACAGTACAAACACCCCACTCCGCTCACAACGACGCCACCCTGGCCATGAGGTCGGCCCAGGCACCGTCGTCGGCGCGCCCCTGCGTCGCGTTCATGTACAGGCCCTGCGCGCCCGTCACCTCGCCCAGCATGTCCAGGAACCTGTTCAGATTGGCGACGGCGTCATTGCCATCGAGCGGGACCATCGTATCCTCAATAGGGTCCCAGACGATATCCATGGCGTCGATCTCGAGCTGCAAAGCCTTGGAGATGCTCTCAGCGGCAGACTTGGTGTCGGCCGGGTCAGTGAAGACGATGGCGTCACCGTCCTCCTCGTCCAGGACGTCGAGCGCGCCCGCCTCGAGCGCCGCGTCCAGCACCGCGTCGGCGGTCACGCCGTCCCGCCCTTTGAACGCGACGCGGCCTTTGCGCTCGAACAGGAAGCCCACCGGCGTCGTGTTGCCGCCCGCCCGCTTGATCGCGTTGCGCACGTCCGCCAGCGTGCGCAGCCGGTTGTCCGTCTCGAACTCGAGCACCACGGCAACGTTGGCCGGCAGCATCGCCTCGACCGTCACCGTTTCCAGCGCCGTCCCCGTCGCCGAAATGCCCTGTCCGCGCGCTATCGCTGCGTCAATGCCCGCTTTCGGCATTGATGCCTTCTTGGCCTTGTCGATTGCGAGCGCGAGTCGTGGGTTTTGCGATGGCTCGGGGCCGTAGACTGTTGGCGTGGAAATAATTGTCAGTCGTGTGTGCAATTGCGGGTTTGGGCTTTGCTTTGTGCTGGATCACCCACGCTTCGTCGCCAGCGCTATGTCGTGCGAGAAGGCGGCGCGCGCCTTGGTCTTCGCCGAGTCGTTCTTGCCCTTGTCGTGCTTGATCGTGGCCCATTTGCTGTGGCCGGAGCGCAGAGCCGCGGTCGAGGTCATGAGGCGGACATCGCGTCTGCAGGCGCGGCAGACGAAGGCGACGGGGCGCAGCGGCTGCAGCAATGGACGAACGGGTATTATTGACATTGTGTTGTTGTTTGGATGTTTGGGAGGAAAAGTGTCGCGCAGGCTCGGCTGGTGCGCCGTAGCACGACCTTGGTTGGGTCCAGCGTGTTGCGGACTCGACTTCGGGGGTGAATGGGCAACGCTGCCTCGACACGCCATCCCACTCGACGACCACCCTTTTCACGCTTCAAACCGACGTCCAATTGCCTTATGATTGACATGACCGCGCCCGACTCGCATTCCCTACGCCCGTAATCCACGCCTAATACTACCTACCTATCCTCGACTCGCGCCTCCGCTGCTGCTGCTGCTCCCGCCATGGCCAGCCCCGACCCCACGCCCGCGCCCTCGTTCGCGCCCGCCGCGCCGCCCAACCCCGAGCTCGACATCCCCAAACTGCACACGCTGCCGTCGGAGCAGCAGGAGCTGTACCTGCTGACCTTCACGGCGGAGCTGGCGCGGCATGCGGCGTCGCTCGACGCCGACGGGGCCTCGGCCTACCAGGTCTACGTCAAAAAGGAGGCCTTCAAGGTGCTGACGCTGGCCTCGCCCGCGCCCACGCGCGTCGTGCGCGCCAACCTGGGCCGCGCCCTCGCCGACGTCTTCGCCCGCGGCGACCGCAAGCTGCTCTTCGAGAGCGTCAACGAGCTCGTCGCCCTGCTCGCCCAGAGCCAAAAGGCCGACAAGGAGCTCAAGGCCAAACACGCCGCCGCCCACTGCCTGGGCGCCGTCTTCGAGGCTGCCGGTGATAGCGCCATCGGCCTCAGCCCGCTCGTCGCCCAGACCCTGTTGCGCCAGCTTAAGCCCGCTCAGGCACATGCTGGCTTCCGCGCCGCCCTCTTCCGCGCCCTGGGCCGCGTCGCGCGCGGCATCGGTGGGAGCATGGATGAAACCGTCGCTCGCGACGCGTGGAAGCAGGCGCGCAATGCCGCCGGTGGCGACAAGGCGTTTGTTGTGCAGACGGCCGCATGCTGGTGCCTGGAGACGATGGTCCGCTGCACGCCCTACTTCGACAACTCCAACGACTTTGAAAAACTGCAGGGTGTGGTGTGGAAGGCCATCGATAATGCGTCACCAACGGTGCGGCACGCCGCTGCGGCCGCGTTGGCTGCCGCACTGGTCAGGAGCTATTCTGAATTCCCAGCCCGCGACGCCGTGCCCAAGATTAAGAAACCGAAGAAGGCGAAGAGGCAGAGCGCCGTCATAGACGGTGATGAAGAAATGTCCGACAGGCCTGGTTCTCCGGCGCCTACGAAGCCCATTACGCAACTGGCTTTTTCCCTTCCCGAGCTGCTGAAGCAGCTCAGCGCGCAGTACGTCCGGACCTCCTCCAGCAACCGCACGAGAACGGGCATCGCCGTGTGCTACATGAAGGTTGTAAGAGGTCTTCCGAAAGGCGTCATCGAATCCAAGTATGGCGATATCGCGAAACACCTGCTCAATGATGTATTGAGCGTGCCGAGCATCACCAACAACCGCTACCGCCAGCTTATCACCCGCAAGTTCGTTTCTCTGATTCTGGAGGAGGTTATTGGCCGCCAAATCTTAGGAGAGACTGGCCAATTGAATGCTGCGCGATTCCTGCTCAACGACATCTTGCGCGACTATCCTCCGGCGTTGAAGGAAAGACCAGAGCCGAGCAAGCAGTCTCTCACGGCGGCGCTGATGACTTTGACGTCTTTGACGAAAAGCTTGGGATCCGCCATCAACACTCTGGCAGACCTGTGCAGAGAGGCTTTGCTAGGCGTGCTGCAGCACCCAAGTTACTCCGTCCAGATCCATGCTTCGGCCTGCCTGCGCGCTTTTGTGCTGGCATGTCCGCAGCAGCTGATCCCTGCCGTCACGATCTGCATGAACAGCGTCAACCGCGAGCTCGGCCAGCTTTCCAGCGGCCGCGGCTCCCCAAGGAAGTGTGTCGGTTTCGCCAACGGGCTGTCTGCAGTCCTGAGCACGACGTCTTCTCAACCGCTGTATGGCTCCGTCGACGTCAATTCCAGAGTTTTGCAACAGGCCACGACTCTGCTCAAGAGCAGCAGCAGCTCCGATCTCAAGATCTCCAGCACGCAGATCCAAGTCGCATGGATCCTGATCGGCGGCCTTATGACGCTTGGTCCGAACTTTGTCAAGATCCACCTTTCGCAGCTGCTTCTGTTGTGGAAGAACGCCCTGCCCAAGCCGCTGAACAAGGACAGCATGACCAGCCGCAACCTCCTCGATCTTAGCTTCCTCGCGCACGTGCGCGAGTGCGCGCTCGGCTCGGTTCTCACGTTCTTGGAGTACAACGGCAGGCTCCTCACAACCGATGTGACGAAGAGGCTCTCGGCCATGTTGGCCAACACGACCATGTTCTTGAACAGTCTTCCTGCCAAGAAGACGACCGACGACGCGGCGCAACGCCTCTCGCCGTCTCTGCAGCTGCACGACTTTGATCTCATGGTCCGCCGCCGCGTGCTGCAATGCTACACCAAGCTGGTGAACCTGAGCCCCGCGAACAACAATGAAATGCTGCTGCAGACGAATCTGCTCCCGTTCGCGGTATCCTCGTTCGCTGACCCTGAAAACTACGCGCCGTCGGGCAGCTCGCTGAGCGCTAGCATTGCGAGCGCGGCTGGGGCGTTTGAGAGCGTCTGGGACGTCGGCGACAATTCTGGATTCGGTCTTACAGGACTTGTGAGGGGCTTTGATGTCAAGCCGTTGGCGGGGGAGATGGGTGAGCGGAAGAGACATTGGATGAGTAGGCCGGGCCCTGAAGACGCTGCTGATGCGGAGCTGCTTTCACCCATCTCCAGCGCACGTGAACATGATTCGATTTCTTTGTATATTTCGAAGAGCGGCGACGTGGACGATCTCCCCGACCCGCCTTCCACGGAGGTCGTCAACTCGGCGGTGAATTTGTTCGCCATCTTGCTTCCGTTGCAGACGCCAAAGGTCCAGGAGAGCATTTTGGAGCAGATTTCTTCTTTCCTGTCGGCGGTCAGCTTGCAGAGGGATCCGTACAGAAAGGCGGCAATGGAGGTCAATATTGCGACGGCATTGTTGGGGGCCCTGAAGGTCGCGAACAAGGAGACGCTGTCCACTTCCGGCGACCTCAGAGGCGCAGCTGTGGAGAGGGTCTTGCAGGAGCTGCTCCACCAGCTGATCGTGCACACGGACCAGTACGTGCGCAACATTGCGTGCGAGGCTCTCGGCCGCCTGTGCAGTACCACGGGCAACACGTTCACGACTGCCGAAGTCAACTTCCTCGTCGAGCAGATTGTGGCCAACAGGGAGCCGCACGTGCGGTCGGGCTGCGCCGTTGCGCTCGGCTGCTTACACTCGCAGCTCGGTGGCATGGCCGCGGGCTTCCACCTCAAGAACATCCTCAGCATCCTCATGTCGCTCGCCAGTGACCCGCACCCGGCCGTCCACTTCTGGGCCCTGGACAGCTTGTCCAAGGTTGCCGACTCGGCGGGCCTGAGCTTCTCGGGCTACGTCACCAGCACGCTGGGCATGCTGGCGCAGCTGTATGTCGCCGAGTCGCATAACGACGAGGTCGGCCCGCTGGCGTCGTCGAATTTGGAAACGGACTTACCCACGCCCGCCGTCATTGCGCGCTGCGTCGACAGCATCATCAACGTCTTGGGCCCTGACTTGCAGGACTTGACTAAGGCTCGCGACCTCATCACCACGCTGATTTCGCAGTTCCGGGCCGAGGCGTCACTTTTGGTCTTGGTTGAGGGGCTTCGCTGCCAGGAGCACTTGGCTCTCTACGCGCCGGGCCACATGCACTTCGCCGACTACGTCAAGGACCTGCAAAAGGATCTCGACTCGCCCAGCGCGGTCATCAAAGACATGGCAGTCGACGGCCTGCACAACCTCATGCGCCGCAACGCCGAGGAGATTATTGTGACGGCGAATCCGGGGCTGGAGGACCAGTTGTGGCTGCGCTTGAACGAGGTGCCGGGCCACGACGTCATCAGGAGCATGATGCGCAACTGGCTGCAGCAGACGGCGCTCAGCCACACGGCGGCCTGGGTGCACCGGTGCAACACGGTGCTCACCAAGACGATCAAGGCGCCCGACGCGCCGTCTGCGGCTAATGCGGCGACGAAGACGCCCGCAAAGCAGAACGCCGGTATCGATCTGCAGGACGAGGAGGTGGCGGGCTTTGCGGCGGCTAGCGGCGCTCCGGCTGATGAGGGCGCCGTGGTGGGCGAAGCGATGGAGCTGCTAAAGTGGCAGGTCCGCACGTTTGCTATGGATCTTTTGAGTGAGTTGCTTAGCATTGTGGGGAAGCAGGAGGGGAGCGAGAGCGAGAAGATTTTGGAGTCGAGGATCGCGGACGTTGTGAGAGTTGCTTTCTCGGCCAGTACGGCGGGCGTTGTGGGCTTGAGGCTTCGGGGGCTGAGAATCGTGGATCAGGTGCTCAAGGTATGTGTGTTGTTGGTTTCTGTGGTGAACTTGGCTGATGTCTTGTAGCTTTTCGGAAAGACGCCCGACCCCGACTTTCCCGAAGTCACGCTGCTGGAGCAGTATCAGGCGCAGATCGGCTCGGCGCTCACGCCCGCGTTTGCGGCAGACTCGTCGCCCGAGCTGGCTGCTGCGGCCGTCAACGTGTGCGCGACATTCATCGCCACCGGCATCGTCACCGACGTCGACCGCATGGGCCGTATTCTGAAGCTGCTCGTGTCGGCGCTGGAGAACTTCTCGAGCGACGCCGAGACGGCATCGATTGGCGACCTCAAGGGCCTGTCATCCAACGCGCAGGTCATGGTGAAGATGGCGGTCTTCTCGGCGTGGGCAGAGCTGCAGATTGCCAGCGCCGAGCAGCGGTACCTAGTGGACGTGCTGAACCCGCACATCGCCAAGCTGACGCCGCTATGGCTGTCAAGCCTGCGCGAGTTTGCGCGACTGCGCTTCGAGCCGGACATATCGACGACAGCGGGCGGGCCGACCAGCATGTCGGGCAGCCTGGACACGATCTACGCGGCGCTGAACCGCGAGACGCTGCTGAAGTTCTACCAGGACTCGTGGCTGAACCTGGTCGACGCGATCGCGAGCCTGATCGACGAGGACAGCGAGTTTGTATTTGACGCGCTGGACGGGAAGACGGAGCTGGACGAGTCGACGGGCGAGCCCAAGGCCGCGCCCGACATCAACTACCGCGACGAGCCGGTGGCGTTTTTCTTCGTGCTGTTCGGCCTCGCGTTCGAGGCGCTCGTCACGTCGGGCCGGCCCGGCAGCCGCGACGCGGCGTCCTCGTCTTCGGCGGCCGTGGTGGGCGCGCCTGCCAAAAAGGGCCAGACGCTAGAGATCCTGCGCGCGCTGAAGAATATCCTGCGCCCGAGCGTCAGCGGGCACGCCATCTACCAGGAGGTCGTCTTTGGCGAGACAATGGACATGCTGGACCGGCTGGTGCTGACCGAGGGCTTGGACGTCCAGGCTGTCATTGTTGATATTGCAAGGAATTTGTGCATGGGGCACCCGAGTGCGGTTAGGGCCCCGGATGCCCCGCCCGGCGAGGAGACGCTGTCGGACGATATTGAGCAGCTGTTTGAGCTGACGCGGATTATTGTGCTGGTGCTTGCGGGGCTGATTCCGGGGATTGGCGATCCGGGCGCGCATGGTATGTTTCCCTTTCTTTATTCGACTGTTTCCCCAAGCTAACGCGCACCGCAACCCAACGCAGCCCGCCACGCCCTGACGGACGAATCCGTCACGCTGATCCACAGCGCCCTGTCGGCCCTCGTCGACGCCGCCGCCGTCTTCCCCACCATCATCCGCACCGACTTGCACGCCTGCCTGCTGCAGATCTTCATCACCATCCTCGGCACGCCCTCGACCCAGGCCCTCGTCGTGCCGCAGGTGCTGCCGCTGTTCCGGCGCTTCGTCGCCTCATTGGCACAGGCACCACAACCGCAAGTGCAGCCGCAATCCCCGACGGCGCAGCAGCAGGATCTCCCCACGCAAGCCCAGCTGCGCAGCACCCTCGACCGCTTCCTAGCCATCATCGCGCACGCCCAGCTGCGCGAGCACGAGGCCGCCCTCCCCGCCGAGAAAAACACCCTCATGGCACTGACGATGCTGCTGAGCTGCGCGGCGCGCGCCCTCGACCCGCTGGACCCGCTGCTCGAGCGCGCGGTCGGCACGCTGCTCGATTGCTTGAACAACCGCATGACGTCAAAGGTCGCGGCGAACTGTGCTCGCTCGCTGCTGCTGCTGCCGAAGCGCGCAGGCGCAGCCACCGAGCAGCAGCAGCAGCCGCAGCTCACGACAGAAGCAGCCCTCGCCCGCCTCCTCCTCCCCCGCCTCGTCGCTTTCCTCGCAAACCCCTCGGACCTGGAAGACCTGGCCGAGAGCCGCGCGCTCGTCGCCCGCGCGCTGACCGCTTTCGTCGCCTCGCTCGCCCAAGGCGGGAACTCTGCTGCTGCGGCTGCGGCCATGGCGCTGGTTATCCCTGCGCTCTTGGCGCGCGCGGCGAGGGAGCCGGGGGCGGATGGCGCTGCTGTGGCGGCTGCTACCGCGTCCTCCCCTTCTGGGGCTCCTTCGTCGGGGGCTCCTTCGTCGCCGACGCCCCTGGTCCAGGAAACAGCAGCACGCATCCTAGAGCTCGCGGCCGCGGACCAAGCGGCTTTTGTGGCGACGGCTACCGGGGGACTGGCGCCTGGCGTGCGCGCGTTCATGGAGGGCGTGGTTAGGAGTGGCGCGCAAGGGGCGGCGGGCGGGAGGAAGGAGGAGGAGAGTGTGAGGGAGGAGGGGGCGGGTGAGGGGCCGAGGATTGCGCTGAGGATGGATTTTTAGAGGGGGGGGTTTTTTGGGTGGGAAGGGGAGGGGGGAGTGTGTACGTTGTGCTTAATGCCTAGCTGTCTTGTGTGTGCTTGTCTTGTCTTGTCTTGTGTACGCTTGTATTGTGTCCTGTGTGTGGGGGGTTCTGGAGCTGTTGATGGTGGTGATAGTGCTGCTCTCGTAAGCCGCGGCCTTCCATGGTTTCGGTTGTGATGTGTATATGTGCACTGCATATTGTATATCACCCCTAAACAAAACAGCCCACCTACCTCCCTCGCCTTCACCGGCGCCAATGCAGGGACAGGAAAATCAAAAATCACGCGTACATACGTACGCTACGCCCATCCGCCCGCTACCTTAGTCGCGCCATCGCTATCCATCTGCCTCTCCCTCACGCGGCATGGCAATGGCATATCCAAAGCCGTGACTGCCTTTGCCCCAAGAAAGCCGGCGCCGATACGTTGGCTAAACGCATCACGTCCGGCGTCTTCTGTGTCTCTTCAGTCTTCAATGACAACCCCTCCAATGAAAACTCGTAAGAATGCCATTGTATGTAGTAAGTTAGAACAGTATAGTTGATACGCGACGCCATTGCTGCGGCGGGAGAGATGGCGCCGTCGTCTCCGGGTAATGGCGCAGGGTGACAGTCGCAGGTCGTCTTCCGCAGGTGGTGGTTTGGGGCAATGGAGTCTGTGCGTCAGGGGTCTTGTGGAGGGTCAGAGATGTTTTGTAGCATAGCTAGAATATGGAGGATTATGAGAGGAGAGAGAAGGGTAGGTAGGGGCGTTGATGATGGGCAGGGAAGGAGTATCTAAGAAAATACATCAGTTCTGTTGCGTGCAAAGAAAGCACTTATCTAGCCACATAGACCTGTGTGTGATCAAAGAGGTTTATCTCATGCGTACTGTCATTCATCACGCGTGCCCTAAGCCGACTAGGCCCTCCGCTCTGTCCCGTCTTCCTAAGTTAATATACCAGGAGCAACTTCATGCCTCCCTCGTCTCTGCCCGTATGTCGTACGCTAAAACGCAGCTCGCGCCACAGCAGCGCCATCTACATTGCATCCACGGCCAACCAGCGAGCACCGTCTCGCCAAAAGGAGGAAGAGAAGCCAGTACCACGTACACACACCAACAACGGCAAGATCAACAATCAAAATCCACAGCCAATATGCTGTGCCGGGCCCCTGGTAGATGACAAGGTCGGGCGTGGCTTATCTAGAAATAGAAGGGTGCCTACGCGGCGGTGGTTTTGTTAAGTGCGATAGTCATGACGGGGCCTACGAAGCAGAACAGGCTACGCCGACGTATAAAGGGCTGATCAAGGCCCAGAGAGGAAGCGGCGAAGTGCAGATGTGCGCAAGAATCATTAGTTCTTCAGTACTCGCTGGCTAACGGAAACTTTCTTGATTTGTTCACAGTGGAGGGCCGGAGTTGGTCCTGCAATTTGTTTGTGATTGAGTGGTCGTGTTTAGGTCTTGTTCAAACAGAATAACGACAGTCGTCATCACGCTTCCATGACAAACGTCCGCGTCTCCGAAAATGTATGTACATCGTTATCGAGATCTTGTGTGCGGCTTGAGATTCCGGGAAGAAAGAACTCGCCGACAAGAGCAGAGGAATTTGGTCGTTGTTGCGCCGCAGTCCCTAGTTTTCTGGTTTGTCGACCTACCTCATACTGTACCGTATACAATATGGGTACTTCAGACTGCAGCTGCGGTGGCTGCATCCGAGGGTGCTCTGTAGGTGCCGTTTTTATACCATGTATACCACGGAATAACTGCCCCGGAACTCAAGGAAGTATATGAATTCGACAACACACTCACAACACACTCTTGCACGTACAACGCGCTCCACCATCGCCCTCGCCTACACACCTGGCCTTTGCTGTCCAGCCGCCGTAGCCGTGCCGCTGCTGCGCTGGCGTCGGCGTAGATATCTTCTGGGACGAGGCTGTCTGCCGCCTGGCCAGTCCTAGAACTTGCCGCTCCTGGCACGGTGCAACACGGCACAGTCACGGACGGTGCGAAGAGCGCGTGCCTACTATTTCTAGTGATGTGCAAGGCTGGGGTGGAGCAGATACCGCGCGCTGCCAAATGAGCACAAGGCCTCTTTTCTCGAGCAGAGGCATCGCTGGGAAGGCGTTTTTGGAGGTCACCATCATTTTGCTGACATAGCGAAGCCGTGTGTTGTTGCATGGCGCCTTGATGAGATGTCGCTGTTGACGGAAGGCTGGATGGAGGGCGCGCATGTATATACGTCTTGCCAGTGGCTTGCTGTGCAGCAGACTTTTTCAAACCTTGCCCACTGCTCTTTTTTTGCTTCTTCGCCGGAATCTTCTTCTGCACTCCTGGCTTTGGAGCCGCTGTTGCGGGTAGCACGAGCTCTTGTGGCCCGCGGCTACTGTGCATGCTGCTTGGCCGGCGGTAGGAAAAATGTCTGTCTATCGTGCAGCTCGTCCATCAAGAAGACAGCAGTCCAGTGTTTCCACTAGCCACGGTCATGGTGGTTCAAGTACCTCGTTGTTGCGAATCTCAGGAAGAAGTGAAGAAGTGTCGTCGGCACCGCGTCACGCGTCGCAGCACGCGACTCATTCCCCACCGCATCAGCGCGAGCCCTGACTCAGCAGCCTCTCTACAATTCCACCACCATCATCACGACCTCACCTGCCCCGCCCACCACACACCCACAACAACAAACATGTCCTCGAACGTCGGGCTCACCACCCCCCGCGGCAGCGGCACCTCCGGCTACGTGCAGCGCAACCTCTCCGCGCTGCGCCCGCGCGACGCCGCCGCGCCCTACACCAAGGACTACGACGCCATCAAGGCGCACCGCCAGCGGCAGCCGGACAAGGAGATCCTGGAGCACGATCGCAAGCGCGAGGTCGAGGTCAAGGTGTTTGAGCTGCGGGACAGGCTCGAGGACGAGGGGTACGTCACTACGTTTCCCTTCCCTTCACCCACCACCCACCACCACAACAACCGCAACCCCCACTAATGCCCCTCCCCCACCCCCAGCGTCGACGAAGACGAAATAGAAACCCAAACCAGTGCCTTACGGGCCAAACTCCTCGCCGCCGCCCCCGCCGCCTCGTCCTCCTCCGCGCGAACCAGAAACCTAAAATCGCACCAAGTGCACGAGCTTGCGGCCGCCAAGATCGAGGAGAGCGAGAAGCTGCGCCGCGCGCTTGGCATCCGGGAGGACTATGAGGAGGGGGGGCATTGGCGGCGGCAAGAGGAGAGGCTGAGGGAGGGTGTGGTGCGGGAGCGGGAGGCTGAGAAGGAGAGGGAGAGGGAGAGGGAGGGTGGTCTTGAGAGGGGGAGTGGCGGTGGCAGGGAGGGCAGGCGCGAGAGCGCCGACGAGCGCTGGGCGCGTGAGAGGGACGAGCGCGAGGGGAGCGATTGAGTATGGATGTGCGCGCGCAGCGTTCCATGGGACGGGATGGGTAAACTCGTGTCACAAAATCCGGCGTTTTCGAGGCGCAGCAAGGCAGGCGTTCATTTCATTTCATTTCCTTCCTCAGCTCCTCTACCTAGGTCCTGCACCTACGTGCGCGCAGCGTGCATGCATGCATGCGTCATCAGGCAGGCAGGCAGGCAGCGCCGTGGGCACGACCGAAATGCATTTTGTTTTCCTTTTCTGTTTCTCAATGCCATGGACACACCCGACCAACAAAGCACCCACGCACTAAAACCACAGCACAGCATAGTACAGCACACGAGCTCACTCACAAACAAGATACGTACGTACATATATATGCATGACATATGTATATAAGTATATATATAACCATCATCCGCCTTCATTCCCCCTCTACCTATCACTCCTTCCCATCCCCTCCCATCCGAACCCCACCCTTGCATTCCCATTCCCATTCCTCTCCTTCACCCAAAATCAATGTCGATATTGGATGCCAAATTACTTACGATACGATACTATACTATCTATATTCACTACCACGCACTACCACCCCTTCCCCCTTAAACAAACCTACCCCCCTCAACAAAACTACAACCCTCATACCCGTCCCTCTCCGAGCCCAACATCTCCCCAAGCATAGGTATAGGCGTAGGAGGCCTAGGCGGAGGCTTCGGCTTCGGCTTTGGTTTGGGATTTGAGTTCGAATTGCCATTGACACTGAATCTGTGTTTAATTTTCGGTTTTGGCGGCGGTGGTGGTGGTGTTTTTTGAGTTTGGGTTTGTGTTTGGGTGGAGGTGTTGAGGGAGTCGAGCAGGCTGAGGTTTGTGGCTGTGAGGGAGGTGGTGGGGCGGTGTTTACTACTGCCACCACAGCTGCTGCTGTCGCTGGCGCTGGGGACGCGCTCGCGCACCGCAACCACGCGCCTGCAGTCCGTTTTCCGTCCTTCTGACGCCGGCGCCTGCGCTTGCGCTTTCGGCGTCTCGTTTCTGGGCAAGGTGACTGCGGTTGTGGTTTTGGCAGGGCTGGGGCTCATGCTCGTGCTTTTTCCGTTGATAAAGTTGTTGCTGCTTCTGGCCTGGCTGGCCGATGGCCTGGAAAAGCTTTCTTTCGTGCAGCCACAGCAGGTCCTGCACTCCGTGACCTCTGCGTCGGATCTCGAGGCACTGGTCGCCTCCTTTTTCGACACCACTGCGGCAGCGGCCGCCGCAGCCGCAGCACCTCGCGCAAGCAGCGCGCTGCCAGGCGCGGCGCGGGAGCGGGCAGCATGGCTCGCAGAGGAGGCTGGCTTGGATGAGGCAGAGCGCGGCCTGCTGAAAGCAGCTGCCCTGCGCTCGACCGCATGCCACTTCTCGCGCCCGACGTACGCCTTGGGCGGGAGGGGCAGCTCGAAGCCGCTGGCCCACTCGTCCTCCCGCTCCTTGACTTCCCACTCGCAGCACTCGGGCTCGTCGTCGCACACCGCCGTCTCGTTGCCCTCACCTAGCCCCAGCATGCCATCGCGGATCGCGTTGATCGTGTCCACGCAGAGCCCGTACGCGCTGCGCCGCCCCTCGGGCATGTAGAACTCTGCTTCGGAGACGCGGCGGCCGCTCGTATCCAGCCAGCCGTCGCTGTAGCGCGAGGCCGCCCACCGTCCCCGCTTGTAGCTGCGTGTGTTGCGCAGGTAGGCGTTGCGGGGGCGGGGCCGCTGCGGGCTGAGCGTGGGCGGGAAGTGTACGGTTTTGCGAGGTGGCGGGCCGTTTTGCTTGTCTTTGTTTTTTTCTTCGGTTTTCAGGATCCCTTTCAGGCCGCCGTGTTTGCTGCTTTTTGATTCTTTTTCTTTCTTCGCTTTTCCTTTGGCTTCTCTATCCTTTTTATCTGGGGATTCTAACGACGTTACCCACGCAAACAATGCTGCTGATACTTTCCTTGGTTCCTCCGCTGGCAGTGCTGGCCGTCGTCGTACTGGGAGCGGTGGTCGTGATGGCGCCGCCAATTCCATGGCAGCGACGCCGTCGAGCGCCACTGACCGTGCGTACAGCTGCAGTTGCATGGTGCGGATGGCATTCCGGCGGCTCTCGAACGATGCCGCGGGCATACAATAAGGCGTGCCGTTGCGAAAGTCGGTGAGGTCGCGTGTGTAGTCGGTCGTGATGAGCGTGAGCTCGGCCAGCAGGCCGCGCAAGCTGGGATGGATGTCGGAGACGGTGGATATGGATCCTGCGAGTGCATACATGTCCGCTTTCGGGCTGGTTGCTTTGCCTGCGCTGCCCTCTTCCTTCCAGTGTGCCATACTGGGTACGATGAATGCAGTGGATTTGCTGAGGGTATTGGACATGACCGACGTGCGTGATTTTGGGGTAGTGTCCTTGGTGGTATCCGGTCCCGATGGGCGCAAGGGAAGCTCTTTTAGCTCAGGGACGGAAGTGCTATTTCTTTGAAAGCTGGGTTTGGAGGACGATGGGCTGGCAAGTGAATGGGCCATATCTTGCGTATGCCGGATTTCAGTGTCCACGCCATCGTGGAAAGTCTCTCGTATTGCGTAGCTCATTGGTCGTTGATGGATTCGGAAGCAGTTGGAGTGGAACGGATAGAGTTGTGTAGAATTCAGAATTGGATTTTGGACATGCAGAGCAGGTTTTGTGCGCGGTCATTGATGGTTGTCGCATTTTCTGGCTCAGTGACAAGACCATGTATCTGATGAGGAAAAGCGGCACCGTCGCGCACCAAAGGCTGGAGAAGCACCTAAGTGCTTGGAGTTTGGCTCTTGCATGTTGTTGACGACGTGATTGTGAGCAAGCAATACGCGCATGGAACCGGTGTTTGGTGGGGTTGATTGTGCGATTGTGTAAGTGTTGTGTAGATGGAAGTCGCGAGGTGTGGGCTGGGCCGCAGCTGCCTATTGCGACGTCCCCCACCATTTCTAAATCTCTGGACAATCTGCGCAATTTTTCTTCGCTTTCTTACGCACAACCTGCGCCACCAATTCTGGGCGATTCTGGTGTCTCACTTCAAAGGTACGTGACTTGCTTTCACACCATCAAACTCTACATCACTACACTCTCGCACCCTCATAGCTTCATATCATCACATACTAATAAAACATCCTTTCTCTAGTCTTGAAACATCATACAACACCAGCCAGCTCCATTCTCACTCTCGGCTCCAACACCTCGACAGTCTACTCTACTCAACCAACAACCCTCTCTCTCCTCAGCCCAACCCCACCCCTCCGCACCACACCCCCCGACCTAACAACCCTCATCAGCACCCCCTCACGAAGCACAAACACGCCCTCCCCGCCCGGCCCCCTCAGCACCGTCGCCGTCTGCTTCCCATCGCTATCGCCATCAGGCACCGAGCCCACGATCTCAAAGCCCGCGAGATACACGCTAGCGGGGACGAGGACGCGCGTGGGGTTATGAGAGGGCGTGCGTGGTGTTGGCGGCGTGGTTATTGGCATTGGACTGGACGAGCGAGAGAGATGTAAGGAGGGCGAGACGTCCGCCCAGCGAGCACGGGAACGCTGCTGAGCCTCGTCGGCCCCCTCCTTCTCTCTCTCTCCGTCCCTCTCACGCCACACCCCCAGATCCAAATTCGCAACTCTACACCGCGCACTCCTGTACCGCAGCCTCCGCTCCCTCACAAGCTCCAACAGCCCATCCAGCACCTCCAACTCGATCTCCATCTGTCTCTCGCTCTCCTCGTCTCCATTTTCATCCTCGCCTTCTACTATCTTCCCCTCCGCTTTCAGAGCGACGAAGCGCGCGTATCCCGCCCGTTCAGCAGCCTCATAGTGGGATTTCGCAGCGTGGTATGCCGCCTCTGCGCGCTCGAGACGGATGCACGTCCCGCAGAGCGCGAGAGCGGGCGCGGCACTGTCTCCACCTGCTGCTGTGGCGGTGACGGGGTGCCGGCAGCGGAGGGCGCGGGCGGGGGAGCAGTCCCTCACCGCCATGGGAGTGGGCGCGTCCACTTCGTCGTCGTCCCCGTCCCCAGCAGCAACAAGCGCCAGCGCCGCCACCGCAATCGCAGCATCGGGTCCCTGTGCGCGGACGTCACGGCGCAGCGACACGAGGCTGGGGGGATGGGGGCGCAAGGACTTGGCGGAGAAGAGGAGGCGCGAGAAGTGCCTGCTTTTGCTCCTCGCTTTCACTTTCGCTTTTGCCTTGCGCCATGCGGCCTTGGGCGATGATGATGGGGTGGGTGGCGGGGAGGGTGACTGCGGAGTTGGCGTTGGCGTCGGCGTCGGCGGCCGTGCTGCTGGTGCTGGTGCTGGTGCCGGTGGCGGGGTAGGTCTCGCGGGGATGGGGTACACGCGCAGCATCTCGCTGAAGTGGACCCTCCGGCTCTCGGGCGTGGTTTGCAGGGTCGCGGGGGCGTTGTCCGCGTCCATGTTGCGGTAGCGCGTGCGGCTTTGGTGGTTGTGGGTGCCGCGTGCAGCTGAACGTAGCCGTCCGTATGCGGTGAGGTGCGTTGCAACAGTATTAGGAGTCGCTGGTGGTGCTGCGGGGGTTTGGTTACAGCGGTGCGCGGTATACTATAGATGCGTAGCTTAATAGGCTAGGCGCGGGTATTTCGAAGTGAAGAATCAGTACACAAGGCCAGTGCGCGCGAGACGGGTTATAGGCATTTGGGATTTAGGTTCTAACTGCTCGTGGGGAGAGGAGTTGGTGTTTTGCCCAGGAGTGATACTATGGGGTGCGAGCATGGTGCGCTGTTCCATGCTTGTTGCGCGTGGATGAGGCGTCTGGCGGACCACCGGTGGTCTGGTACCGGGATTGGGTGCATGGCACCCTGGTACGGATGTGGCAACGTCGCGGCTCCGGCGACGCAGCGTGCTGAGGCTGGTAGCAGCTGCGAGGGCTGGAAGCGGTATCGTGATGTTTTGTTTCATGGTGAACATGATCTTGACGGTGGATTTTAGAGGTTAGTATTGCTGCTGCGGTTGGTGTTGGAGCGGCGGTTTTGGTTTCTGCTGTCGTGAGTGGTGTTGGGTGTGAGGTTGTAAGGGTGATGGTTGGTAAGTGGTTTTGTCTTTCGACTGGGAAGTTTGAGTACTTTTAGCCGGTAAATAGCTTAGATATGCTGGATATAAATCAGTAGTCGTGGTGCTTTAGAAATGCACAAATAAATCAGTGTTCTTCGTTCTGTTTCCTTGCGAAGCGTCAGTGGAACCAAAAATCAATTAGAGTGCTGCATGGCACAAGTGCGGTAGCTTTTAACAGGCCACCATAAAAGTAAAAGGCTCCCTGATGCTCCTGGCTTGCCCAAAGGTGCTTGGGAATATTAGAACAATCATTCTTTAGTTCGTGTTTGGTGTTGGCGAAGAATGTGATCGCAAAGACGCATGCGCCCCCGCCCCCAGCACACCACGCCCAACGCGACGCCCCAGAAAACCAAAAAACCAGTGCTCTTACATTGCAAGGACACCGAGAGAGTAAAAGCAGTAGTCCGGGGAACTCCGAAAGGTGTAGTGGTCGGCGAAATCTCGGCCAAATTTCTCACCACCAAAAAATCTTCACCGGGCCCACAACCACCAAATTTAACGCTATCACGACCATTTCAAGTGCAAAAAAAGTGATTGGGAATTGAGCCCAACGCGGGGGTCGAACCCGCAGCCTTGAGATGCCTTGGATCATTGCCTTCTGCTGAAGGAATGGTAAGAGTCTCACGCTCTACCGATTGAGCTAGCCAGGCGGTTGTTGGAAGCGAACTTCCTTGCTGTTGATGGAAGGACAATGGCGTTTGGAAGTTATGAAAAAGAGGACTGTGGCTTGCTTCTCTGCTGATTGCGAGGGCTATGGGGCAGCGGTGCGGGTGAGAGGTGCCAGTGTTGGTGGGAGGGGTGCAGGTTGACTCATCGCGGAGATAAACTCACGGACTTCCGACGGCAGAAAACCATCGACTCTGTGCCGAAAGGCAAGCCTGAAGTAAGCCTTTACCATGAGAAAGTAGAATAACAGAAGTACTTTGGACGGAATAAAAAAACGAAATGACGGATTTTTGACCTCACTGACGAATTTGAGTATGATTGTCTTGCCAGAGGTAAAACTCATTGGCAACTTCCGGTTCTTGATCGTATTCAGTATGCCATACACTCAGAAAATAAAAGAGGAGAGTAGTTGGTAAAAGGGACGATTGACCGGAGGAATTGAAATTCAGTGAACTCGAATGCGACACAGAACGCACTTTGTCTCGGTTTCAGCATTGCAACTTCTCCCTGCAGCCATGCCTTCGCTTGCCTATGTTTATTCTCGCAAACTACAAGGGTAAAGTTGTTTGTCGGACTTGAGATCCAAGTCGGGGCAGAGGTTAACCACAGGGACAAGAGCGCGAAACTTCGGATTTTAGAATAACTACCTGTTGATTAACCAAACTTTCCGATGATGGGCAACAATCTCAACGACGCCAAGCCTTTAAGTAATTATAGAGCCGCTCGTAGAGAATCTAATCTGTATCTGACATTTAAGTGAACGATAGGATTTTTTTGAGTGCGATAAATCCAATGCCCATCAACGTCCTTTCTTCAGATTTTAGATGATAAAATAGTACTTCAGGCTTGAATTTTTAACAAAGAAAGAAAATATAATAACAATAGTTATATGGCACGAACAGGGCCGCTGGAATTAAGCCGTCATGAGATAAGGCTCACTGATGCTCCAGGTTTGCCCCAAAGTGTCTGAACTTTATCATAGAAGAAAATCGTCCTTTGATGCTGGCAGGAGTTGCGATGGCAGAGATACATACGCCTTATGCTCTCTTCATTCTAGAGGTGTGATGTGCAGACAATGTTTACTTGCAATATGTGGCTTATCCCAGGCTTCATTCAGCAACGCTTGCTACATACTCAACAATCAGCTCTCCTCTACAGTGTAGTATTCATAGGTTCGCAGTTGTTTTTGATGTAGTCGTCGTCATTATGTCGTTGTCGTTGTCCGCGCCGGTAGTGTCGTCTTCGTAGTCGTTGTCACCGATTCTACCTACACTACACTACTACATGCATGAACCCCCAGTGCCTTCACTCTTATTCATTGCTCATGAGTGTACATACGGCATTGCCGTGTAGTGGAGAGGAGAGAAATGAAAAAGAAGGAAGTCGCATAGCTAGGTTTCCCGCGTTTGTGCAAGAGCCCAGGTGCCCGTGTGCCTGTACCTGCCTGCCAGTCATGGATAAGGGAAGGAGAGGAGAGACACATGCGTGCCAGTTCGTCTGCGTACCTACCTGCTTGTAGTAGAGGGCAGGCACGCATACCAGCTTTCCTGTATGCTTTCAGTTTCCAGCTTGCGTACTCTTACAACCTACCAGCTCCGCCGTCGTAGTCGCCAGCAGCAGCAGCAGCAGCAGCACCAGCACCAGCATCAGCAGCATGCCCCCGCCAGGTTCGGTGCCCTTGTTGGGCCCAGATGATTGGGCGCGTTTGGCTCGGCCGGAGCCGCAGCAGCAGCAGGAGCAGGAGCAGGAGAAGGAAGAGGGCCCACCGAAGAAGGTAAGTTATCGCTCTTTCGAATCCTCTTTGTACTCTTCCATGTACCTTATCCTTGTACCCTCGGGATGTCCTCGTGCTCCTGTATGCGTATTCCCTCGTGTCCTTCTGAGTCTTCTTGTACCCCTGCGTCTACCTTACCCTCGTACTCTCAGGATGTCCTTGTGCCCCTGTATGCGAAGTCCCTCATACCCTTTCGAATCCACTTGTACCCTTGACTCCGTACTAATAGATGTTTGTAGAAGCGCAGGAACCCGACAGGCGCGAGCGCGAGCGCCGCCGCCAGCAGAAGCAGCAGGAGCAGGAGCAGCAGGAGCAGCGACCCCAACCGACCGGGGATTTTTGTCTCGTCCTCGGGCGTATGTCCAGCTCGGTCTCCGACCAGAAGAAGAAATCGGAGAGGGCCAATGGCCGCCTGCTTGGGAGAAGGCTTGGCGAGAACGCCTACCATCCCCGTCAATTCCAGCAGGTCATTGGGACCTTCGGTGTTCAGACATCCGGAGACACGGTCCGATGGGAGGGCGCTCCCGGAGGATTTGAGACAGAAATCCGCAACGCGATCATGGGACTCCTCAAGGGCTGCAACTTGACGGTTCTGATTAGGTCGATCGATGGCCTAACCAGCAATGGCGAAGTTTTCTGGAACTTCGTCGATTTCTTCAGCCGTCATGTAAAGTTGCAGATCCTATGGCAGTGTTCCATAGTTTGCGAGGAGACGGACCATCCTCGCCTGGTAGGATACCGGGGATTGGGTTCGGTGCTGGATATCCCAATGGAGGAGTTTATGGCCTTCGTTCAATCCGACGGCGACGTACGCACCCCGAATGTTAGAAGGCTTCTCCAGATTTGGTGGAACGTCAACAACAGGAAGGGTCTCGCTCAGCTGGGATATCCGCACCGCAACGAGGTGCCAGATAGCAACCAGACCGCCGCCAGGCGCGTCTGACTAACCTCTCGACAATCCAACCCAACCTCAGGTATACCTAGACAGGCATGGTCGCGATCTCGCGGATAAGAGCTTGGCATTTTCACATACTCGCGCAGTCCCAGCAGTGTAGCATCATCCATCTCTTCAACATGGTGGGGAGGTCTTCACCTGGGGCTCTTAGCTGTGGCCCGTCACACCCAGCACCACCTCTCTCGTCTACTCAAGCCACCCAGACAGCGTGCTGATGATCTGAAACCCGCATGGGGAGTAAATGCAGCATGCCGCCCACCAACAATCTGAAGCCCTACATTTATGTAGTGGTGCAACGTGAGGTGTCATACTTCGAGCAATCGAGTATGTTTGGCGATGACTTTCAGACCAGCCTCTGGGACGGAGTCTGAGGCATCCCTGGGGCTATCCTCTTGAGCCGCGTTACCCGTCTGGCATGGAGCAAGCGGTTGTAGGCAGCGTGCGGAATCGTCCAGCCTTATTACCGTCGGTCCAGTCAAATGGACGGTACGCTAACGGACGGTCACGACCGTCTCCGTAGCGTCGCGCCAAGAACGGTCTCGCCCCGACGGAGCTTGGTTCAGGGGGACGGTGGCAGATGGTAGTTAGATATAATTTTGCTGGTGTACCGAATAATTGATGGTGTTGAGGGGTATCTCAGGGGTAACTCCGCCGCCACCTGCCTAAATACGTTTAGCGTTAGGGCTAGATCAACGTCAGACTCAACGTCGGGGTTGTTTACGTGCCAAGCCAACGGCCGAAGTCATGCCGAACGTCTTCGTAGCTTCAATTTTTACAAATCTTTCTCAACACCACGCCAGTTATAAGGCCTGCACCCCGGCGGTCGCACTGCACGTTGATTTAGCAAGCCCAGGACCACCTTTTAAAAATTCAACAACCCCGTAGGTCCACCAGCAACCGATTTATAATAGCATTCGTTCGAGAGACTCCGGACAATACGACTGACACCTCCGCGGCCACGTTAATTAGCAGCCTTACGTCTAAACCCTCTAATATCACCGAACTACACCGCCAGAGGTGCCTGAGTAGCTAGCTACCCGCTGGGTGGGTGAGGACAGAGGACTAGATGGCAGCAGGACCCGCGGAGGGCCCATGAAGGCCTCAACACTATGCTAAGACATCTACATGGCCGTGGGGGACGTTACTGGGCAGTAAACAACACGATTTGGCCAATAAATAATTAGTAAGTATCTATGGAGTCACACACGACTTATGCGAAGGAACTAACACGGCTAATTTAGGTGGGAAAACGGCCATTTTCTTCCGCTCGCGGAGCTTCGCTGGACGCGCTATTGCGTGCCGAACGACGTGCTAAACGACGTGCGAGCCTGCGGGCGAGCGCTGGGTAGGCGAACGAGCGAATATTTGCGAACGAGCGAGCGAGCGAGCGCGCGCGCGCAGTAGCAGGTCTTCGCAAGCTTACAGTTGAGCCGCCAGAGGCCTGTTTTACACCCTAAATCGACCCTCTGGGGCTGGCGGAGGAGCGTGCGGGGACGCGGGGGGGCGAGGGGGGGCAGTTATTCGTATTTTTTTGTACATATTCGCATATATTCGATCAACACCATGCCAAGCCTCGTGATAACCGTCCGACGGAGCCGGACGACTCACTCCACCGTCTTAATGAACGGCTGGGCCGTACGGACTGTGGGCTATCCGTCCCGTCTACCGTCTGGCGCCGACGGGACGGTTGAACACGCTGGTTGTAGGGCCCTTGCACCCCGGCATGGCCTCGCGCTTTCGCGCAGCGCCGGGGGTGAGTAGCACTTAGTGTGAAACCAAGCGAGGTCAACAGAGTATCGTTCGGACTTCGGTTCGGTTCTGCTCTCGTCTGTCTGTCAGTCTCTCTCTCTCGACTCGACTCGACTCGACTCGACCTTTACGCTTATGTCTACCTTCATTGGGCACGGTTCGCACACGGCATGGTCTTCCTTCTTCTGACCGGCCACCGACCTGATCTTCTCTCTCTGATCGGTCTCTTCGAAAGCAACTTTCTTCGACTTGCATCTTCTCAATCGATCAAGTCAGCTTTCTGTGACAAGAGGTTTCTGTCGTCAAATCCACTGCCATCACCTACCGGCACACGACGGAACCTGCCTTTCGGGGCATCCAGACTTCGGTCTCACCAGAAGACATGGGACGTCTTCATTCTCGCTCTTGCTCAACAAACTCGTTCGGTTCTCGGCTCGCTTCGTTTACTGCTTGTCGCGTTCATCAAAACTCATCCGATTGAACCTGAACTCGAGCCTGAGCTTGAGAAACTGCAGTTACCTTGGTGCTGCTTCAAGTCAATACAATCCGAATCGCTGCTTCTGTTTCAACTGTTCAACTTACAGTCCGCTGTTCAACTCAAAGTCTGTTCAAATCAAGTCGCTGGTCAACCCAAAGTCTGCTCACACCAGTCTGCTGTTCAGCTCCAAATCTGCTCAAATCAGTCTGCTGCCCAAATCAGTCCGCTGCTCAACTTACAATCTGCTGCCTATCCAAGCACCGAACTTCTGTTCTGACTCTCGAAGAACAATTTCAACACCGAATTGTTGCTCAAACTAACTCCGAGCTCTTCAAAGCTTCATCTGCTGCTCCGGCTTTCAAATTGCTGCTCGACACAATTTTTGAATTTCTGCTCCAACTCTTCAATCACAGCTTCAGAAATCCAAACTGTTGCTCCAATGCTCCACTTCAATCGCTCGAGTCAATCAGTTTCAAGCATATCCAGCTCTCAACGACAGCTCCAAACACAAGCTGCTCTTTCAACTCTTGTCTCACCTCACCGAACTCCGAATTTATGCTCCCACTCTTTCAATGCAGTCCAAGTTTCAAGATGTAGCCAAGAACACCGAACAGGCTCGAACAATTCACAACTGTCCGCCGTTTGTTCAACATCGAGTTTACCGCGTGCTGAATCCGGCTCAACCAAAGATAATGCCGATTCTAACGCTGGGATGGGATAACCGCCGCTGCCGCTGCCGTCTCCATAGCGAAGAATCAAACTCAAGTTCGAGGTCATTCGTCGGAGGAATGAGACAACTCTCGCACCTCACAAGTTGATATCTCGGTCCGAAACTATCTCTTCGTCAACCACGACAGCTGCGGAGCCAAGTGCAAGCCTACGGAAACCACTTACAACTGATTCGAAATGCTAACACTCGTTGGGTGCTCGAAATAGGCTCGCTTGCGTCCTCGATGAAACGAGCATTTTATGGCCAAGTCTTTGCCGCTATACGACGCCACTCGTTGACAGTGTTGGCATCTTGTGATGAAGCGTGCTGGAAGTTTGGTGATTAGGTCGGCGGCATGGTACGATGGTACAATGGCAATGGCGGTATGGAGTAGGGGACTTGGTTCTGCTTTGCGCTGACGGTTGGTGGGGGTAAGGTTGTTGTTGAAGGTTTCAAAGGCGCTAATGGTGCTGGTTGTGGATAGGTTGTTGGGAGTTTTTGAAGACGCCGATGGTACTGATGGATTGGCTCATTGGAGAATAGCGGACGTTGACGGCGGTTCGGTGGATCTTCACACATTCATCGGAGGTTGAATGAAGGGCTGAAAGATAAAGACATTCCCATAGCGCTTGTACTTAGATTTACAAGTAGTTAGCAATGATCAAAGAATAATTGTCGTCTTGCGTAGTTGCGGGCACGAGACCGCCGTTGGTAGCAACTGGCAATGCGGCGCGGCGGGGACGCGCTAGGGTCGCATCTGCGCTGACTAACTACACTAACTTGATAAGGCGAGTACTAACCTACATGAGGCTGCGTCACGGGACAGCGCGCCAGACAGCTCGTTGATCAAGAACGGCGGACGGTCATACAAGACAATTGCCTTCCGTAGCTCCATTAGCTCACCCCATCTTTACGTCCGTTGTGTTCATATCAAGATGAGCAGCCCGATATGTTGCGTCGCCTGCCTCAGGCAGAAACCCAAAATAGAAACTTCCGCGACGATCCGCCCTCCGAGGAGAAGAACGCCTTAGGTAGCCCCCGTCTACAGAAATCCATGGCATCGCTTAGCCGCCATGACAACGCCCCCATCCAACGAATCTCCGAGCGAAACATATTTCAAGTGCAAACATTGCTCTGAGAGATTCCGACGGGACGATCATCTCCGCCGCCACGAGCTCAGCCATGGTTTTCCTCGCTTCCTGTGCGAGCACCCGGACTGCGGGATGCGCTTCCACCGAAAGGACGTCCTGCAGAGGCATCAGCTAGTGCACCAGCCGAACCCGACCAAAAAACGTCGCAAACCGCGCAGAGGCGTCCTTCCACGCGGGCCCATCCAGGCTTGCACTCCTCAGGCCGCCAGTCCAGAGCCCAACCCAACCCCGGAGCCTGCGCGGGACCAGCCGTCACCCTTTCCTCCATTGGGACAAAATGCAGCAGCCAATCTTGCCAGCATACCCTCCTTAACAGCTGACACGCCGGCATCCAACGCGAGCCTAAATCTGGAGCCGTTCAACTTTTCCTCCGAGCTCACCATGGGCCTCGAGGATCTGAGCCATGACTCACCCATTCTTGATGACGGATTGGGCAGGTTCCAAGCCGTCACGTGGGCTGATCTGGGGATGCCTTTTGATTTCGACATCGCTCCGCAAAGTCAGCCATATCCGCAGTACCCTGCTTCCACGTCCAATCCAGATGTTTTCGCGATGCCAGCAGCCATATCTCCGCCTGCGCCGACAGGCTTTGAAACAGCCGTGCATCCCATGACGCTCGAAGACATGCAAATCTGTCTGGAAAAGTTTCGTCGCATGTTTCTTCCGCGTATACCATTTCTTCACCACTCGACATTCGCCCAAGAAAGCTTGTACTCTGCTCTGGGACTCAGTATGGTGACGGTTGGTGCCATGTATATCCACCAGCACCGTCATAAAGCCCCGCAGGTCTACAGGCTGGCATTGGAGGCACTGAAGCAGCAAAGCCACATGGTAGGTCCAGTGAAATATGCCGTAAACATGTGCTCACGCGGTGATAGGGGGACAACTACATTCGCAATATGCAAGCATCCATCTTGTTGATCGACTTTGCCGCCTGGTATGGGGACGTGGAGTTGCGTCAATGGGGAATACGCGAACAACATGTACTTGCGCAGGTTCGTAGTTTACCCGTCCTAGTGTTTCCCGAGAGCTTTTCAATCCAGAATATGCTACTTCTCCCTGTCCATTCCTACTTGCAATGCATCAGCATGATATCTCACTCTCACCAGCAATGTGACGGTCCGTTGACTGATAAGCTAGCACGCCAACCTGGGGCACTTGCATGACAAGATTGAACCTCTGACGTATGATGACTGGGAAAAATGGAAAAGGCGAGAAGAGGTCAAGAGGTAGCTTCTACTACCTTCCTTCAACACAAACGTCATCGCTGACCTTTAAGGACAATATTGGCATACTTCGTGACGTCCACCCTGGTGACGACATTCCACCCCGTGGCATCACCAACTGTGCCACCGTCGCTTGATATCACGCTTCCATGCCCGGAAAGCGTATGGGACGCGACCAACGAGCATGAGTGGCGGACCCGTGTTGACAAGCTGAGGCTACGGCACAAAAAAGAGATCAACTTCCCCAAAGCGGCCTTTGCGATGTTGCGGACCGACACGACGCACGCGACAGACTATGAGCTTGCCACAGTATTCGGGCAATACATTCTTCTCTGCGTCATAGTCAACTCGTTCAACTTGGCGATTCGCCTCCCGGCCAACTACACGACCTTCGAAGCCTGGCGCGCAAAAGACATGACGCAATTCCATCCGACGACCAACATCGAAGGGGCGCTAAACCTATGGGTGGATCTTTGGTGGGCCAGTCCAGACTCGCTATGGGACTCCAACGTGCCAGCAAACGCGCGCATCGAGGCCATCTTCCTGCACCAGCACACGACGATGCGGCTGTACAAGAACAAAGACTTTAGCAAGGACCGGCCAGACGAGCGGTACAAGCCGGTCCGCACGGCGACGGAGTCGTTCTTCAGCATATCCAAAAACGGCTTCCAAGAGGTAGCGACGTACGCAGGCCACATCCTCAGCGTATCATGCTACTACATTGGGGTAGAGGAAGCGCGGACGATCGTCGACTGGCTCGCGCACATCAGCAGCCCAGCGTACGGCGAGCTGACGAAGCGCGACACCGAGATCGTGACGCGCCTGCGCCAAGCGCTGCGCCGCAACAACGTGACGTCGTGCACGACGGCGCGGGCGGCGGGGACGAGGGCGGCGGACAGCGGGCTGGGCCCTCTCCGCTTGAGTCCGCGGCCCGGCGCCCCGGGCGTCCCGGCCTCGCGCGAGCCGCTAGGCATGGTCGACGAGGGCGACGAGGGCGACGAGGGCGACGAGGGCGCCCGCACCCGTCCCCAGGATGCTAGTATCGCTGAGATGCGCCGCCAGATTATGCTGCTCTATAGTTCGTGTCTCGGGGGGGATGAGTGGAAGCGCTGGAATATGGGCGAGGGGGACGGGCCGTTTGGCGGCGCGAGGCGGAAGAGGAGGATTGGTGAGGAGGGGGTGGAGGGGGAGGTAGATGTGGATGTGGAGAAGGGGGTGGGGAGGGGGTTGTAGGGTGGGTGAGGGGGGTGCGTAATAAGGGTGTAGATATGTATAGATTGATATCCAATGGCGATTGCGGACGGCATGTGCATGCGTGTTTTTGGGACGGTAAGGCTTGTTTCTGTTCGAAGTGCCAAACCTATACCAACATCATTTTAAATATCATTTACCCCAGTAATTTCAACATTGCCTCCCTGGCGCCCCACTGAAGTAGAGCTCGCACGGCAAAACACACCAAACCGTCCCTAGCCAACAACGCTCAAAAACCAGCAGCACGCAACCAAACCAGCAGCAGCAATCAATGGCGCCATGAAAAGCCAGCCCGAAACAAAACAACAGCAGCACACAGCACACAACGCACCCTCCTGTCACTATAACTACCGCCAACAAACAAAACCGCGGAACAAAGCAAGCCAGCACAACAAAAAGCAGCAGAAACTTCAAACTTCAAACTTCCACAGCACCCAACCGCGCACCCATCGTATCTACACCGCAGACAGAGAAGCAGATCCCCCATACAGTGTACCCAATTCCCGCATGTACGTACGGATCTACGCGCACATCTACGCGCGCATCTACGCGCACATCCACGCGCAAAAGCGCCTTTGTTGTGGATGCAATTTTCTCCATACACACGTACATACGTTACATACAGGCGACGCGACATGCCAAACCAGCCAATCAACCATATACAAACGCCCACGCACCCGCCCGCTCGCCCGCATGCGCTTTGTTGAAACCGCCCTCGCCTGACCCGGCGTAGCATAAACACAAACACGACCCCAACCCCAACCCTAATCCTCCTCCTTCCTGTCTATACCTAGGTAAGCACGTACACCATGCATGCATGCTGTTTTGTTTTGTTGAACCCCCACATCTTACACCCCCTCCCAAACCCCTCCTTTTAACCCCCACTCCCAACCCCCCCCCATCACACACCGCAGATATCCGTCTTCAAAAAAACAACAAGCAAGAAAAACGAAAAACAACAGAAAGCGCACTACCTAGCCTCGAACACGCGCAGCGTACTCTCCAGCTTCGTGACCATCTCCTCGTATTCCGCGCGCGGGTCGCTCTGCGCCGTGACTGCGCCGCCAGCGCCGACGGTCCAGACGTCGTAGTCGGAGTCGGAGACAGCGTTTACACTACCACTCCCGCCGCCGTTCACGCCCTCCCCTCCGTTCACGTCCACGCTCTTGCTCCTGTCGCCGTTGGCGCTCCCTTCGGCCGCGCCCTCCCAAAGCACGCCGCTCCTTATAACGACAGAGAAGTCCCCCCCGCCGCCGACGTCCAGGTAGCCCAAAACGCCGCTGTAGACGCCGCGGGGCACGGAGTCCTCGATGGCAGTCAGCAGTTCGCAGGAGCGTTTTTTGGGCGCGCCGGTCATGCTGCCCGGGGGGAGAGAGGCGGCGAGGATGGAGATGCCCGCTTTTCTGCTGTTGTTGGGGTGTGTGTGCGGATGGTGATCTGCATGGTGTTCCCCCGCCCACGCACCCCCCAGATCCCCCTCAACGACGCTAACCAGCTGCCACACAGTCTCGTACTCCTCGACGCCCATCAGCTTCGTCACCCTTACATTCCCTGCCCCAACCACGCCGTGCAGATCATGCCGCACCAAGTCGACAATCATGAGGTTCTCTGCCTGCTCCTTGGGCGCCTTCAGCAGCGCCTCGGCCTTCTCCCGCGTCATGTCCGCGGATTTTTTGACCGTACCTTTGATCGGCCGGTACTGGCACGTCCCGCGCCGTGTCCAGCGTAGGAAGCGCTCCGGGCTGCTGCTTATGATGTGTGCGCCGCTGAGGCGCAGGTATGCGCTGAAGGGGGCGGGGTTGAGGGTGCGGAGGCGGCTGTAGAGCGTGTGGGAGGTGGCGGCGGCGGAGGCAGTGGACCGCGGCACCAGCACCCGCGTCTGCGCCGTCAAGCACAACTCGTACGAGTCCCCCGCCCGGATCGACTCCTGGCAGTGCCGCACCGCGTCCTCATAGCCTGCTTGGGCCGGGGTGTGGCGCACAGCGGCGCGGAGGCGGGCATCCAGCTCTTGTTCTTGCTCTTGCTCTTCCTTCTCCTTCTCTTTCTCTTTCTCCTGCGCCCCCGCGCCCTCTTTCTTCGCCAGCTCCGACAGCCGCGCCGCTGTCCTCGCTACCCAGGCTTTTTCGCGTGCTTCGGTTTCCTCCCCTTCCTCCTCCGACTCCAGCTTCGCCTGATGCTGCGCCTCGGCCTTCGCCCCAAAACAACTCTGCACATACGCCCCGCCCCCCACATGATCGACGACAACGCTGCGGCTCACAAACACCCACGCCATGTCCGGGCGGCGCTGCGCATCAGGACCAGCAGCAGCAGCAGCAGCGCCAGCCTTGGAGGGCTGCACCTCGATCGTCTGCAGTCCGGCTTCATAGCCCACCCAGCCGACCAGGCCGCCCCAGAACGGGCTCTCCGCTGGGCCAGAGCCTACCGCGACGTCGTTTACTCCATTTTCATCCCTCTCTTTCACGCTATCCCCATTTCCACACCCCACCGCAGCACCGGCAGAAGCGTCAGCAGAAACGCCACACGCCCTCACCAGCCCCCCCAAAAACGCCCACACGTCGACGCCCTCGCCCCGCCAAACCCGCCCCCTCCCCGCCCACAGCTCCAGAACGCGCCCCTCGGTGAAGTAAACCACGCGCAGCGGCGGCCGCTCAGGTTCAAACACCGCGACGATGCTTTTGTTGCCCGTCTCTGCGCGCACGGGCCGCCCTGTTGAGGCGTCGGTGCCTGATTCCAGGATGACGGCTTCTGCGCTCTCACTACCGCCGACGTTGAGTAATGCGCTTATGGCGGCAGTATTGTGTGTGCCTGGCACGCGGACGTGCGCGATGCGCGCGCTGCCGGGCGGAGGAATGAGGTGCTCCGCGGCGAGGGCGGCATAGCAGTGCGCGTAGGCGTGGGGGGGCGTCGTTGCTACTGCTGCTGCCACCGTCGCAGGCGGGCACGGCATGTCCTCGCCGTAGGAGGAGGCGCGCTGGCGCTGCTGCTGCTGCGGTAGCGTCTGCGTTTGTATTTGTGTCTGCGTCTGTGTCGCCACAGCCCCAGGCGCGCGCCCCCGCGCCTCCAGCCACGCCTTCGCGCCCGCCCACCAGTTGCGCACGACCTGCGCGCCGGCGGGCGACGTGCAGATGGATTCGGGATGGTACTGGAGGCCAGTGAAGGGTTTAGCCGCATGCGCCACAGCCTGCAGAACGGGGCCATTAGCCGGAACAGCGGTATCGTACGCCAGCGGGAGCAAGTCGCCTCTCCGGCCCCACAAGCCCAGCACTTCCTCCCCCTCCCCCTCTACTTCCTCGGGCGGAAACTCCACTCTTAGCGAATGGTACAGCACCGCGCTCACCTCGCCCACGCCGCGGAACACGCCCTGCCGCGTGTGCGACAGGTAGGTTACGACGCCGTGGCGCGGCTCGCGGAGCCGCGTTACCTGGCCCCCGAAAGCGGCGCCCAGGCTTTGCATGCCCAGGCAGATGCCGAGCACGGGCAGGAGCGCGGCGTCTGGGAGCTGCCAGAGCGCGGCGATGAGCCCGACGGAGGAAGCGTCGAGGGGGTTGCCGGGGCCGGGGCCGGCGATGGCGGCGTCGAAGGTTGAGAGGAGGGCGAGGAAGGCGGGGGTGGGTGCTGGGGTGGGGGGTGTGGAGGGGGCGGGGTGCGTGGAGGAGGGGTCCGAGGAGCCATCACCGCGATCCGCGGCCTCTATGGGGTTGGCCGCCTGCAGGTAGCGCGCATCGTCGATATGGATAGTCGTGACAGTCGCGTCGAGCTTGTCCTGCAGCAGCGCGACGATATTGTGCGCGAAGGAGTCGTAGGCGTCGATGAAGAGGATGCGCGGGCCGGGTTCCATTGCATCCTCCGCGCCCGTGTCCGTGTCCATTGCTTTAGCCCGGTTTGGCTGACGGATAGGTACTTTACTTTCCGTAGCGTGCGTAGGTAGGTAGATAGGTAGGGTTGAAGCGCCGGCAGCCGGGAGTGCCTGAGGTGCGCCGTGCCGTGCCGTGCCGTGCGCGAGAAAAGAAACGGAGGCTGGAGGAATAGCTCAGGTAGATATGTAGGCGGGCGCAATGGGAGCTGACGCCGAAACCAGCGGATCCAACGGGTGGCGAGGCTAATGTCGCCGATGAGGCGTTTGTAGGGCGCGCAAACCCGTATAAGCGGCAGCGAAAACGAAGAACCTAAAGCGATCTCTTGAACAAATAGACCAGAGAGAAACAGAAACAGAAAGAGAAAGACACACCCGCCCTACCTCACAACCTTGTAGCTTGGAAGTACCTAATAATACCACCGACAAATCGCCGACTCTCTCTCCACCTCTTCCAATGCCTTGCACTCTTTTCAGCGGCCAAACTACCTAGGTAAGCACCCGGTCGCTCCAGCCAAGGCCTCAGTCTCGGCGCGCCAGAGCGTGGTCCGTTAGCAACACATAGCGCGAGGTTACTGCGATGCTGCAGTGCGTCGCCAGTCAGAAAAATTTCTGCAAGGGTCCCCCGCGCTAGCTAGGCGATTAAGCTTATCGCGCGCTGGACCCTGCTTGTGTCTGCTCTGCTCTGTCCCGTTGAATGCACTGCGTAGGTAGTTTTAATATCTAGGTGTGCAAGCCGGCTAGGTAGGTACGACGACTATGTATATATAGATAGATAGTTGTTGTTACTATTTACTATTATATATAGTTAAGATCTATATATATACTAGGACGGCTCTATTATTATAGTATACTAACTTGTAAAGAAAATAAATAAACTAATTAAGAAAATTAAAGCAAAAATAAAGAAAAATAGGAAAATAAAAAAACAATAACCCAACGCCTTAAACCCCCACCCTACTCCCCTTCCCTATTAACCCCCCTTATCCCTCTTCTACCCCGCAGTGCGCATCCTCACGCAACCCATCCACCACCACCACTACAACCAACCCAACCAAACAAACAAAAAAAAACCAACTCAACCCTCCTACCCTTACCCTTACCCTATCTAATTCCCACTTCCCACGCACCCATGCCGGTAATTATGGCTCGGCTTGGCTTTCGAGGGGTGGAGTGGGGGCGTGTGAGCGTAAATACCTACCTAGGGTGGGGTGGAGAGAGAGTGAGACTGTGGGAGGTTGGTGTGGGGGGAGGGGGGAGGGAGAGGGAGTGTGTGTGTGTGTGTATGATAGCAAGCAAACGACCCTCCTCTATCGCCCACCCCCACCCCCCTCGCTCCGGTGCCACACGCATGGAACCTTAGGCACTCAGCGCCAGCACCAGCACCAGCACCACAACGCACACGCAGTTCACGGCGACGAGAACACAGCACACCTAAGCATTGCCAGACCTACCAACTCCATCAAAATCGACAAAGAAGCAAACAAAGCCAAAGCCAAAGTCATAAAGCAGAGATAGGTCATAAAGCGCACCGTAAACGTATCTCGCACGTGTATGCGCCCGTGTGCATCACAGTGCTCTCTCCGTCCCTCCCCTCCCTTCCCAGACGCCGCCGCTATGCAAGCCATGAACCAGACGCCAGATACACCGTCCACCGACTGCGCTAGAGCGCATCCCCGGCACGCGCACACACGCGCTCAGCGCCTGTACGAGTCACGCGAGCGCGGCCGCTCAGGCGTGCGCTCCCGGCGGTAACGGCGCTCCTCGCGGGGAGGGTCGTGCGAGCGGTCGCGGCGGTGGTGGGGGTGGCGATTACGAGAGCGGTCGCGGGCGTGGTCACGGCCGTGGCGGTTGTTGTCGTGGTGTCTATAACGGCGATGTTCGCGGTCACGTTCACGGTCTTCGTCCCTATGGCGGTGCGAGCGATGGTGATGGCGGTGCCGGCGCGGCGAGCGGCTGCGGCTGCGGCTGCGGTTGTCGCGTCTGCGGTCGCGGTCGAGGGCGCGGCGGCGCTCGCGCTGCTTGTCCCTGTCTCGGTCGCCGTCGTCGCGCGGTGTCGCCCTCGTGCGGGCTGAGCCGCGCAGGCCCCCCTCGCCAGAGTGCTCTGAGCCCAGCATCTCGCTTCCTGAACCCGCGTCGCCGCTGTGGCGTCGGTAGCCGATGCCGCGGCCCACTCCCTGCGTGCCGATGTCATTCTCGTCCTTGGCGTTGTCGGACTGCACCGCTGCGACAGCCGACTTGACCTGCTTACTCGTCTCTTTGGCGCCCAGCGGCGTGAGGTTCGCGTTGTTGGCGGCGGCAGCGCGGGCCGGGACCGGTAGACCCAGCGCGACGGCCATGGCTTCCTCTTCGGCCTCCTTGATCTTGCGGATTTCTTCGGCGCGGGCGGCGCGAGCGGCGGCCGGATCGTCCGACTTGGAGTACCAGGTGAGATCTTTGCCTTTTTGCCAGCGGCCAACGGCTGTGGGAGCGTCAGCGGGGTAGCGCGCGGAGCGGAGCGGGGCGGGACGTACGCGCCATCAGGCTGTGGCCGAGATAGTTTTCGCGGTGATTGGAGTTCTTGACATCTTCCCACTTGAAATCGGAGCGGCCGCCCCTGCTACACAGTTATCAGCTGTTTCTACGAGCGAAGAGCACAAGGGACTTGCCTGCTGCCGTCCTTGCGGACGCTCTGGAGGAGATCCATGATTGGCGATGTCGGGAGAGGAAGTGACGTTGGAGCGGCGGCGAAGGTCAGGCACGCGGCAGGGATGCTGACTCGCGCCGGCTCGCTAGCATGACTCGCGCGCGTCAGCCCTACCGCGCAGCTCGACCGCAGCTCTCGACCCTCGCACCTTGTCGCCTTAACACAACCCTCGCCATGGCCCAGATCCTGGAAACGCCGCTCGACGAGCGCCAATGGCGCAGCCCCGTCGCCATCCAGAACCTCAACACCTACTACGGCGGCCTGCACCGCGGCACCATCCACATGTACTTTGCCGAGTCGGACTTCTTCGACAAGACGTCCAACAACTGGGCTCTGTTCATGAGCGGCCAGGAGTGGGTGGGCAACCGCGACGTCTTCGAGACGCGCCTGCGCGCCATGCAGGGCCTGGAGTACATGGTTGTGGCCGAGCCGGAGCGCCGCCCCGACGGCTCCGACACGGGCGTCTACGTCGTGCGCAAGCAGCATCGCCGCAAGCGCCCCGGCCACGACGACGACATCACCGTCCTGGCCTCGTACTACGTCATCGGCGAGCACATCTACCAGGCCGGCTCGCTCGAGGACGTCGTCGGCAGCAAGATTGTGAGCCGCCCTCCACACTCGCACGGAATGACGCTTGCATGCGTACTGACTGCCTGCCCAGCTCGCCGCCACTACCTCCCTCTCCAAGTTCTTCGCCATCGCCTCCTCCCTCCCCATCTACACCTCCGGCCGCGGCTACTCGTACTTCGCGCCCTCAACGACGCTCAAGCGCGCCGCCACATCGGCGAACCAATCGCGGCGGTCCAGCCGCGCCGGCAGCCCCACGCCAGCCGACATCTCAATGCTGGACGCAGCCGACAGCACGCAGACGACGGGCAGCGGCGGCGCGGCAGCGCAAAAACAAGGCGGCAAGGCGGCCGCCGGAGCGGCCACCAACGCCGCCGCCGCAGCGACGTCCATCAAGGCGCTTAGGGCCTCGTTCGACCTCTTCAGCGCGTACGAGGACGAGTATATGGACACGAATCCGCTGGTCGGCGAGCCCGGCGCGTTTACCTTCAGCGCCACGTCGCGGCACGTGCAGCAGATGCACGCGAAAACGCAGGCGGACGCGGCGGCGGCGGCAGCGGCTGCAGCAGCGGGAGCGGGAGCGGGGGCGGGGGCAGGAGCGAGCGGCGGGGCGGGTATAGGCACGGTTGCTGCTGCAGGAGCGGGTGTAGGACTGGGCAAGGCACCCGACCCTGCCCGCCCTGACTCAAAACCCGCTACCCCAGCCACGTCGCCCACTCTGGAGCCGGCGAAGCGGCCGCGCATCAAGAAGAGCAAGAGTCGCGCGCCGACGGCGCCGGCAAGCCCGGCTACGCCTGCAGGGGGGACGCCGGGGCCGGGGCTGGGTGGGGGGAGGTAGTTGGGGAGGGTGCTGAAGGGCGCGTTTGGTCGGGTGGGGTGGTACGTGGCGTGTGTGAGGATATTTGACGGAGTTTGCGCAAAATTTGCGGAGGGGAGGGGCGGGATGCAGGAATGCAGACTGCATGGCGCGGTGCTTGAGTAGGCGGTGTACGCCTTGTATGCGGTGTATGTGGTGTGGTGTGGTGTGTTGTAGTTTTACGTGTGCGTGGTTTGTTGGGCGGTTGGGCGGTTGGGTGTGTGGTGGTAGGTAGCCAAGTAAGTGCGTGCGTGCGTGCGTGCGTGAGTAAGCGGCAGAGCAATATGATACCCCGAGCGGCTGACCTGAACGTTTTCTGTCCTTTTGTCTTTGTTCTCCTTTTCTGGTCGTTTCTGCTCGTGCTTTCGTGTTCTCGTGCGCGTGTTGGGGCATGTATGTATACCCACCTCTCTTTCTCTGCTCTTCTCTTTGTGCGTTGGGCCGTGTGCTTTGCGCCAGCCTATCTCATCTGCCTGGTTCTGGTTCTGATTCTGGAAGAAAGGATGGGAGTGTTTAACGTGCGTTTGCGCTTTAACTTGTCCACCCGCCCCCACTTTCTCCTCTTATACGCGTGTGTACCCATCCCTCTCGTCTCGTTACGCTGTTCTCTCCTATTCTTACCTGCTCGTCTTCATAACTGGCTAACTACCCACTCCAGAAGTCTCACGTACCCGCACACGCGCACGCCACACCAGCCCCCGGCCTCTCCGTCCCCATGACCTCGTGGTTACGCTAAACCGATAAGTCCCACCAGAGCCCTCCGTGATTATTTTTTGTATACTCCTGCTTACCTGCGGTGTGGAGGTGTAGAGCCACCCCTCTCTTCCCACCCACGCCTATTTTTCCCACCCGCCCACCCTTGGGAAAGGATTTAGCGGCATCGCTGCTCATGTAGGTATGTATGCCCTGCGCTTCTGTGGCGGGCTGTGTGAAGCTTGCTGCGTCCCCCAGCTCATCTCTGTCCCTACGTGACTTTGTCTTCGTAAGCTACACGCTACTACCGAGACCCGGACGCAGTACTACTGTGCGCAGGTATACACTTCTCGCTCTCGCATGCTACTGTGAGTGTGCACTTGTCTATTTGGATAGGGCCGTGTATGCGGGCATGGTAATGTCGTTGTAGGCACTAACACGCTTTCATATTCATTCACTTAACACATTTCACACACCTCCCACAGCAATGCTTGAATTCCTCCATTTCTTCTCCATCCCTCCATCACCACAACACTCCACTCCGCACCGCACAGCAACAACAACAACAACAACAACAACGCCAACACCACACCAACCATGCCATCCCGCCACAAAGCCGACGCCTCCGCGCCTCCGCGCCCACTGCCCGCTCTCCCCCCAGCGTCGCCAGAGCCAATTTCAATGCCAAAGCGCCCGCGCGGCCGTGACCGCACGGGGAAAGTCACAGTGAACAGCAGCGCGCTGCCCACAACAAGCACCACCCGCCCCGCAGGTCCGCGTCCGCGCCCCGCCCCTCCGCCCCAGCCTCGCGCCCCGTCCACGCCTTCGCGCGCTGCTGTCGCGGCGCTTGTTGCGGCTGCTACGGCAAGGGCGGGCGAGAAGCGCAAGCGGTGGGATGGTGAGTGCTCCGTTTCTGCTTCTACTGGTGACGCGTCTGCTTCTTCTGCCGCCGTCACGTACGCCGCTGCCAGCAGCAGTGGTGGTGGTAGTGGCAGCAATGTCGCGGCCTGGGTGCAGGGTGTGTTCGATGCACGCGCTGGGGCTACTGAGGGAGAGGGAGCGAGAGAAGAGGGAAAGGGAACGGGAGTGGCAGAAGAAGAAAGCAAGGAGCAGCAGGAAGAAGAACAAGAAGAAGAAGAAGCAGAAGAAGAGCCACCACCACCCCTGCACCACACGCCGACGCCGCTCCCCGCCGTGCCCGTTTCCTGCACGCACACGCACGACCACACGCACGCCCAACCCAGCACCACCACCAGCACGACCCCCCCATCCACACACACAACAACACACAGAACCACCACCCCCCTTCCCTCCGACCTCGCCACCACACTAACTTACCACCCGCCCCCCTCACCACCACCACCCCTCTGCCCCACCTGCGCCACTCTCGCAACAGCAATCACAGAGCTGCAAGAAGCAGAATCAGCGTACCTGCGCGCGAGAGACGCGCATCGCGCAGCCGGGGCGCCGCTGACGGGGCCGTTGCGCTTCGCGAAGAGGGAGCGGGCGCGGGCGTGGCGGGTCAAGCGGCTGGGTGTTTTGCGTCAGGGGGAGGAGGTCGAGGCGTTGGATCGGTTGGGTGGTGGGGTTGGGGGTGGGGACGAGGATGTGCACAAGAGCGAGGACGTAGATGAAGCCGATGGCAAGAGCAAGGGTGAAGAGGGCGAGGGTGCGCCTGCGGCCGAAACCATTCAAGGAAATGCGGATGAAGACAACGAAGAGCACCAGAAATCCGTCCATTTCGCGCCTAACGCGCACTCGCCGACGCGGTACTACCGACCCTCGGCGCGGTATGCGCGCAGCGAGCGGCTGTGGTATCGGCCTGGTTTGCATGCGTATCCTTACACCACCAGCACCAGCACTACTTCCACCACCAGCACTGCCACTAACGCTACCGCCGCCGCTACCGCCGCCGCCGCCGCCGCCGCCGGTGCTGCTAAGAAACGAGCTGAAGAGCACGAAAACGAACAACAGGAAGCGCCAGGCTGGCTAAACACGAGCGGCGCGACCTGGTCATGGGAGGAGTGGGAGTGGGAGGCGCTGTGGTCGTCGCCTTCTTCCTCACCATCACCACCATCGTCTTCCTTCTCTTCCTCTTCTTCTTCCTCTTCCTTCTCAGAAAACGACGGCGCCAACATGCTCCTTGACTCCATGGACGAGAATGTGGATATGCTGGCAGAAGAAATGGTAGAGGAGGATGACGACGACAGCACCAGCAGCGTAAGCAGCAGAAGCCTGAGCAGTAGTGGGGGGGAGTGTGCGCGGGTGGTGGGATGATGAGGACGATGATGGCGACGACGAGCAAGATGAAGATGAGGGCGGCGAAGAAGAGCACGACGAGGGCGAGGGCAAGGCCGAGGGAAGCAAGGCCGAGACTGTGGATGTGGATACAGACACAGATACAGACACAGACACAGATACAGGCACAGACACAGACGCCGACGCCGAAGCCGAAGCCGACATCGAAGCGCGCGAGCGTAAAGAGATGCCAGAGGCGATGCCAGAGGGGATGCCAGAAGAGTAGCGCATTTGTAAGAATGTGTGTGTCAAACCCAAAGAAAAGAGCGCGAGAGGAAACGCGGAAATGTAGGTTGGGTTTTTGGGTTTGTTTCCCTCTCTTGTTTCCTTTCTTTGTATTTGGAATTTGGAATTTGGGTTTGCGTATGTTTTGTTTGAATCACGTCAGGGTGCCCTCGTTTAGATAAGGTTGTAGATATAGCGTGCGTGCGTGCGTGCGTGCGTGCGTGCGTACGTACAGATACAGTGCCGAGTGCGTAGAAATGCGTAGAAGGACCTAAATAGGTAGGGGAGGGGGTATTTGTATGCTAGATTAACGCAAGGTCCGTCGCTGTCAATGCATAGTTACATAAGAAACAATTGAACAAACCAACGAAGAAAATTAAAGACTTATATAATATAGTTTGGCTCAACTTTGTTTTTACTTAAAGTTTTATAATATACTTATTAGCTTGTTAAACGTCGTAGTGTGTTAAAAGCTTTTAAATAGACTGGATATATAACTAGTTTATTAATATTATAAGAGTATAGAGTAAGTATATAGTTTTATATTAAGCGTATAGAAGGTGGAAGCGGTAATAGTTACTATTTTAGGTTGAGGCCTATATATAGTATATATAGTATATAGGATGTAAGCAACCCTACCTTAACCCCGAACCGACGAACCGACCGCACTTTATTCACCTACTTAACGCCCCCTCCCCCTACCCCACCCCACCACACACACCCCACTATACACACACAACACCAATCACCAGCATTCAATATCCATCCATCATCCATCCATTAATTCATTACCTACCTACCACCCACTCCTCCCCTCCTTTCACCACAACCCCCACAACCCCCTCCCCTCCCCCCGCCCGCCCACCCCCAACCCACACCCCCACATCACCTCTCCATAATAACCCAAGCACCATCGCCCTCGTCATCCAACTCGTCGCTATCCCAGCCTTCCTCTTCGTCTGCAGCAACCATGCGCAAGAAGCGCTGGAGGGCGCGGTCTTGGCGCGCGCGCTGTGCTTCTGCTGCTGCGGGGGCGGGGGCGGGTGGGTTGGGTGGGCGAGCTGGGTTTCGTGCTCCTGCAGCAGGGGGTGGGGCGCGTGGATGAGCTGCAGCAGCGTCTCTTGCGCGCGCGGCAGCAGGAGCAGGAGCAGGCGCAGGGGCGCGTCCTGCCGCCGCCGCCGCAGCAGCAGCGGGATGTTGGTTCTGGTTCTGGTTGCGGCCGCGCTGCTGCTGCTGCTGCTGCTGCTGCTGTTGTTGTTGTTGTTGTTGTTGCGCGCGGCGAGGCGGGGGCGCGTTCGCCGGTTGTTGCTGTTGCTGCTGCTGCTGTTGTTGTTGTGGCTGCCGACGCGGCTGCTGCGCTGCTGCGCCTAGGTTCAGAGCGCGCATTGCTGCGGCGGGGGGAGCGGGAGCGGGAGCGGGAGCGGGAGGTGCTGCCACCCCAGCAACAGCAGCAGCAGGAGGAATAAGAGCTCTCGGCGCATCCCCCGCCATCGCTACCGCTGCAGCCGCGTCTTCTGCCGCCTGGGCTTCTCTCGCGTCCGCCTCGTCTGCCGCCGCTATCGCTGCTTCCCAGCCCCGCGCGCCGGCAAAGCGGACGTCTGCTGCTCCGGCTCCGACGCCGCCGCCGCCTCCTCCTCCTCCACCTGCATCTGCGGCCGCACCCGCCTGCGCCGCGCCTTCGTCCCCCTCTTCTAGCTCCCACAGCCGCTGATAACACGGCGTCTCGCGCCTGTTGAAGTGTTGATAAGGATTTCCAGGGTCGAGCCACGCGCCGCACAGATAGCAAAAGTGCGTGCGGCACTGGAAGCACGCCATGTGGTTGCAGCCATGAGTCTTCTGCGTCGGGCTCGCGCACTCCGGGCACGGTGATGTGTGTAGTCGTAAATACTCGTACGATGCCTGCTCTTCCTCCGACAGCTCGGCCGCCGACCGCGGGTAGCAGCGTATATAGTCGCCGTGCCAGCCGCCCTGGCACACACGGCAGAAGGCGTACTCGCAGTCTTCGCACACGGCGAGCCTGTTGTCCGCGGAGCGGAGGACCTTCTCTTCAGCCTTGTCGGGGGTGGGTGTCGTGGGGTCTTCCTCCTCGGACTCGGAGTCCGAGTCCGTGATCTGCGTCAGATCTGTGATTTTGGGGTATTTCTTCGAACGAGCAGGCCCTTGGCACCATTTGCGCGGGCAGTAGACGGTCGACTTGTCGGACTCGAGCTTCTTTTTGCGCTTAAGCTCCACGTAACGCCGCACCATAGCCTGCTCGAGCGGGATCTGCAACAGCTCGGACGGGTTGAGCGTGCGCTCTGTCTTCCTCTTGCGGCGGCCATCCTTCACCTTCCCACAGTCTGGCGACAGACACCGTACGCTCGCCACGTCTCCCTCTTGAATGCAGTTGTTGTAAAAGTCCTGCAGACACGCAATGCAGAAGACGTGCCCGCACCGGCCCAGCCGGTGGCACGCGGAACCCTTCTTCGGCTCAAGACAGACGCCACAGTCGAACGTCTCGGCCTCGAACTGCGCCCGCTTTGCCTTGATGTCGTAGTCCAGCAGCGCAATCTTCATCGAGGCCGGGACTTCGAGCACCGCACCCTCGGCGCCGACCAGGTCGAAGCACCGCTCCGCGCCCTGCTGCAGCATGTCGATGTACGCGAACACGACCTGCATGTGTCCGTACTCCTCCCACAGCTCGACCCCGTCATTCTTCAGTTTCTGTATCGCCGCGTCTGGCAGCCACTGTGGGGTGGTGGACAGCGAGAAGCGCGGCGGCTTCTCCGCCGGGTACCCGTCCGGCAGGGTCACCTCCAGGCGCAACGGCGGGAGGTACGACAGACGGTGGATCTCGCGGGGTATTTGGTGCGCATCAGCGCCTTCGGCCAGCTTATGTCCCTCATTGTCCGAGGTAGGAGGTGTAGGGAGCGAAGCGGGTGGCGGCGCGCCGTCGACGGCGGAAGGAAATGTGATGGCGAGAGGGGCGGACGGCGCGACGGTTATGTCGAGAGAGGCGACGAAGGGGTTTTCGGGGTCGACGACGAGTTCCGGAAAGATGGCGGCGATCGAGGAGAGCTCTTCTTCGCGTTCGTCGTCGGCCGCGGTGTCGGCCATATGAGCTATGACGGAGGAGATGGGCGGGTGAGCGTGAGAATGGCTGTTGGAGAGGTGGGGTGGTGGTTTTTTACGTGGCAAATGGGAGGATGAAAAGTCGTCAAGTCGTTAGCAATGAAAGGGGAGAGCAAGTTTTAGCTGGACTGGTAAGGAAGTGATATGTAGCATAGTCAGAAGACGGTAATAAAGCTGGAGTGGCGCTGATCCGTTTGGCCCGACTTTGCCCCGCTGGTTGCTGGTGCCGCGGCGACTCGCCGCACTCCATCTCCGACTCCCCGCGCTGCTGCCTGCGCCTCCGACGACACTTCATCCAATTCCGCCCGAAATTATTCGCCAATTCAACTAAAAAAACGGCCGTGCCCTGGCCTGGATTGGACGTGTCGACACGCGGCGAGGAGTCATACCGCTCACCGCCAGAATGCATCCTCGAATCAGAAAACCTCATCTAAGCAGGTAAATACAAGGGTGACAGAATAGGGCTAAGTTGCCATGCAAAGAATCGAAAGATGACACTCGAGCAGCTGAGCAACATTGGTGCTGGCTTTGTAGTCGCTAAAAAAAAGACCTCCAGTATCTAATCAACTTCTCTATCGCCCAAGCTCTGAGTAGATCGAGCCTTTTCGCACTTCGCCGTTGAAAGAGAAAAAATAAAAACGCCACGAAACATCTGGCCGCCCATTTGCGGCCGCGGACCTCATGTCAGCGTCGGTCGGAACCTTTCCAATTGGTACTCGACCCTATCGCGTCTAACTTTCTCTATGGATACGTGCTATGAAGGAAACTGGTTAAAGACGAATGAGGCCAGAAATGCAGCCAAGCTTATGCACAGAGGAATCGAAGAGATGAGGGTGAAGCCGTCTGTTTGCCTTCCCGATACCAGCGCTACCAAGGTAGCAGAGAGAATCAGTATGGCCAGGATGAACCTATACATATGGCCATCATTAGCAAAGGTGCTGGCTCCAAGCAAGAGGAGGAAACTACCAATTGGCGTGCCTGGTCAGCCTGCACTGTAGCGAAATCCAGGCGAAGGTGGAGATGGTCCAGAACCCGAAGACGCTAGCAGCATACTGTCAACTAAGAGGGTTCCCTTGGCCTGCCTGTGGGAGAGGATGAGGGGTGGATGGAATTTACTAGTAAGAGATCTGTGCTTGGACGGCAGGGTCGTTGCGGACCGTGATCCATACGATGCTGGCAAGGCCCATCAACGCTCCTGTTACCTTGCTGGCGTTTCTCCCGATAGCACCGCGCGCTAGAACACCGTAGAGGCCGACGATGCTCCACGCCGCAAGTAAATGGGCTTGTATTCCTCTCGCGGCGTGGTGGAAGTCATCCATCCCAAGAGCGAGAGTAGGCTGGATCAACATTGACAAGGCCAGAACGCATGCTGAAAGGTTTCCTAAGTCACGAAGAATGTTTCCTCGCCGAGCGGATAGCAAGATGCGGTTTTGTCTTTCGTGTCCGGTAAGCTTGCACCGAGAAGCAAGGTCATGGAGTTTGAGTTGAATGACAGGCTGTCGAATTTCGTGCTGGGCTGATCGGTGCAACAGAACGCCAACCTTTCTTGAGGGTTTACGCAGCGAGGAATCGGTGTTCGAATCAAACAGAGCTTGTTCTTCGCTTTCGTCTACATTTCCGAGCTTCCGAGTCATAGGACATTCCGTCTGAAGATAGTCTCTTGTTTCGGGGAAAAATAATAAGACTCCAAGGAACATTGACGAGAGGCCAAGGAGGAACAACATGGGACATTGGAATAGCAATGAGAGCCTAAGCAGCGCCGACCTGAGCGGTTTGGTCTTGAAGAGTTCTGCTTTGCGCTGTGAAGGTATGGAGTTTGCCAACTGGTCGTGGTCCATGTTCGCAGTCGACTTCTTGTGTGTTTGCGGACAACTAGTGTAGTGTCTGGCAAACATGTTTAAATACAGCATGCCCCCTTTCCATAAAACCACTTGGCAGGAAGCGAGAGACGAATCGAATTTGGACGCATTTCCAACGATATGACATGACGTGCCGTTCGGGTGGTTTCGCGAGAGATCCTGTTAGCGTAACGGAGGGCCGGGAAGGGTGCCCCCCTGGCTAGCATCTTTCGTACCTGCAGCCCCATTGGATGAAGAAATGGCTAAAAACGAGGATTGGAGAATTGCCCCCGGCGATGCCTGCAGCACAGCCTCCCGCCACGACTGCATCCCCGTCTCAGGGTCCGCCTGTGCTCCCCCAATGACCATCAGCCGCACGGTTATAAGTTATCCCGACTTCCCCACCTCCACTTCCCCGCTCCACAAGGCTGCAACATCTTTTTAACCAAGTGTTTTCTAACCATTTGTTTTCGTTGCTTTGCTCGTGATTAATCATTAACGGTTAACGTCGTTCTCTCATAAACGAACCTCTCCGTTCAGCGAACCCCGCCAGTTAGAGCGCGGAAGGACTCACACAGCATGCTCTAATTGGTGTGGTTCCGAGGTTCATCTATAGGTGAACGAGACTTCTCTGTCCCGAGCGCTTCGTCATCATTCAAATTCCCCGTCCAGAAAAAGGAATCACCAAGCATACGGACCGTTGACTTTCGCAACGGCAGTCAAACTGCGCGACCTCCTAATATTCTCCTGGGTACGTCTAGGATACAGGCCATCACGGAGGGCGGAACTTCCGTTGCTATCAAGCGAAAGATTACCGAACTGGAAGTCACATTTTGCCACACCGAACGACAGGTGATAATTGACGCTAGCTCGACGAAAGAATCCGTTTTGAACGAGAAGTTACCTCACCAAGACAGGCGAGAATGAAGAGAGCGAAACACCCCAACGAAATTTTGTTTAGAGTACTTTAAACAGTTTTTTTTTTTTTTTTTTTTTTTTTTTTTTTTTTTTTTTTTTCATTCGCAGCATTGATCCTATACTCAGTCTTTTTGAGAAGACTCCGCCAAGTTGCTGTTATGGCAGCGAACAGCGTATGTCGCCCCGCGTTTCCTCACCAAATACAAAATCCTTCGTAAAATCTCAAACATGTTAAAGGATTCTATCAGATATCCCCTGACGGTGAGTTTACTTAACTCTAACTGACATCGTTGGACCCTCGATTACCTTCTTTTTACTTGCAACGTTAGCATAGAAATGTCTCAACAATTATCGACTAGGCTAGCTACACCATCTCGAAGTCCAGACGCCGTTGTCTGTTTCGCTCTGGGAAAAGGAACGACGCCAAGAATGCTGCAAAGCTCACGCAGGGTGGCATTGCCGTCACCGCGGCATAACCGTTCAGTGTTTGGATAAGAGAAAGTATTAAAATTGACACCGCCCCAAGAAGTAGCGACACAAGGTACATCCTTGTAGTTTTAGTGCAGTTCGGTAAACGAGCGATTGGGATTTACTTACAGCTTCGAGTAGGAGGCGCGAAAGGCATGTAATGCCAAGTACAGCGTCGTGAGAAAGGCCCATGAATAAAAGACGCTGGAGCGCAATTAGATGACGCATGAATCAACAACTTGAGCAATAGTTACTTACTACTAGCAAGCTTCTCTTTGGAAATCAGTTTCGTTGCGCAAACTGATCCAGATAACACTGCAAAGACCCATAGACGCCCCCACGACAGTACCCCCAGTCTTTTTAAAAAAGCCCATTACTATGCTGATGTAATGGAGAAGCAAGCCGGAAGCAATACGCAAGCTTCCTATGCATAAAGGCCCAATGCCTAACAGAACGAAAGCTATCTGAGCCCCAAATATATGATTGTTACTTGCGTCGTCGTTATAGTCCAAAGCGTTGACAGAAGGAAGTAGGAGAAGCAGCACCAAGACCAGGAGCTCAGTTGGCTGTGGTCCATACCACTGAAGGTACTGATGGGCTGCTGGCTTGAGACTGCTTTTTGTCAGGACCTCCGAGTTTCCCTGATCTTGATCCGTGCCAGTGGGCTTGTCGCCTCCAGGAAGCTTTCCAGTCTTTGGCTGAGTGCTCTTTTCTGCAAGCATAATTGTTGGCTTTGTCTTCGATAGATGCTCATACCGCTTCAAAGCTTCGGGGTATATGTTCCAAAATCCGAACAGATGAACAGGGTAAACCGTAAATCGATAGTGTAAGAAGACTTTCGAAAACATGCAGAAGTCCTGGAAGTAAGAGATATAGTTACTCCCGGACATAGGCTGATTCACTGGTACCGCGATGGCATCGACATCTGGAGCAGTATCCACATGATTCCCCGGTTGACGTAGAGAATCGATATCGCGATGTAAGTTTTTAGTGAGATTGCAATTCTCTTCTTCTTTGGGACACTCCATGACCACCAAGGCCCTACAATATCCGTAAGTCCTGAACAAATCAAACAGGCAAATCGGCATACCTGTGTTAATGATTTAGACCGGGCGGAAAACACTTTAACGAGACCAAGAATGGGGGATATGCTTTTATTAATCGCTTAATACAGGAAGACACGGTGCTAGGTTAACAGCAAGGCTCAAACAAGGTTACACGCGACGAGGCGAAGATCATGTCATAAGGTAGCCAAAGCATAGCTAAGCCCCCATCCGAGTTCCTTTGCTTCTGAGCTGAACCAGGACACAGCCCCAATATTTCCAAGGCCGATGCAAGGCGTATTCGGAGAAGGTTGACCGGTCAGGAAGCTGTGGAGCCTATGTTGTGTGACCTTTGCCAGAAACCAATCACTCCCATTTTAGAAGCGCACAATTCTTCATGATCCTTAGGTCTTGGCTACAGCCAATCATTCGCTATCATTGAGATTTTGAAAGGGCCCAACATCAACCTACTCGACTATGCAGACACAGCCTTGCATGCCATCTATGTCAGCTGCGCCTATTTTTGGAAACCCTTTGATTGAGGGCTATGCCTCGTCCCATAAGCCTCATGCTATGAGTAAATATAAACCTGGCATCGCGCAGTATTGCCTCCTGACCCATATGCCATCTTGTTCTGAACTGAACATGAGCTCGCTCTGAACACCTTTGGTAGCGATATCCAGCGACTTATCACGTTGGGACAGACCTTTGACAATCTATCCAAGTATTTCAGGAAGGACAATTCTCATGCCTTCAACATTATACCGTAGAATCAATAGGAGGAAGTCGCTGAGAGTATTTGAACAAGTATGATTTGTTGTTCTGTCCGTTTACCTTATCCAAATATCATATCCTGACGTCGCAACAGATGTTCTACTGTTTATCACGAATAACAGCCATTGTGACACTGCTCATCACTTCGGCCCTCATCAACAACCGTGGGAGCTTTGAATGGTCATCACAATCCAGCCGGTTGCCTGAGAATTTCCCCACATCAAACACTTCTCGGTACATATTTTACGCATCTTGCATTATTTACACAATGGTTGCCACCACCTGGTATCACATACATCAATGGGATGCGCTTCAAGACCGTTTTCTTCTTGGATCAATGCTTTCTGGTCTTGCATTTGGAATCTACCTAAAGCAGGACCTCGAAGCTATACTATTCGGCATCCTTCCTTTCGCAATATCAACAGGCCTTCTGCTGAATAGAGCTTGTGCAATTCTCAGTCAAATACGAATCGAAAACACAACAAACCTGCACAATGTTATTGACGACAACACGACTTCGAGTGAGAAACAACGTCAGATCATGGAAGCCGTTTGATTTAGTCATACGGGCGTATGTGCATGGAATTTTCTTGGAACACTACAATGTCACTGGCAATTTCCGGTCTATCAACCTTCACAGGAATCCACCCACTTTTGAATAAGGGATTAGTTAGATTATACAATATCCTTGCTGTTTCCTGTAACTAAGAAGCTGTCACAGAGAATGATACTAGACACTTCTGACTTTGTCTTTTCCACCTTGAACTGAGCGAGGCTTCCACTTTGAGTCAACTCTTCGCATGAACAGGATGTCAACAACGTCATTTTTCTTACTATCATCCGGTACTTCTATTTTTAGTTAAATCATTTGCTAGTGGCTATTGATTCTGTACCTTGTGATGAGGACGAGGCTGAACCACAAAGAATGCCTGTTTGGTAAGGCAGGCAACAGCACATCATGCAAGGCTGACCGTGCAATAGACAAGTCACAGAGCAGACCACAGAATATTCTCGCGCAAGGCTTAACACAGACAAGGCCGACTGCACAAAGAACAAGGCTGACCATAGAATACGCAAAGCAGATCGTAGGCAGCACAAGGCAGACCACAGAACATACAATCTACACGGACGAGGCTGAGCACAAAGTGAACAAGGCTGACAGCAAATCAACAACGTAGACAGCGGAACAGACAAGGCTGACCACAAACCCATAACTCTAACCAACCACCCCAACAGATATGCACAAAGCCACCACCATCCAATCACAACACATCCCTTACAACCCAGCCCTTCGGATCCCGTCTCTGCAAGACCCTCTTCGCCGGCAACGGCCAGCCCAACCCGCCCTTCTCCCCCACCAAACTCGGCACAAGATAGCACTCCCTGAGCTCTCTTCCCGCCTCATCCCTCCCCTTCTCGACCACCTTCCCCAACGGCTTCCCCCAGCCCAACAACGGCGTGCCCTGCGCCAGGGCCGCCAGCTGCGCCCCCGTCACCGCACACAGCGGCAGCATGCGGACTTTCGGCAGCGCGGTCGCGAGCGCCGTAGAAGCGGCCCCCCGCTGCAGCCGCGCGTACACGACGTACTGGGGCAGGGCTTGCGGGCTGGAGTGCGCGAGCACGGAGCCGGGGTGCAGGTAGACGAAGGGCTCGGCCTCGTCCGCGGCGCCAGAGTGCCGCTCGTGCGACGGGAACAGCGTCACGTACGGGACGTCGGAGGCGCGCTTGGGCTTGCGCGCCGGCAGGCTCGTCACGTTGGGCGCCAGGTCCGCGCGCTGCGCCACTTGGTCGATGAAGCCCGCGGCGACGAGATAGTTTAGCTTGGCGAGGTCCGCTTTGCTCGGTGGTGCGAGCGGCTTGTCGTTGGCTGGGAGCAGGGCCCCGGCGCGTGGGTTCTCTTTGCGCACGATGTTTGTGAGCTGCGAGCGCAGCTGTGACGCTTCTTGTAGGGCCTTCAGGCGCAGGAACCACGCCTCTGCGAACTGCTCGGGCGTCTTCTTACGCTCGGCACCGAATGCGCAAAGTGCGGCTAGCAGCTTGGCGGCGTCGGACTGCCGGTCCAGCTGTGAGAGCGTCGCGTGCGCCTTGTTGTAGGCTTTGCGGCGCGTCTCGCGCGCTTCGTCTTCGAGGTTGTCCTGGTGCGTGCGGATGCGGCCTTCGTCCTCGGCGTCGGGGGCTGCGGTGAGCTTGAGCTGGTTCTCAGGGATGAATACTTCAGGGACAGCCAGCGCGGAGACCAAGGCAATGACATAGGCCGTGAGGTTGTGGTTCTGGCCAATGACAAGCATACGCGAGAACCTCGGACTGAGGGGGTAGACGGACAATTGACGGCCCTGAGGCGTAATCTTGCCGTCGTCGTCGATAGCCCCAAGATATTGCAGCAGCTTCTCCGCCTTGGCAAGGTTTTGCCTGTTTGGCGGCGTCGGGAAAGGATAGTTCACAACCTTGTGGATGCCCATTCCCTTCAACTGCAACACCAGACCTTCGATTGGCGTGCGCAGAATCTCAGGCTCGGCGTATTGCAGGAAGTCACGCTCATAGACAGCCGAGGAATACAACCTGTAACAGTGACCAGGCCCGGTACGACCGGCACGACCAGCGCGCTGTTCGGCAGAAGCCTTACTAATCCAGCCGACCTCGAAGCTCTGGACACCGGTAGTCTGGTCGTACTTGCGCTCCTTGGAACGGCCGCAGTCGAAAACATAGCGAATGCCGGGAATGGTCAAACTGGTTTCGGCGACGTTGGTTGCCAGAACTATGAGGCGCGACCCCTCTGGGGGCGATTCGAAAATCCTCATCTGTTGCTTGGTCGGGAGTTGCGAATACAGTGGAAGAACGTGCACCTTGAGCATCTTCTCTGCATCTGCATCGTCTTCTCCGATATCGAACTCCTTGTCCTCTTCATCATCGTCGAGACCTTGAATTGTGGACTCGTCGTCTGACGAGCCATCATCGAAGTCATCAGCGTTTACGGTATCATCACCAATTTCCAGGTCTTCTGCTTCCAAAGGTGCATCCGCAGCTGAAATGCGCACCGGTGGTTGCTTGACATCGGCACCTTGGGTGTTGGGGAATGCTTGCTTTAGCCTTTTCGCCAGCGTCGTGATTTCGTTTTGGCCAGTCAAGAAAACCAGCATTCCACCAGCCGGTAGCTTTCTGTGACCCCTCTTGATCTTCTTGAACATTTCCTCCAGATAATCCATCTGGGTGCGCCTGGAGAAATGCACAGTGACCGGGTACTGTCTGCCCTCCGCCTGCAATAGAGGTGGCGGGCCGTTTCTGAACAAACGCTCGTTCTGAGTAAAGTCGGAAATACGAAGGGTAGCAGACATGATTATGAGCTTCAAAGGCTTGACCTTGGGGTCGTCCTTCATAAGAGTGCGTCGTAGGTCAACGATACGGCTCATCATGCCGATCAAGATGTCAGTGTTTACGCTGCGCTCATGCGCTTCATCAATGAGGATAGCGGAGTACTGCGGCAGTGAAATGTCTTGTGCGATCTCTCGGAGAAGAATACCATCCGTCATGAACTTGACAGCTGTGTTGTCGCCAGCGGTGGTGTCAAAACGGATCTGTACCAGCGTCAGTCACGGCTCCAAAATGCTGTCAACGGTGATTGCAAGGCAAACTTACCTGGTATCCAACCCTTTTGCTCGCACTCCCCAATTCGTCGCCAACCCTGTTCGCCATACTAACCGCTGCGACACGCCTGGGCTGCGTCACACCAATCATACCCGGCGTCGGGCCATTGGGGTCACCGTAACCGCTCTCGAATAAGAACTGCGGCACCTGTGTCGTTTTACCACTACCCGTCGCACCCCATACAACCACAACATCATTGTTATGCACAGCTTCCATGATCTTCTGCTCCTCCGCCACGACCGGCAGCTTCAGACGCGCATCCTGGACTTCGGGCGAGCGGTCGACGGTCACACTGTGGGCTTTCCGCCAAGCGTCGCTGGCGGTCTTGGTCGCGAGCTCAGGAGGCAGAGGGTCTTCTTCGACTGGGCGAGGCTGGAAGTTTGCGGGGTTGTGGGGATGGACGATGTCGCCAGTGTCTTGGATGGCAAGGGTTGGAGTAAATCCTACAGCCTTGTTCCGCTCTTGTGTTGCCCATTCTTTGAATGCTGATGAGCGCGCTTTCCGAGCTTCTTTTGTGGCGCTGTCCGACGCCTCTGACATTTCTTCGTCCTCATCAGAGTCTTCCTCTTCTGAGCTCTCATCTTCCTCGTCTTCAGATGATCCCTCTTCATCTTCCTCTGAGTCCTCGGATTCCACATCTGATATCTCGTCCCATCCGTCCGCCTTCTCATCAGCCTCCGAGTCTGATCCTTCCGAACTGAAGCCTTCCCAATCCGGCTCTTCCTTCGGAGCCATGAATTTCAGAGCTGGCTTAGACGCCCTCTTCCTCTTTTTAATAATTGGCCTTCCGCTCTCATCCAGCTCAAGCGGCCTCTTTAGACCACTTCCAAATGCCGATGCTGGCTGATCAGCCTTTGCAGAGTCGGCAGCGGCGGGCGCTTCAGGTTGTGCTTCCGGCTCCGGCTCCGGCTCCGGTTCCGGCTCTGCCTTCCGCTTCAAAGACTGCGCCTTGGGCTGCGCTTTGCGACCCTCTTGTTCCACCTCTTCCTCTGAATCCGTATGGTATCCATCTCCCTTCTGCTTGGCCGGCCTGGAAACATCCTGCAAGATGCGCTCGTTCTTTTCCACATCTATTCCGGCCTGCTTCTCCTGGAGAGCTTTGGCGAAGACGTCGCGTCTGGACTCTGTCACACGGCCGAGGCTCTTAGACGACTGGAAGAGCGAAGTATCGACTTTATGCGCGGCGAGCTTCTTGATGAGCTCAAGGTTCTCTTCACGCTTGAGCTTCGTATCCTATGAACCGCATTGCCGTCAGCCACACCATCCACAGCACAAAGCTCCACACACTCTAGCGCTCAGACTGCGCGCCCGCCCACAAGCGCACATACAATGTATTTATCCAGCCTCTTCTGCTTCTTGCTGCTCATCTTGGGCTGCTGCGCCTTAAGCTCATCCTTCATCTTCCTCTTGCGCTCCTCGCGCTCCGCCTTGCCAGCCGGCAGCAACTCCGCCGCATTCGGGTCCGGGGCGCCATTCTGCTGCTGCTCGGCCTCGCGCTGGCGCGCCTTGTGCTTGCGCTGCCGCGGCACGAACTTGGGCATCTTGCGTCGTTGTCGTCGGCTGGTCCCGGGGCGCGCCGTGTGAATGCTCGTTCGCCGTCTCGGTGCGGTGCGACTTGTTTGCTCTGCGCCGGCGATGATGCTCGCTGCGATAATTTCGAGACGATGTCCGTGCGCGGTAAAGTTCTGCCGTTGCTCGCCCTCACCGCCTCTCTCGCCGCTTGTCGATCGGGTTGTGGCCTGCCGCCGATGATGCTTTGCGCTGCTCGAGCGCTGCGCGTCGTGATTGCTTGCTTCAACGCAGTCTTGTGACGGAAAGACGGACGGACAACGGAACCAGCATCGGCTTGCTCTTCGGTCTTGATAATGGCAGACTTCCCGATCACGCCCGAGGCCTTCCCCGCAAAGACGCGCACCGCAGCCGGCGAGGTGGGCGGCGTGCGGACGGAGGTCATGGTTGTGAGCTTTGCGGAGAAGGTCATGGTGACAGTTTCACAAGGCGGCCGGCTTGGGCATTGGGTGCGTCTGCTTCTCATATTCTCACACTCATATGCACTCCCCGCTTTCCGTCGCCCCCGCCAGGCACACCAGCTTACGTCCCCGCGCCCAGGTCCATGTCCCCCTCATGACGCCCTCTGGCGATCCTACTCTTCAGCCTCCCCAAGCTTTCTACGACGACGAGGACCCTAGCGCCCATGATCTCGACCTCCTCCCAATGCCGCATCTTACTGCGACGACGATCCTCGGCGGTACGGTCCCGGAACGCGATACGGTGGCACAGCTGGTGGCGACGCAGATTGCGAGCGCGCTCGCGACTAAGAACCCTGGTGAAGAACGATTGCTGGTGGTGGGTTTGGGACTGGAGGGAAAGGAGCTGGGTAGAGAGGCTTTTATGGATCTGGTGGAACTGGTGACAACCAGTTTATAGGGATGAGTGTCAGGATGTGCTTGGTGCCTGCATACAATATGCCGATGGACTATGTGGAAATCTGGGGTTGCGGGGATCTCGAGGTGAGGCTCTCAGTGAAGGTTTGATGAAATGGGCTGATTTCCCATAAAACTCAGGGATTCGCGTGGATTCAAAAAGAAACAACTGGATCGCCAAATGGACCATATGGAAGTAGAACGACATGATTCGATATCTCGTAAAGCATGATACCCATAAATATAGGCCTGTGGCCTTCCCAACCGAGTGCCCTTAGCCTCCTCTTCAAACGCCGTCTATCCATGTCATACCCAGGGTGTATCCATCCACAGGTAGCAAAACCTCATCCCAACTCCAGCGAATGCATAATGGTGTATGTTTTGAGGGTGTGTGCAGCATTCAGCACCTCTTCTAAGCCTTGTTCGCGGACTCGTCGCGCAGGCGCTGGATGACGACGTCGACGTCGTCCATGTTGCCAGCATCGAGCTTCCGGTCGACCTTGAACTGTTCGGGCAAGCTCTCGACGGCGGCGTCGAGGCCCGGCTGGAAGTTTCTCGTGACAGAGGACAGGGCGTTGATGGCCTTCTTGCGGACGGTCTTGTCGGGGTCTTCGATGGCCAAACGCATCAGGGTGGGGACGGCTTTGTTGTCGAGGAGCTGTCAAAAAGGAGAGGCACGTCAGCTTGCGTTCGTTTTTGGACAACGCACCCACCAGCGCCCGTGCCGGTAAACCGTCACGCTGCTGAAGTGAGGCGTTGACTCGGGGCGGGAGCTAGCGGAATCTTCGCACATACCTTCTCTTGGGCCTTGACGTTGTTCTGGACGGCAGTGCTGACACACCACGCGGCCATGCTGCGCAACTCAGCCTCCTCGCTATCCAGTTGCTTCAGCAGCGGCTCCCACAGGCCCAGGGCGACCATGTTGTTCGCGTTGTCGATCTGCTCGACCAGCTGCTCGAAGTTGTCAAATGCCACCAACTTGTTCTCGAGGCTGATCTCGTCGGAGGTGATGGAGCGCATCGACTCGCGCATCAGATCCGCGTCTGAGGGGCCACCCAGCAGCGCGGCCAGGACGTCGGGGGTGAGGTTTGAGGGGGCGGCTGGGGCATTGGGGTCGTTGCGCGAGGATTCGGAGTTCTGGACGCCCCATTTGAGGAGCTCGTTGAGGCGGGGGTCGTTCATGGTGTGTGTCGGTGGTCAATGTTGGTAGTGTGCGGGTGAGAAGCGATGGGGGTCAGTCAGAGGTATATCAGTCGCGAATATTTTGCTATGACGAAGGCGCGCGAACAAGCGACGAGGTTCCGCGGCCTTCGACAGGCACGCACCCGCGTCGGCCGGTCGGCCAGCAATGAACCGGCCTTACTGTACGGCTCGGAGACACAGGCAGGCGTTAATAAGCGGGCGTTCACAGAGGGCAGTGTTCCAGAAGGCGTGCGATGTCTCACGCGGCCCCTTGCGGGCACATCCCGCCTCGCGCCGGCTCGGTGCCCCTCATTGCACGTGACCGGTGGGAATTATTGCGATGGACCGGCGCCGGGGGCAGATCTGGACAATAGGGGGCGGGAACGGGATGCTATTTGTGTCGCCTCGAGGGTAGATTGCGTAGGCGGTATGAGGGAAAGGGCATCGGTGTGCTGAGCCCGCCAAGAGCTCAGCGGCAGTGGCGGGAGGCCGAGGACGCGTGGACGGGCAGGTCGACGGCCAAAAAGAAACATTGAACAGGCAGCAGTACAGCATATAAAGACGCAGCAGCAGTTCTACTTGCAGGTCCAAGACATACCCAAGTGGACATCGCCCCCTGCGTGTTGTGCTCAAGCCCCCGACCAACCTCCCCTAAAGTGGAATGCACGTTGGGTATCCGCTTATTTAGCACGGCCTCGCCTCCCGCACAGAACCTCGCCCAGTCAGTCCTTGGCCGAGAGACCGCTCCTCCTCTCCCCCAACTCCACGTCAACTACAACATCCCTCCCCTCATAGCCTCGCAGCTCCGCCATCTTGCTGCACCGCTCTCATCTCTCTGCGACTCTTCGCATCTAATTCTACCAACTCTTTAATTCACCCACCTAACTTTTCGCCCTTCGATCTCAGTCGCAATGGAGGGTAAGCTCACCACCGCCTCCTGACCCCAACACGCATCCCTTCGTCGAACCCCCGCCCGCCAAGCTCTGCATCCAATGCTAACCACCGTATCCATCTACAGAGGAAGTCGCAGCCCTCGTTATCGACAATGGGTAAGCCGTCCTGAGCTGCCGCCGCCGAGCGTGTGGGGTCGTTGAGGGAGCTGGTCGCCGCTGTCATCGGGGCGGCCACGCCGCCATCGCCATCGATCCAGCGACACAAGAGCGAGCATGGACGAATCGAGCTGAGCTGACTGTCTCTCCAGTTCGGGTATGTGCAAGGCCGGTTTCGCCGGTGATGATGCGCCCCGCGCCGTCTTCCGTAAGTCACCCCTCTCCTCAGGACACAGCGGCTTTTCGCCCCAATGGCGCCTGCTGCGGCCGCATCGGCACCCGAAACGCGTTTTCTGACAGCCTCGCAGCATCCATTGTCGGTCGGCCCCGTCACCATGGGTATGTTTACCTTGCCCCCAAAGCGGCCCTACCCCGCCTCCGCCGCTGCCGCTAACGCACCCGCAGTATCATGATTGGTATGGGTCAGAAGGACAGCTACGTCGGTGATGAGGCACAGTCGAAGCGTGGTATCCTCACGCTGAGATACCCCATTGAGCACGGTGTTGTCACCAACTGGGACGACATGGAGAAGATTTGGCACCACACCTTCTACAACGAGCTGCGTGTGGCTCCTGAGGAGCACCCCGTCCTCCTGACTGAGGCTCCCATCAACCCCAAGTCCAACCGTGAGAAGATGACCCAAATCGTCTTCGAGACCTTCAACGCGCCTGCCTTCTACGTCTCCATCCAGGCCGTCCTGTCCCTGTACGCCTCCGGTCGTACCACCGGTATCGTCCTCGACTCCGGTGACGGTGTTACCCACGTCGTCCCCATCTACGAGGGTTTCGCCCTTCCCCAGGCCATTTCCCGTGTCGACATGGCTGGTCGTGACCTTACCGACTACCTCATGAAGATCCTGGCTGAGCGCGGCTACAGCTTCTCCACCACCGCCGAGCGTGAAATCGTTCGTGACATCAAGGAGAAGCTCTGCTACGTCGCCCTCGACTTCGAGCAGGAGATCCAGACCGCCAGCCAGAGCTCTTCCCTCGAGAAGTCCTACGAGCTTCCCGACGGTCAGGTCATCACCATCGGCAACGAGCGTTTCCGTGCTCCCGAGGCCCTCTTCCAGCCCTCTGTCCTGGGTCTTGAATCCGGCGGTATCCACGTCACCACCTTCAACTCCATCATGAAGTGCGATGTCGATGTCCGTAAGGATCTGTACGGCAACATCGTCATGGTACGTTTTCCAGCATCCCCTTATGTTTGACGCGCTGCTAACGCCTTAACTAGTCTGGTGGTACCACCATGTACCCCGGTATCTCCGACCGTATGCAGAAGGAAATCACCGCCCTTGCTCCCTCCTCGATGAAGGTCAAGATCATTGCTCCTCCCGAGCGCAAGTACTCCGTCTGGATCGGTGGTTCCATTCTTGCTTCCCTCTCCACCTTCCAGCAGATGTGGATCTCCAAGCAGGAGTACGACGAGAGCGGTCCTTCCATCGTCCACCGCAAGTGCTTCTAAGGTATGTTTGTTGATCCGTCGCCCCACGCTCCTCCACTTTCTCCACAGGTTACTGACGTGGTCGACAGCGCACACTTGCATGCGACGATAGGTACGACAACGGCACGCCTCGGCGCGACCATGGCATGCCTCGCCCGGGGCTGCGCCTGCTTCCTTCACTCCTGCCTGCTCTTTTTTCATCGATAAAATGGCGAACAAAGAGGCTTTTTGGGTTGCGTCTTGCTACCAAGCACGAGCCGAGAAAGAGGCATGGAGGCGACAAGAGCGTTTTTTCTCTTTTTTCCCTTTTCCCCAGTCTTTTTCCCCCTTTAGCTCCTCAAATCTGAGAAAAACGCGCGTGCGGTAGGGCTTGGCGTGCCGGGGCGATGACGATGTGTGTGTGGCGGGAGCTAAGAGTCAAGTAGCGGTTATTGGCCTTTGAACGTGTAGCCTAGAAACAGTTTCTGCGGTTTTAAACGCTTTCTCGCGCGTCTTTGTGTGTGTGTCTGCCGGTGCACCCTCTTCTCGTCCTTTGGTCCTTCTTGTCAAGAGATGTATGTCTTGATGGAGCGAGGGAGAGGGGAGGGGTTGTGTTGTGTTGTGTTGTGCTGTGATGTTAGTTAGGGTGGGTAGGTATGGTGGGTGTTGACGAGTCCTCCCACCCCCGCCCGACCTCCGCGGCCGCGGTTGGCGGCGGGCGTGAGTGATGCTGTCATCGATTCGTTACGTGTGGTGCGTGCGTGCTTGCGTACTGCGTGCTTGCGTGTGGGCGGCGTGGGCGGCCGGCTTGGCGGCCTGCCGGGCGGTGCGCGTTTCGTGTGCTTAGGTACTGCTGGGCTGGGCTGAGCTGGCTTACCGCCTTCTGTTTGGGGCGAATGGTGAGTGGGTTTGTGGGTGGAGGGGGAAGGGGAGGGGAGTGTGGATGTGGGTGTGGGTGTTTTGCTTGCTTGCTTGATTGGTTGTTTGGGGTTTGGGGTTGATTGGTTGTAGGTTTGGGTTTGTTTGGTTGTGGGTTTCTAGATGCTGGCTTGCGTTTAGGTGGGTGGGTGGTGGGTGGTGCGAAGGGGAGAGGGAGGGGAAGGGGGAATGGGTGTAAGAGTTTGATGGGGGAGGTAAGTTGGTGATCTAGATGGTGATCCTGGTGGTGGTAAATGGGATGGGTTAAGTATTGTCTTTGTATGCACGCGCGCGCAAGGGCATGCAGGCAGCAGGCTTGTATGTAGGTAGGTGGGTGGGTGGGTTTGCTCGTCTGTTTCTTTTGTCTGTCTCCTTTCACTGTCGTGTTGCTCGATGTTTGGGTTATGTTCTCTTCGCTCTTGGCTGCGTCTTTGTGCGCTTCTTCTCGTCCTTTCTACCACTCTTGTTTTCTCTTCTTGTCCTGGTCTATCCTGTCATGTCCTGTCATGTCCGCGCTCTTATACTCACAGCCTGTCCCTTCCCTCCAGTGGTTCGGTATCTCTTGCCTTTCTTTGCCGTGGTAGCGAGGTTTGTGTAGGGGATATGAGGAATTAGTTAGTTCTTGTCTTTTTTTGTTGGGGTTGCGATGGGATGGTGTGGGTAGTATATTGTACGGATACATAATGGTGTGCGGATACGGGTACGGATACGAGTGCGTGAGGGGCGGAAGAGGGCGGTGGTGGTGGTAGTGGCGGGGGCTGTGTATGTGCGGCGACGTTTTGGAATGGGAGGGTGCAGAAGGAGGAGGTGAAAGTGTGGTGAAACGGAAGTGTGTGTGAGCTGCATGCAAGCAGGACTGTGTAGGCATCAGCCACCCACATATTGGCGCCAACATACCAAAGAATGCACGTACGCTGCTTCCCCAGCATCCTGCATGAGCATCTGCGTAATTCTGTATACGGTCTTGTCACGCAGTCAAGAATCAGCTAAAGCGATGACAATGAGACGGGTATGCGCATCCCCACGAAGCACTCTTGGGGGTTTTGTAGCATGTAACGTGCAAGATAGTAGACGTGCTCCAATAGTAATGCTGGGACGGACCTGCGTGACCAGGTCGTCATTCTTTGTCCCCATGTACATGAACTTTATTTGGCGCTGCGCCTACTCTGCTGAAGTCCGTAGGTCTTCTTCGACAGAATTACTGCGGCTACTCTGGTAGTTACACAGCTGTCGCCATGCGGCATAGACTTTTAGGGGAATGTGTAGTTTGGTGCAATTTGATGTTTTGACGGGGAAATAGGAAACTTTTTGGGAGTGTGAAAAGGGAAAAGATCGCCTTGGATAGAAAAAGAAAATCAGTGTATTTTGGGGATTGAGAGAAGAAAGAAAAGGACAGAAACAGAAATTCCGCAATCTTCGTAGCCCAATTGTCCCCAAAGTGAGTTTGTGCATATCTTCTCGTCCGATCTCTCCCTGTGCCACCGGTATGAACGTGTGAACTGTTCCGAAAGGAAAAGCGGTGCTTAACACCTATGAGATGCTACACGCAGGAGCCTTCAACTTTTCCGGCCTTTTTCAAAGCAATCTGTTGCCGAATTTCAATCCTTTGCCTGTTGCAAAGCTCAATCTTGCAAAAAATCGATAGTGGCTTGTCCAGCCTCCCTGTCATTTACGAAGGTCTTGACAGTGAGGGTACACTGCTCTGTGGCCATGTTGACCTCAATATTCCCATCGACTTCGCGAACATACTTTTTGAGGCTCTTGTTGTGCTTGCGGCGTGCATTCTTGAGGTCCTTTTTCTGAAAAACCACTTGGACCTCGCCAACCTTCTGGACTGTAGCGCGATGTGAGTACTCCGGGGCGATGTCTTCGTTGCATGACCACAAAGTGATATGTTTGGTTAGCTCTTTGTCTTCAAATTTGAATTGAACTGCAGACTTCATCACAGCGCCGTCTTCAAGATTCTGGCCCTGTACGTCCAAAATAAGTAAGTACACTGTACACGGATAAAATGTCATGGTTTGTTACATGCCTTTGAGACTTGCCAGTTCATCCGCCCCTTGCAGTATTTCTGGCCATTGAAGTTATCAATATAACCAAGCCATTCGGGATCTGCATGCTTTCTGAAAGGCAGGGCGATGCCGTAGCCGTAATGGCGCCGCGCTTGTCTGGATCGTGGTTTAAGTCCTTCGAGACCCCTAATTGCAGCTCCTTTGACCACAGCTGCTTGGCATTGTGGTGGACAAGTGAGCTGGATCTGGCCGTTCTATTGGCACCACTGGCTCATCCGTTGATTCAAGTAATTTGAATCGCCGAAACCACCAACAAGGATGATGCGTTTGATGTTGTGGTTGTTGCTCTTTGCGTGCTTGACCTGCGATTTAACCAGGCGAATGATATCATCTATGACAGGATCAAAGAATGCTTTCATGTCCATGCTGTACGTATTCTGTTAACCTTATAATGTACTGTAAACATGATGTAGGGAAGTATTTACCATGAAAACTTCAATGTAGCTTCATCCGCATCGTACTTGGGTGTTGATAGAGTTTTCATGTTGATATGCTCAACCTCAATGTCTTGCATTCCATCCGCATTGGGGAAGTCGCCACTAAACGTTCTTTTTGCCGTTTCGAAAGATCTCATGAAATTGCTTCCTGGGCCACGACGCTTCGGCTGTACGTTCTCATATGCTTTGCCGAAAGTCTTCAGCATCCATATGTTGAAGTTTCTGTCGATGGAAGTAGAGCCACACTTGCCGCCGATGCCAACACACAACTCTTTGAATTCCAGTTTCGGTCGGCAGGAAATGATGTTGTAAGTGGTTATGTCGACGGTGCCACCGCCACAATCACAGACGAGGATATCGTCTCCAGGTGAGATTGGGTCGAGTGCGCTTTCATGATGTGAGGCTTCAAGGCAGCCAGTGCGGCGGCTTCGGGCTCTGTAATGATGTTTACGCTGTCGAAAGGCCTTGAAGCAAAACCGGCACTCATGGCGGCGCTCTTTGTAGCGTCTCTAGCGGCATCGCTCCAGATTGCAGGCAATGTTATCCAGACCTCTACGGGCGTAATATCAAAGATCCTGGATGAGTACTTCTTGGTCAAAACTGCAACCATGTGCTCACAAAGGCACTTCAAGAAGTTGCTACAAACTTCCCTTGCTGATTTGGATTCTGGCAGTCGCATGATTCCTTTTCCAAGCAGATCATCGAGCGTCGGGTCATCGTAATCCGTAAGCTTCGTATTACGGTCGAGGAGCAATTTGGTCCAAAGGTAAGGTTCCATGTTCGGAGTCGCTGTATATCCCCATTGATTCGTAGTAAGGTTTTCGTTCTCAAATGCGTAGGCAATTCTTGTGGGCACTTTGAAAACGGATTCCGGAGTGCCCGGCCACTGGTTAATGACCTCGATTTTGTCGAAACTTTTCTCATTCGAAGTGACATAGCTGATGCCTGATGAAAGGTTAGAGGTTTTGACGAACCAGTTTGAGGAATGGATTAGGTGAGGCTCGCAAGAGTTCTTCATAAGCTTCCTTACCTAAATATGTTGTGCCGTAATCGAGACCAACGATGATCTTGTGGCGCGCTGCCGCCATGGTTATGAGTGTAGTGAACAAAACTTTTTCAAGGAGGTCCAATAAGCAACACAAGGGTTGAGTTTGAGCAGCAATGCTTAAGTATAGTTAAGCCAACAGTAGTCTCGGTTCTGCTCTGGAGAGTTCAGGAAGGGTTGTAAGGCAGAAGAAAGGAGAGTCATAAAGAAAGAAGAGTGAGGGTAATTAGGCTACCATAAAAGCCTAACCCGCAACTGCCTTTCATAGGAAACTGCAAACGCTTGAACCATTTTGGCAGGCACGCACTTGCCTACCTAATTGTTCTAGCATGAACCTGTTCGTCCCTGCCTTCGTTAACTCCCCTCTCTTCCACCAACAACTCTGGATATCACTTCTGCCAAAGTAAACCTTTTAACCTCCAACCACCAAACCTTACCTCATCTTCTTCTTTAGCTTCATTCTCGCTACAAGTAGTACCAAAGGGCCGAATTCCCTAAGCTCTTCGCTGTTATGTCTTTCATAAACTGGCAATTTTACAACAATAATCGGAACCAAGACCGACCTTCAGATGAACAGGATGGCCCATCGCATCGGTATCCGACTAGACATAGCATCAACGGACATCAATCCAGCGCCGTAGGTGTGAATCAGAGCCAACTGGAAAATCTTCGCAATGAAAACAACAGACTTCACACCAAGGTCGACAATCAACGCCGAGAGATTCAGATAAAAGAGAGAAAGTGGAAAAATGTTGTCCAACAAAAGAAGAATCTAGAAGCACAGAATTTGAAGTTCAAGGAACTACTTAATGGTAACTCTAGAGATACCAGCGACATTGAAGAGAGGATTCTTCACTACAAACAACGGAACGAGTACTTGGAAGCGCAGGCCAACCACATGCAGGAAAAACTGGATGCCTGCATGATCGAGCTTAGGAGCGCCCAACAGACAACCTTTGAGAAAGCTAAGACGGTCTGGGCTCCAGAGGAGGACAGGACGATCCGAGAATTGATTGAGGAACTCTTTAAGTCAGTCCGAGCGTGGTCCAAGAAACACTGCGCCGCAGTCAGCGACTGGTCTCACTTTGAAGACGAAGAAACCCTGAAGAAATTATTCTGTGAAATTCAGGTAGTGGCAGACATTCCGGACATGAACGCTTTGATAGAATTCAAACATCCATTTCTGGTTTTGGCAAGCTTGTTGTCATCGCACATTACAGAGTATATCTTCAGGAATCCGTTCCTTTTCTTGGAGGATTCCCAAGCAATCGGGACCAGCAGCTCTCCAGGCTATGTGCTCAACAACACATTTCAAAGACTGTCAAATGGTAAGTTGAAGTGCGCGCCTTTGTAAAATGAAGCTCATGAACTGACGGAATAACTAGCAAACAAATCTGAAGCACATTCATGGCGCGTTGAGTTCCTGAGAGTCGCTTTCCCGAGCACTACACATAATCACTTCAAGCAGAAAACAGAATCTCCACTAGCCAACCAAGAAGACCCGGATTGCATATACGCCTCAATGGTCGACAAGTTTATATATGGCTCTGCTTATTTCTTCCTTAATTCTCTCACTGGCCAGGAAGAAGCTGCCCGGAAGTCCGATCTGCATGCTCTGTTTCTGCGAGCTGGAAACATAAACGGCCGTATCCAGAGCCAACTCACGCATTTCGAATGGGTCTATCAAGGCATGTTGCTCAACCACCCATTTTCAGTCCACTCGCTGTACATGAAGGCGGATCGCTTCCATAAGCTGGAAGATGACGAAGACAAGTCTCATGATGGGGATGCGGTGAAAATCATAGTGAGTCCGATGGTAAAAGTTTACGGAGACAGCAACGGAGAAAACTACGAATCGGGACGCCTCTTGGTGAAGGCAGTTGTCTGGCTCGGTGATCCTGATATGAAAGTTCAAGAGCCGATGGACTCCCAGCCTGTCAAAGTCAAGACAGAACCGTTTGTACTCATCGACTAACGGGGATTTCACTTCCCTTCGGAGAAACAGATCGATGGCTGCATCTACTTCCACGACACCAAAAGTTTGCTTCTACACACACGACTAAGATTGCTTCCCTACGAGAACGAACGACACAAGGCCTTTTTCTCTTTACACCAAATTGATCCAGCACGAAAGGCCGACAGGTTTGCTCAAACACTGAGCTTCTACGGAGGAAACACTTGCTTTTACAACTTCAATTTTGCTCTACGACGGAGGACACACAAATTGGCACTGCTCAGGTCCCCAGCCCCTTACATAAGACTGCTATTTCCTTCTTGCTTTCCACTTTTAATTCAAAGCCGGCGTGGCGGGAGGATGATGGACCGGCTGAAAAGTTCTCTTTTCTTTGTTTTGCTTTCCCCAGCTACTTCAGATAAGCAACAAATGAAGACCTGACTTGAAAGGATGGGCGTGGTTCGTGATACCTTCAAGCACCACGAGCAGTGTCTATCCGGTCCAGGACGGTAGAACCGTCATGAAGCCAACAGCGGCTTTGACCAGAGGCATCCATCACAGTACAGAGTAGTGCGGAACCGTCCAGTCTCGTCACGGTCGGTACGCCATCAGACGACCATGACTGCCTCCGTGGCTTCACGCCACGAACGGTCTCGTCACGTCGAAGATGAGTTCAGAGGGACGGTGGCAGACGGTAGTCGTAGGGTTTTGCTGTGTATCGATATCTTAGGAGGCAAATAGCTACCTGACTAGGTAGTTTTAGTTTTAAGGCTTCGGCGATGGGGATGTTTGAGTCTTTGCAACACCGTACTAACTCTCGTGATGTCGGTCCGACAGAACAAGACGGCTTGCGTTGTCGTCCAAGTGAACGGGAGGACGGTAGGGGCGGCGAACGGTTCGTCGCGCCCACCGTCTGGCATCACCAGGACGGTTGCACGCTCTGAGCACAAAAACTCCGCCCATCAAAGACGCACGCAAACAAAGCCCGTCAAACCGCATCTATACCGCAACAAAGCGCCCAGCTCTATCATACACCCCTCCACACTCTACCGTACAATATTGATAGTCCTGCCCCCCTTCACCACCACAACCCTCCTGACATTCCCATCCTCACCCAACCGCAGCCCCTCCTTCTCAAACAGCTTCTGCCCCCGCTCGCTCGCCCGCACTTGGTCCACAACCCACTGGACGAGCTGCTCGTGGCGGGCGGGCGCCAGCAGCGCGTCTTCCGGCACGGGGATGTCGAGCGCGAACTTCAGCTTGCCGTTCAGCTGCACGGAGCAGGGCTGGCTGCGGCGGCTGAGCTTGTTTAGGAGATCGGGGTCGTGCGTGGGGAAGCCCGCTGCGAAGACGGAGCCTGCGCTGGAGCTGTCCCCGTTCAAGACTTCCCAGCACTCTTCTGCGAACGCGGGCGCCACGGGCGCGATCATGCGAACGAGCGCGCGCGCGCCGTCGCGGTACGCGGCGGTGACGGCGGGGGAAGAGGCGCTGGGCGCGTCGTCCAGTGCGTTGGTGAACTTGATCAGGTCGGAGATCATGGTGTTGAGCGCGAAGGTGGATTCGAGGGCTGTGGTGACGAGCTTGACGGCCTGGTGCTGCTGCAGGAGCAGGTCTTCTGTGAGCATTCTGCTGTCCTCGCTGCTGCTCTGCTCCTCGTTGGATTCCGTCGACACGGTCGTGGCGCGCTGCACCACGCGCCATACGCGGTTCAACCAGCGCTGGATCCCGACGATGCGGTCTTCGTCCCACTCGAGCACCTCGCTGACAGGCGCCTGGAAGAGGATGTGCGCGCGCGTGGTATCGGCACCGTAGCGCTCGATGCAGGCGCCGGGATCGACGCCGTTGTACTTGCTCTTTGACATTTTCTCGAAGCTGACATTGGGCGGCTTTCCCGAGGCCTTCATCTTAGGCTTGGAGGGGTCAGAGAGGTCGACCTCGTCGGGCTTCAGGAAGCGGCCAGTCGCGGGGTCGGTGTACGTGCGCCCGTGGACCATGCCCTGCGTGATGAGCTTGCGGAAGGGCTCGCCGTTGTTGTCGGGGCCGCCGCCGCTGGGCCAAAGCGCCGTTGTCGCCAGGAACTTGGAGATGAAGCGCGCGTACAGCAGGTGCAGGATCGCGTGCTCGACGCCGCCGATGTAGATGTCGACGGGGAGGCGCGCGTCCGCGGCTTGCGCCGAGATGGGCTCGTCCTTGTTGTGCGGGTCCGCAAAGCGGAAAAAGTACCATGACGAGTCCATGAACGTGTCCATCGTGTCGGTTTCGCGCTTGGCCGGGCCCTGGCATTTCGGACACGACGTGTTGAGCCATTCCGGAATGTCATTCAGCGGGTTGCCGCCTTTGCCCAGAACCTGTCCTTCGCGCAGCTTGGGGTGGACGACCGGCAGGTCCGATGTAGGCACTGGGACGGGCCCGCAGCTTTTGCAGTTGATGATTGGAATCGGCGTGCCCCAGTACCGCTGACGGCTGATGAGCCAGTCCCGCAGCCTCCAGTTTTCGGTATGCTCAGCAAGCTTTCCCCACGTTCTGGGCTTCCTGCTCTCCTCTTGCATCTCACCGACAATCCTTTGTATAGCTTCGTCGGATGCGATACCAGCGAAACGGTCAGACCCAGCGGTCAGTACGCCCTTGTGCACGAAGACCTGATCGCCTTCATTGTCAGTCGAGGCCAGGGAATTGCCAGAAGAGGGCGTGACGACAACCCGAATGGCTTGATTGCCCTCGTTCTCCCTCCAAAAGGCATAGTCCCGGCTATCGTGTCCTGGAACACCCATGACGGCCCCTGTTCCGTACTCTTCCAGAACATATGGAGCAGCATAAACTGGGAGGGGGAGAGCAACAGAATGAGCATCACTGCTGATATATCTGACAGGATTAGATGCTTCGATACCCGGAAGACGGAAACCCGCCTTCGAGTCCGGAGAAAACTTGGATGCCTTGTCAATGAAATCCTGCAGCTCTGGCTGTTCCTTTGCCATTTCCTGAACTATGGGGTGTCGGAGAGACAGCGCGACATATTGTACTCCATATAGAGTGTCGGCTCGAGTAGTGAAGACATCCACTGAGGGAAGTTCTTTGCCGGTGCTGGAGACTTCGAGATCAAACCGGAGTTTGGTGCCCGTAGATTTACCCACCCAATTCCTCTGCATCGACAAGACGCGCTCCGGCCAGCGATCGCCTTCTGCTAGAGAGTCCAAGTCGTTGAGCAGTGCCTCCTTGAACTCGGTAAGGCGGAGGAACCATTGCTTGAGACGCAGCTTCTCCACTTTGGCGCCTGATCTCCATGAGCGGCCTTCGGCGTCAACTTGCTCGTTTGCTAGAACGGTACACTCGACAGGGTCCCAGTTCACCAAAGATTCGGCCTGGTATGCCAGACCCCGCTCGTGGAGAAGCAAGAAGATGCGTTGGGTGTGCTTGTAGAACGACGGGTCACAAGTCATGAATTCCTGAACCGCACGGAGTTGCATTAGCTACGTATCTACGAAGCTTTACCTGACCTCCGCGGTCTTGACATACCCTGTCCCAGTCCCAATGTCCGTTCATGATCTCCAGCTGCTCTTTCATCTTGCCAATGTTTGTGACTGTCCATTCCGCCGGGTCGACGCCGTGCTCAATGGCCGCATTCTCAGCAGGCAAACCGAAAGAATCCCATCCCATTGGGTGTATCACATCGTAGCCTTTCATCCGCTTGTATCGCGAGAGGACATCGGAGATGGTGTAGACGCGAAGGTGACCTAGATGCAGAGTTCCGGACGGGTAGGGAAACATGGGCAGGACGTAGGCCTTGTCCTTGGGATCGCCGCTGTCGACTCTGCGCAATTGAGGGTCGGAAGTCTTCTTTGAGGACTCGGCCCATCGCTTGCGCCACTTGGTGTCGATTGTCTGAAAGTTGAGTCGATCATTCGCGGTGGATGCGGCGCGCCGGAGGTGGTTGTAGGCGCTGAGCCGCAACGACGGTCGCAGAGACCATCGCGAGCCCGCGGCAATGGCAGTGAGAGCTCTCATTACCAGCGATTAGCAGAGTCAAGGCCGCCACGGATCATGCTGCGATTGGAGTGGAAGGCGGCGCGTCGCAGGTGTGTTCTTGGCAGGCGCACAGGCGCGCTAGTGAGATACGGCTCCGATGACGATCGTATCCCCTGCGCCAAAGCATCAACGACCTTTCATTCTTCTCTCACCGCGCACCGCGCCCAAAGATCTCCACACACACGAGCATGGCTTTGACAGGCTGCGAATTCGGCTGATACATAACCACCTATATCCATCCCTCGCCATGTCTCGCCCCGGCTACAGCAGCGTTGCTGGCCAAGGCCCCCGCGACTCGCTGGAGCTCGCTTCACTCGCTTCCTCGTCTCCAAGCTCGCGACGAAGCTCAGAATCCTCCGCCTCCGGCACCCCTTCGTCGCGGAGGCTGTCGCTGGAGAATGAAGACTTTCTTTCCGAGAACAACCCTGCTGGGCGCCACGAGCGCTCCTATTCGGTTTCCTCCGCCTTTGACTTCGCGTCCAACCTGTTTCCTTTATCCACCACCGCGGGCGGCTATACTGCGCTGGGCGCGCCTTCGACCACGAACTTTGATCCGACGGCCGCGCTCAATGGAGGATCTTTGGAGAAGCACAAGTCGTTGACATATCTCAACGGCTTGTCGCTCGTAATCGGCCTTATCATTGGCTCCGGCATCTTTTCCTCGCCGAGTCAGGTCAACGCCAACGCTGGCTCCCCAGGCGCATCGCTCATAATATGGCTTGTCGCTGGTGTTTTGGCCTGGACGGGCGCTGCTAGCTATGCGGAACTGGGAGGCGCTATACCTCTCAACGGCGGTGCGCAGGTCTACCTTTCGAAAATCTTTGGAGAATGGGCCGGATTCCTCTTTACCTGGTGCGCCGTAACCGTCCTGAAGCCTGGCTCGGCCGCGATCATTGCCATCATCTTCGGAGAATACTGTGTAAGGACAGTGATTGGACCGGACGCCATGGAAATCAGCTTTTGGCTTAACAAAGGAGTTGCGTTGGGAGGCTTGATACTGGTCACCCTGCTCAATTGCGTATCCACGAAACTTGGAACGAGGAGCGCCGATGTCTTCATGTTTTTGAAGTTTCTCGCATTACTCGGAATCACGATAATGGGAATCATAGTCGCGGCCACGGGCTACTCATGGAAGGGTCAGACAAGTAACGAATGGAAGGACAAGGGATGGTTTGAGGGCACGAAGAAAGACGTTTCCAACTGGGCTGTGGCTCTGTATGCAGGTCTCTGGGCGTTTGACGGTTGGGACAACGTATGCCAACCCCTCGAACTTGAGTGTTACAACTGCTTACGCGAATTAGGTCAACTACGTTACGGGCGAATTTATTAACCCAACGCGCGATCTCCCACGCGTTATCCACACGTCGGTGCCGCTTGTAATTCTCTGCTATATCCTCGCAAACATCGCATACTTCCTCGTGCTTCCTCTGTCCGTCATCGACTCCAGCAACACGGTGGCCGTGGCTTTCGGCTCACAAGTCTTTGGCCCCGTCGGATCTCTCATCCTCGCGCTCGCCGTCTCCGGCAGCTGTTTCGGCGCGCTCAACGCCACGACCTTTACCAGCGGACGCCTTGTCTACACCGCAGGCAAGGAGGGCTACCTCCCCGAGATTTTTGGCAAGATCGGCGTGGGCAGGCGCACCGCCGTGCGGCTGGGTTCGAGAAGCGGTGGTGGCAGCCGCTTCGCGCGCATGATCTCCGACGACGCAGGCATCTTCTTCACGCCCATCAACGCGATGCTGCTCAACGCGGCGCTGACAGCCGTGTACATTCTGGTGGGCGAGTTCGGCACGCTAGTCACGTTCTACGGCGTCGCGGGCTACACGTTTTATTTCTTCACGGTGCTGGGGCTAATATTGCTGCGGGTGCGCGAGCCCGAGCTCGAGCGCCCGTACAAGACGTGGATCAGCACGCCCATCATCTTTTGCTGCGTCAGCCTGTTCTTGGTCTCGCGCGCGGTCATTGCCCAGCCCCTGCAGACGCTGATCGTGCTGGCGTTTATTTTGGCCGGCGTGCCGCTTTATTGGTGGAGGGTGGGCAGTAAGCGCGAGAGAGGCGAGAAGGGGAGGTGGAAGTTTTGGAAACGTTGGACCTCGAGTTGAGGCGTGGCACCTGTGGGGTGGCTTTCTGTGTATATTTTTGCAAAGATTATCATGATTGTAATGCCAGTGTCTTGTTGATGAGGTTCGACCTGCATAGGTATATGGTTCTTGCATATCCGTGTCTTTGGGCCTTTTTGAATACGCCTATACCCTCGCATAATTTTATTCTTATAAGTATGTAGAGGTTACCAACCATAACTACGTAAGGAGGATTTCGTGGGCCTGGTAGATTTCAGGTGAGCAAAATAGCCACGTCGAAAATCATCACATGACCGCGTAGACCACTTCGCGCGTCCCAACGCGTCCAGGCGCGTCGCCTCATCACCCCTCCGCACTCCGCACTCCGCCGAGCCAGCAATGGACATCTGGGCCGGCAACCTCTCGCTGCCCAACAGGGACACAGTCGCAGGTACTTCGTAGCTCCCGCCCGCCGCAGCGCCACTAACGCCCCAGCAGGCATCCACCTCGCGACGACGACGACGGCGACGCGCCCCGCGGCGCTCTCGCTCTCGCTCCCGCCCTCCCCGCTCCGCTTTCTGGCGCTGGTCGACCGCGGCCGCATCCCGCTGTACGTCGCCGCTGGGCCATCGCTGGATGTGTGGTCGCCCGAGGATCGCACCGTGCACTGGTTTAGCGCGCTGTTGCTCGACAGCAGCCATGATGCCGCGACGCCCGCACAGCACTGGTGGGACTCCGCGAGCCTGCAGGCGCAGTCGCCGCTGGCCATCCTGGCGCAGGTCGACCACGATGACGATGCGCCCTCCCACTCCGCGCTGCGCGTCACGGAGCTGCTCTTCTACGCGACGCGCGAGCGCGAGCAGGCGCAGCTCACGCTGCGCGCGCTTCCGCTGTCTGCGGACCTCGTGTCCAAACTGCCTTCCCCGCCGCTATCACCCCTGCCCCAGGCCGAAGAACCGCAGTTCCTGCTCCCGTTGTTCGACGCAGAAGAAGAAAAATCAACCTCCGAGCTCCGTAAGCGCCAAAGCGTATCCAGCCTCTTCGACGCCGCCGCCCAGCGCCGCAAACGCGCTAGGCGCGCTGGGGGGGAGAGCGTCGCTGCTGCGGCTGCTGCGCTGCCTCTTGTAAACCATCGGCGCTCTAGCTCCCTCGGCGCCACCGCAAACGTCATCAACAACACCGCCCCAGATCACGCAGACCAAACCAATGCACCAAAGCCCTCGCGCCCCCTCTCCCGCTCCCCAAGCCTGAGCCTGGCCGCGGATGCGCACGCGCACGCGCTGTCCCGCCCCCGCAGCCGCAAAGGCGGCTTCGTAGACGCTCAGGGGGCGGGCGCGGGTTTTGGCCCTGGCAAACGCTCTTCACTGTCGCGCGTCGCGACTGCTGATGACGAAGACGTGACAAAGGAGTCCTCGCTCGAGACCCGCAATAAAGACACTATCTCCCGACTCGTCTTGGCCGGCATGCGCATGCATGGCTTGCAGCAAAGGCGGAAAGATCGGGCGCGCAAGAGCTCGCTTGCTGGTGGTGTGGGGGTGGTGGGTAGGTTAGGGGAGGGAAATGATGGGTTAGGGGAAGCGCAAGACGCGGCCGAGGCCGCCAGAGACGCCGAGTACAAGCTCGTGTACCACCAGACGTACAAGGGCGCCGTGTTTGCGCTCAGGCGCCATGTCGGCTCCGTGCCGTTGCATGCGCATGTCGATGCGTTGAGGGAGACGGTGGATCGGTTGTTGGGGATCTTTTGTGCGGATCCTTTGGGGGGAGGAGGTGCGGATGAAGGTCGTCCCCCCACCGGCACAGCCGCCGTCCCTCATTCCGCCGATACTCACGCACCCGCCAACACTATAACAGCAACAACCGCACAACCCCCATTCGGCTCTAACGAGACACCAGCACCAGCAGAAGCCAGCCCGTTCGCAGCAAGCGCAAGTGAACGGAGAAGCAAGAGCAACAGCAAGAGTGGGGGTGGGGGTGGGGGTGGGGATGGAGCTGGCGATGAAGATGGCGATGGGAGTGGGTTGGGGCTGGACGTGGGCGTGGGCGTGGAGCAGCAAATGGTGCATACGCCGCGGATTAGGCGGGTGGGGGGACGGAGTTGATTGTGGTGTTGGTGGTGCTGTGTTTGTGGTGGCGTTAGTGGTGCTGGGGGGATGGGAGTGTGGGTTGTGAGGGTTTGGGGGGTCTGGGAGGTTTGTGTTTCTTGCCCATATATTTTCGGAGGATGTAGATGTAGGACATAGATTATGCAGCATTACAGACGCAGCATCGCGGGCATAACATTACAGACCAGCCCAACACGCCCCGCCGCCGTTCAACAGAGTAAGCCCGCCCTTTCCACCAGCTCGCTCGCAAGGGAGACAAACCCAGGCCTGTACCTACCTTAACTCGGTCGTAAGAAGCATTCCATTCCACCACCAAAGCCAAACCGTAACCATCCATCTTCAAGGGCGCGTTCAAAGCAGCCAGCCAACAACGATGCAGACCGGTACGGCGTGTCTGTATGTATGCACCGGGCGAAGTCTTCTCTTCTCTTCTCGCACCGCGGCGTCCTGCTGGCGAAATTACCTTCCCCGTACGTCGCACCGCACGCCTCAAGCCTACCTACCTACCTGAGACTGTCTGTCGCGCATCTCGCACCCCCCGGCCGTCTTCCCAGGTCCTCACATCACATCACATCATATCACATCACATCCCGCGCACAACCAAGCAAGAACGACCAGAACGAGAACGGCGTTTCCCCCGTCCGTCCGTCCGGTCGGAGGATCTACCTAAACCCCGTCGTCTCTGTTTGGTTGTTTGTGTTCCTCTCGGTTCTCAGTTCGCGCACGACTGACTGCCGCGCCGGGTACCGTGTCCGTGTGTTGGCGCTGCATAACCGTCTGCCTGCTTAGGAGTATGGATGAGTGAGTTTCGATGACGAGGTTTCTGCGGATGCGATCGGCTAGGTGTGCTCGGCTATGCTCTGCTCTGCTCTGCTCCTTTCTTCGTGCGAGGCGTCGTTGGCTTATATGCGTATCGTATCTTGTCGTATCGTATCGCATGCCATCGTAGCCGACTGAGCTGGCTGCATCGGGACGAGACGCTTCTGCCGCAGCAGCAGCAGCAGCAGCAGCAGCAGCAGCTGGCGCGTTGGCTACGAAATTCGCTCCCATCCCCTTCCCATCCCATCCCGTTCTAGCGCCTACCTATCCTCTCCACACCACGCCCAGATCGTAGCAAGGGTGCGTGCGTGCGTGCGTGATCGGGCGGGGATGTTGTGTCCCACGCTGACGGGCAGAGGACGCGCACTGGCAGACGTGATAGGGGCTCCGCTCCGCTTGCTTGCTGCTCCTAGATAGGTGGAGGAGGGCCCGAGGGAGTGGGTGAGACGGACGGACGGACGGACGGGGTGAGCCTCGCCAACGGCGTGTACTGTACCTACCCATGCATGCGGAGACACGGGATCGCGTGCTAGAGTGATGCCTGCCTTTGAGTACCTAATGTAGATCGCTGGCGGTGGGATTGAGGCTCAAGATTGCTGCGCGTCATACCCCGTAACGCCTGACCCCGGCGAACGAACGGGACAGGCGCATGAAGGGGAAACGGCACGGGGCAGGCGTGTAACGACGAGGCCAGCGTGTAAGAGCCACCAGCGGGAAGAAGTCATCTTGGGCGCAGATTGCGATACGAGGGGAGACATCACAGCGCAACGCACCGTTTCGCGAGGCAGCATGACCCCACCCAGGTCGTCATTGTCGTTGGCTCGGTGCAGCAGCAGAGATTGCACGAGGCTCGTAGCAGCTAGCAACTCGCAGGGTGGTGATCGGCCAGCACAAGCGTAGTCAGCGAGTCTGGGGCGACATAAACAGCTAGACTGCGCGAATAGAGGGGCGATATTGGCGGGCGGCCGCGGCGCAATTTCTGCGCCTGTTGTTGAGGGGAAATCGCACGATAGATTGGACTACTGGCGCGGATTGCGCATTGCTAGGTAGGTTTCTTTCCTCCCTACCTAGGGTTGGTTGGTTGGTTGGTTGGGTGAGGCTGGGAAGGGGGAAGGAAGCGGGGGCGGGTGCGGTCGTGGTCGAGGTCCTGGTCGATTGCATCCTTCTGCCGCACAAGCCAGGCGTTCGTTTGTTTTGCGATCTCACCGCATCAGGAGAGAGGAGAGAGGAGAGAGGGGAGAGAGAGTGTGTGAAGCTCGTGAGATAGGAATAGGGAGCAGTGTGGTTTCTCGTCGCGACAAGCTCGCGCGCGCGTCGCAGTTTGCGGCAATGATCAGAGCCCCGTCGATCGATCGGTCGATCGGCCAGATCTATCCGCAAGCTCTCCTGCACCAAGCACCCACGAAGGAACGGCGAAGGAATGCCGCGCGCGGTTCCTGGATGCTGGGTCGAGGGTGCCCTGCAAGATGAAGGAACTGGGCTGGCTTTGCTTGGGCTCAGTCATGGGCTGATGCGCCTCTTCTCCACTCAGCCGCCGCACAGAGTGTGGAGTACCTACTTACTAACGCACCCGAATCCTGCCGCCAACCGCTGGTCGTGCTGGGTCTTGTCGCTCCAACTTTGGGACTGACTGAGATGACGATCAGCACGTGTCGGACTGCCGCGTCGATCCGTTCATCCATCAAGCAGCATCCAGCGGGGGAGCGAGAAAAACTTCCCCAGTCACAAGACGCTCACATTCTCGACCCTCAGCCTACTCTTTTTTCTGCTGGCCGCCTCCGCACCATGGCGCCCGGCTCCTTCAAGCCTCGCGCCGACGTTCCCGCCCAGCGCGCAACCTTCTCGACGTCAGCCCCCGCGCTAGCCCATGGCCCTGGCTTCGCGCTGGCGCCGTGCCAGGCTGAGATTGGATGGACACGAGGGTGCTGCTCGACATGCCCCACGCTACCGGTAGCTTGATCTGCTCTCCGTTTTGGCGGCGTCGTCGTTATATCGGACGGGCTGAGAGGCGCTTCATCAGTTTGCTCTAGTCGAGCTAGATGCTTCTTAACTCGCGCCTCTCCTCGTCCCATTGTCATTGACAAATTGTCTTTCCCCAATCACTCCTTCACACTGCAAAATGTCTATTCTCTTTTACCGGAGACCCTCATTCGTCGAGAGGCCTGACGGCCCGTTGAACGGCAAGGCCTGCCAGCGCATGGTCGAGCGTACCCAGAACGGCCGCCGTGCCATCCCGGACGAATTGTCCTTTGAGAACATCATGTCTAATAAGGCGCTTCCGGTATGGCCCTCGCCACCCATGGCAGTGTTGGTTACTAATTCATTCAGCCATGCTCACTTAATGACTTCATGGACTACCTCGTCTATATTTCCCATGACGCCGAGAACCTTCAATTCCACCTGTGGCTGCAAGACTATACCCAACGGTTCTCCGCATTAAAGCCCGAGAGCAAGGCCCTCGCTCCCGAGTGGAAGGACCAGTCCGCCCCACCGGAGGAGAAGGCGGCCCAGGTCGCAGCACCACGAGGGCGCGGCTGGCGGCGCGCCAACAAGCCCGGCCCTCTGGTACCCAAGATCGACTTCGACAAGCCGTCCTCGGACGCTGCAGAGGGTGATATCGGGCTGACAGAGATCGTCGTCATGCCCGCCAAAGAAGGCACCAGCCCCAGCCCCAGTCGCACCACCTTCGCCACCACGGGCCTTGCCAGCCCTCTCTCTCCCAATTCGACCTTTGAGGATGCGTACAACAACCGCACCGTTACGCCTGACCCGCGCGAGCCCCGCCTCTCGCACCGCGCTTCCCAGCCGCTGATGACAGAGGAGTCGGTGCGCGAGCTCAAGGACGAGGCGAATACCCAGGCGGGCCTCAAGTGGGATGGCTGTAAGTGAGCAAGCGACAACCCGAAGAAACGGATACTAACGCTCCGCAGTCTCGGTGCAGCCCTTCCGCGCCGAAATCGACCGCGTCATCGCGCACTACATCGCCCCGGGCTCGCCCCGCGAACTCAACCTCTCAGCGCGCGACCGCGCCGCCGTCCTCCACGCCCTGCAGCACACGACGCACCCGTCGGCGTTCACGGCCGTGGCCGCCATGGTCGAGGCGACGCTGCGGGGGCAATCGCACCCGAACTTTGTGCGCTGGGCCATCTGCAACGGCAACCAGCCGCGCGTCTTCTTCGTGCGGACGATGGGGGTGACGCACATTGCGGGCGGACTACTAATCGGGATCATTCTCGCGCTCTCAAGTGCCAGCCGCTGGTACCGGCTGCTGATGTTCCCGGTGCTATTCCTGGGCATCACAACCATGATCGCGGCGTACAAGGGCCTGTGCGTGATCCTGCACAAGACGCACACGCGCAACGTCAAGCCATGGGAGGATGCGCGTAGCCTGAACTCGGGCATTACGGGAGCGGAGGGCGCGGGGGTCTCGACGGCGGAGGCCGACGCGCAGACGCTGCCGCCCTGCACGCCCACGACGCCCAACAAGCCGGGCCCCGTGCCCTTCGACTACGACGAGGAAGCCACGCTGGCAGGCTCGCCCGCCCGCTCCGCCAAGCACGACTCCTGGGGCAGCGCGGCGTCGTCGCGGCGCAGCGACGCGTTTGGGCCCGCGAACGAGTGGGAGACGGAGGACTGGGTCGCGCGGTATAAGCGCCGCAGCTTGCGCGCCAAGGTGTTTGATGCGCAGACGTGGGTGCAGGAGGAGAGTGTAAGAGTTGTTCAGGACCGCATTGTTAGGCAGAGCCAGGCGTGGAGTTTGTTGCTTACGGCGGCGGCGACGGCGGCGGTCGTTGCGGTGCCGGGGGGTGGGTTTTTTTAGTGTGGGTTGGGTTGGGTCGGGGTTTGTTTTATATCCTCTTTCTCTTTCTTTTTTTTCGTTCGTTTTATACTCCCTCGTTTCTTCTTCTTCTTCTTCTTCTTCTTCTTCTTCTTCTTCTTCTTCTTCTTCTTCTTTCTTCACTCCTTCTTAATCTTCGCATCTTCTAGTATTCTTTCTTTATGCTTTATTCCCATATCACATCACGACATGGCGCGGCTCGCCGGCAAGACTTATACCTACCTACCTCCCTCCCACCCTATATTTTTTTTATTGTTTTATTTTCTTTATTCTACTTTCGTTTCTTACTCTTTTCGGTGCTTTCGTGCTTTCACGGACTACCTAGTTTACGGATTGAATGGGATGGGATTCGATGGACGACGGTGCGATGCGATGCGATACCTTGGCAGCTTTGAGTCGGCTTGCTATGTACTTTGTTGTTTCATTATTGATCAGTTGGTTGTTGGTTAGTTGGCGAGCGTTGTGGTGGATGTATGGGTGATAAGGACTGGTTTGCGTAGGTATGTAGGTACGCTTCGTCTTTGGGACTGGGCAATTATGAGGTGGGTGCGTGATGGAAGGTAGATAGATATTGAAGTACGCTATGTGTAGGTACGGAGTAGGATTACGTAGGCACGTAGCCAGATATCGAAGATTCAGAAACAGTGCGAGAAGGAACAGAAGAAAAGAAAAGAAAAGAGGAAAGCGCGTGCAATAGAAACGAAATAACCGTATTGAAATGCGTCGATATAGCAGGATAGCTAGTATTTTAACACCAGTACCGTAGACTTACATATGAGATGCGTTTACGCGAAAAGATAGTATACCGCCTACCTACCTAGGTAGGTATAAGACATTAACCTCTCTTTTATTTTTATTTTTTTCTATAGGTGGTGGTAGTAACCAGCACTCTTACATTCCTACCCCACTTCCGCGTCTCCTGTCTCGCTTTATCCGCAAAAGAGAGGAGGCTGTAAAGGGGTCTATAAAAGCGAGAAGAGAAGAGAAGAGAAGTGGCACACAGCTCGCCCGCTACTCCCTCTCCCTAAGTATGTACTATATACAGCACGAGCATAAACAAACCAACCCCCAGCCACCATCAACACGAGAGAAGTTAGAAACGATCGCACCACCCTACTACCTACCCCATAAGCAGACCGGGGACCCAGGTCTCGTCCATTCCGTTTCCGTTCTTCTTAGCTTCTTGCGTCTACTAGAGACCAACCAACACCACACCACACCGCACCGCACGACACGGCGCGTTCGGGGCGCGGCTCTATTCCGTAATCAGGGCAGGGAAGGACGCGCACGCATGGGGAGCGAGCGGCGCTGGGGAGTCCGTGGCGTGGGTTTGTAGGTGCGTGCCTAGGTACCTATATACTACCCTACTACGCTACTACGCAGCTACGCAGGCAGCCTCAATCACCTTCTTTACCCACCCTAGACGCGCCGCAGCATCACGCGAGCGAGCGAGGGAGCGAGGTGCGCAGCACGGGTGGAGCGCACCGGCACCGGCACCGGCACCCCTCGCCCCAGCGCAGAGGAGGGTGCTCGTTCCCTATAACCCCGGTATAAAGCACTGTAGTTATACTCCGTATAACTCGCACAAACCACAAACCACAAAGCACTCATTATTCAAAAAGCACATATGGCACACCGAAAACAAAACGTTATGTCAAGTCTCTCAATTGCTATTAACATTTGTACAAGAAACGCATCTCCAAGCCTTCAGTAAGCCCCGCCGCAGCATGCATGCGCGTCCAGACAGAGCGCCACAAAGTAAGTCACTTCGATTCAGCGCCGACAGTCCTCCACGCCATCCGAGCACAGCTAGCAGCTTAGCGCGTAACGAAGAAGTTCTCAGCTCCCAAACAAACAAATCCAGCGCTTAGTAGCCGGTGAAGTCACGGACGTGGCGGCGGAGCTTGGCAGCAGCCGACTTCCAGAGCGCGGGGCCGGGAATCGTGTACTTGATGTCCTCGGTGTAGACGTTGAACTTGATGCCGGCGTCGTCGGCCTTGTAGAACTCGGTGGCGGACTCGCCGCCGGAGATGGCCGTGGAGCCCGAGCCCGTGACCTTGAGGTTGACGCACTGGGGGTAGGCCTGGGCGCCGTTCTCCTGGCCGGCGGAGTGGAGCGCGATGATCTCGTGGCGCAGGACGTAGTTACCCGCCTTGAGGTCCTTGGGGATCTTGGCGCTCCACGTGAAGTCGTTGGAGATCAGGTCGGTCGTGGCCCACTCGCCGGGAGAGCTGCCGCTGTGGTAGCCGTCCTGGTCGATCTTGACGAACTGCAGCTTGGTCTTGTCGACCGTGGTGCAGTCGCCGTCGCAGCTGGCAAGGTAGTCGATGATGGGGCCGACGTGGCTGTCGGGCCAGGTGCTCCACTGGAGCTTGACCTCCTCACCCGCGGCAACCTCGACGTACGACTGGCCGGGCTTGCCCTCCTTGTGGCAGATGATGTCGGGGCTGGAGAAGGAGCTGGGCTCGACGAAGCCGTTGTCCAGGTTCTGGGCGCTCCAGCCGGGGACCTTGGGGGCCGGGGTCTGGTAGGAGAAGCTGGGGTCGTAGCCAGTGTAGGTCTTGCTGCCGGCGACGATGCTGGCAACGTGGCCGTGGGCAGAGACCGAGGCGACGAGCGCGGCGGCGGTTCCGGCGGTGGCGAAGGTGCGCATGTTGATTGTTTGGTAAAGGTTGTTGATAATGGGTTTCTTGTTGGAACAGTTGTAGCTACGCGCAGCGCAGTGTAGAACGAAAGAATGGAAGTTGGTGAGGATGGATGGTGGTGGGCGGCGAAGAAAAGAGAGGCTTGCTGATTTCTCTCTGGCCGTCGTCCTGCCATCCTTATATGCCAGCCAGCCCTGCCCCCTCCGCCATCGTGGGCCGCTTGGCGCTGTGGAGCTCGCCGCACCCTTTTCCTCCGTTGTAGATTAAGCATAGATGGCAGGCCTGTTTCGAATCGCGCCCTGGCGGTTTCTCGGGTACATCAGCCGGTGCGCTGCTGCCAGTGCCGATGGTCGATGCCAGCCTCTGCTCCGAGCCCCACCCTATATCGAGCATGCATAATGTTTGGGAACCGTTAAGATCATCGATATTGCGACCCAGCACCGTGGTCATGTCGCGCTGCGAAACAGGCCCCGTGGTCGGCGCAGAACGCTCTGGAGTCTGACAGCCCTGGGGAGGCGCTTCATCTGCCAGACTTGGCATTTCGACCAAGAAACTGCAATGCGAAACCCGGCGTGTTTGAAGGCCTGGGGAAAGGGACGGCAACCCTTCTCGACAGATTCTTGGCCGCCTGCTCTTCCTCCCCTCTGTCCAACCGAGCATCGTGCAAACACCCTATTTCCGAGCCTCACAAAAAACAAAGCCGATCTCTCCCTTGGCAGCGTGCATCGTGGTCGTAGTGGTCGAAATAAGGTCCTTCAGCCCCCGCTCAATCTATCGGACGCCAACCGAGTCTCACCTTCGGCCCGGCGGCCCACGCACGCGTCCCATCCCAGCACCCCGGCGTTTGTTCCACCTCATGCGGCAACAAGGCAAGCCGATCTTACCGCACCGACTGCCGCCTCGGGTTAAGATGCGCGTTGTAATGTATGGGGTATCTCGCTTGGGTGCCGATCGGCGTGCGCACGGTGCCGTGCGCCCCGTGACGCTGGCGCGGCCACCTCCCGCTCAATGTCCGCTGGGCGTTTATGCGATTGCGCCGCCAGCGGCTACTCGGCAGGGCATCGGTGAGAGAGAGAGAGGGCGGTGGGCGTTTCGAGAAACACTCTTCTGGGAGCGAGCGTCAGAAGCGTTCTTACGGACGGTTCGTGGTTTGCGTGCTGCCCCTGTTGATCCTTGCTGTTACCAGATTTGGACTTGGATGCCTAGTTTCTAAAACGAGACGGTCGAGGGTTCTGTGCCCCTCGTCGCGGATGCCGCCGGCAGCCTTGTCTTGCAGCTGTTTGCTTAGGAACGTCTTTTGCCTTCTCCAGCTCCATTGTCGCCACCGTATCTCTCAACCACGCCACCATAACCGTTGCTGTTATTCACCGACTGTCCACATGCTCTTGGCCGCATGTTCACCTCCGTCCGTACATGCGTCCGCGTCCGGTTCCGCCAAGGCACATACCCGCAGCGAGGCCCCGCAAAGTCGCGGAGGCTCAGGTGACGATGCGCGACAGCGTGGCGGGCGGCTTGTGATGTGGGTCTGCGCGCGTGCTTGACGGGATGACGCGAGCGGGCGAGGCCGGAAGCCATCAAGTGCGCTGGCATGGGGTTCTAGAATGCGACTGGCGGGAATTGCGTGTGCGCAAGATTAGAGCATTGCGTTATGTCGCTGCCGGCAGGCATGCTGGAGCTGTGGCGTGGGAGGCCTTGCCGATTGGGTCCGTCGTGGGTGAGGGTGTGATGCCAGACTTTTTTTTTTTTCGGTAGTTAGTATGCTCAACCAGCCTCTTCTGATATTCCTACGAGTACACTGCGGACATGGTCGAGGCTCGCGCGCCCGCTGCTTTCTCTTCGCGTCCTGTTCCTGCTCCTTGACCGCTCCACATCTAAACAAGAACGTTGGTCAGAGAGTGGGATCGACAGCGAGTTTTCCATTGTGCTGCTTCTGTTGCTCTGGCTTCTCTGAAGATGATTCTGCTGCTGTTACTGGGTCAAAATTGGTGCGTGGTGAAACAAGACCAGCAAATACGAGCATCGTAGGACGTTGTTTGGTGGAAGCGGCGAGAGCGACAAGTCCGCGGTGGTTTTGCGCGAGTGCGTCAGGCGGTCCGCCGGAGCCGCTGGGCCGTGCGGCTTCGCGACCCGGCGGCGAATCTTCGCTCGAGTTAATCGTGGCCGGTGGTTTGCAAAATACAAACAACATCAAACATGGCTGCAAACAAACACTTCATGGCCGTTCTGACACTAAGGCTCTTCGTATGGATGACAGGATTCACATCACTAGACTTGAGCCAGTTTCTGCTCCCCCAAATATCCACTTTTTGTATCATGTTACTCAATTTCGTAAGACGTTATTCACACTACCTAGAGTTCGGGCTTGACGTATATATCAAAGACGACAGCACGACGCTTCGAATATATCTCTCTTTCTGTACACCGAATCCTTTTCAGGCTGTATGAAGTACTGTAACGCAACACTGGACATGAAAACGGTCACTGATCTTAAGCAGTACTCAATCCTGCAACAAACTCACAGCCCCTGCACAGAGGGCCAGAGAGCTATAAAGCACTACCTAAGCTGAATCACGACGTAGTGTGTATATATACATGCTTATGTACGTCATAGCCATGATGCAGTAGGTGAGTGAGCAAGATCAAGAAAACCCTAACATAACACAGCACACCACAACACACTACGACACACTACAGCACACCAAAGCAGCAAGCCATCAATCGCATCACAATCCACAATCACCGTCCACAACAAGTGCCCATGACGCTATGCCTTGCTCTTAAACCTACCTGACTCGTGCCGTGCGTGTGAGAGCCTTGATATCAACATCTACACCGAAAACGCTTGATCTCCTCGTCATTCATCTCCTGGTGTCAGCTTCGTGCGAACAGCTCTTCAACACTGCGGAGAACATATTCGGTCAACCGCTCTAAGCCATACCAATCACAACAACCCAGCCAACCACACCAAACCCATACCGTAGTGAGAAAAAAATCATCAGTCTATCATGGGCGCATTGCAGAATGATCAAAAGGGCCAGCTCAATCCAGAAACCCCATTTCCTCATCCAAAACGCCCTGTAGGCCCTGCGCGCGGCGGTGCTGCCCACTATTAATCGGCGGCCACGAGCGCTGCCGTTGGCGAAGATCTTCTGATTTAGCTATGGCGGGGGCCAAATTGCTACGTGGAAAAGTTAGCCCAGCCACAGCGCCAGCAGGGCCATGAAGCGCACCCCAAATCGCCGTGGACGACGTAGCCCTGGTCCTCGAGCGTCTCGGCCAGCTCGAGCTGGTGGTTGTCTAGCAAGCTAGGATTCGGCACCACGATCAGCGGCACGCCGATGCGCAGCGCGTCCAGGATGGAGCCCGAGCCTGTGTGCACAGCATATGTCATGAGTAGAGACAGGGTGAAGCGGCGGCGAGCACCGGGGCCTCACCGGAGTGGCTGACTACGACGCCCTCGTGCGCGCTGTTGCTGTTGCTGCCGTCGACGCCTTTGGCCAGCCGCATTTGGCTGAATAGCCCGTCTTTCGCAAAGTCGAAGCCGTGAATCGCCAGCCCGGACGCCTTGCAGTGCTCTTGCTTGGAGAGCTCGGCAAACAGCCGCTTGCCCCGCTGACCGTACTGCACGAGCAGGTCCGTGTAGCCGGCGGCGACGAGGGCTTGGATGAAAGACTGCTGGAAGACGGCGGTGATGAGGGCATCGAACGCAGCCGTGGCACCTATGGTGACGAAGCAGTGTTTGCGTGCCATTATAATTGTTGTTGTTGTTGTTGTTACAGTACAGTTGTTGAGTTGATGTTGTAGAGAGCGAGCATGTGAGGCGCGCCAAGAAAGCACGACTCGCCGCTCGCATGCCCGCGCGACAAAGATTCTTGAGCCGCAACGCACCCTCCGCCGCCAGCCCGCATCACCATGTCGGCCGTCGCCAAACGCCTGGGGCAGTACGCCCGCGCCGCCCGCCCGCTCCGCCTGTCGTCGCGGCCAAGCCGGCCCTGCGCAGCCGTCCAGGCGCCATGGCAACAACAGCCGCAACAACAGCAACAGCAACAGCAACGCAACTTCAGCATCACGCGCGCGGTCCGCAAGGCCGAGGAGGACAGCGAAGAGCCCCAGGCCGAGGAAGTCGACCATGAGTTTGAGCACTTGAAGCAGATCTTCGGCGACGACATCCCCAACAAGGGCATGGCGATGAACGAGGTGCTGCGCGACGTGGACCCGTCGGAGCTGCAGGGCTACATTGAGCCGAAGCAGCTTCCGCCGCGCGGCTTCTGGGGCGAGGGAGAGCCCGAGGGAGGCGAGGACGAGGAGTGGAACGGCGACGACATCCCGTCGCTCGGCCACGGCGAGTTGGAGCAGCAGAGGGAGATCCGCGAGTACATGCGCATGGCGGCGTGGGAGCTCCCGCTGCTAACCAGTACGCCCCCCACACGCCAATGGCTCGAGTCTTGCTTGGTAGCTAACGCGCCCGCGCGCGCCCCGCAGAGTACGCAAAGCCCTTTGAGCCGCCGACGGCCGAGAAGCCGCTGCGCTTCCGCTACACGTCGTACATGGGCGAGCAGCACCCGGCCGCGAACAAAGTCGTCGTCGAGTTCAGCGTCACGGACATCCCGAACCTGACGCAGGTGCAGCAGGACAAGCTGATCAAGCTCGCCGGCCCGCGCTACAACCCCGACACGCAGATCATCAAGATCAGCGCCGACAATTTTGAGACCCAGGCCAAGAACAAGCGCTACCTGGGCGACCGCATCGCCGACCTCGTCAGCGAGGCCCGCAACCCCAAGGACACGTTTGCCGACGTCCCCTTCGACTTCCGCCACCATAAGCCAAAGATCTTCCACCACTTCCCCAAGGACTGGGTCATGACGCCTCAGCGCAAGCAGCTGCTCGACCAGCGCCGCGAGCAGCGTTGGCAGCTCGAGCAGAAGCGCGTTGAGGAGGGCACGCTGGTCGATGGCGCCGAGATCGTCAAGGAGGCCCTCTCGACGCCCATCTTCGAGCAGGCCGAGCCCGTCATGATTGAGAAGGGCAAGGCGCCGCCGCCGCGGAGGCCGACGACCCTTGGCGCGAGGTGATGACGGCGGGGTTGGGACTGGGATTGGGCTTGGGCTTGGTGGTCTGTAAGAAATAGGTTCCGTCTATGGATAGAGTGCAATGTGTAAAACGCGATGTTTTTGTTCATGTCAGAGACGGGAAATACCGTGCAACCAAAACCAACCCCACCACCCATTACAACCAACACCCCCCAAACACAAAAAACTTCCAAATATAAAATCATCTAAACAACACAAAAGCACGGATACACGATCCTATTAAATATTTCATGAGGGTACAAAATTAAAAAGGTTATAACGGTGTAAGGGTGTAGAGGTGCATAGAGATAATGAAATTCATAGACAGCCAAAGCTGCTCGTACACATGTCTAAATTGCGGTCGCGATTGCATTTGCAAATTGCGGTGACATCTGCGGTTATTCCACTCCAACCCAGAATGATGAATATACACATACACATACATGTAAACACACAACACCTTCCTCCCCTCCCCTAACCCAACCCAAAACTCCAGCGCCAGTGCCAATGCCATTGCTTCGTTACTGTGCAGTACAGTATGTACAGGACGCAACAACCCCAACCCCACCAAACTCCGCTATCCTATCCTTGACTGACTGACTGACTGACTGACTGACTGACTGACTGACTGACTGAGTCTCTATACATTATACCCGCTCTTTCCTGTCTTTGCTATACATAATCGTACATGTCTTGTACATGTCTTTTTATACACACCTCTACCCCTCCCCTTCTTCCCCATCTTATAACCCCAACCACAGCTTCAGCCCACAGCTCACAGCTCACAGCCCACACCCCAAAACTCGCAGCACACTGCTCGTACTGCTCGCAAATCACAGCTTCCACACCCGCCACCCGCCCAAATCCATCCTCGACAGCGCGCCCCTCAACGGTCCTTGCACCTCGCCCTTTTCGGCCCAGAGCTTGCGGCCTGCCCACGCATCTAGGAAGCCGTCGGGGCCGGCGAGGAGGATGAGTTTGGTTGGGTGCGGTGTCTGGGCCCCCGATTGCTTCTGTGCCTCTGGCTGTGCCTCTGGCTGTGCCTCCGGCTGCCCCGTGGATGTTGGCGTAGATGTAGGTGTAGGCGTCCGCAAGAACTTGGCCACTCTCCCCGGCTGGATGAAGCTCCCCTCCTCGTCGACGAAATACTGCACCTCGAACTTCCGCCCCGGCCGCACCGCGCGCTTCAGCGCCTCGATCTCGCGCACGATCTCGCCCAGCTCCTCCCCCTCCCCCACAGTACCACCACCACCACCACCACCGCCCCACCCCCTCCCCCCCTTTAACCACCCCCACCACCTCCCTTCCTCCTCGCCCCCAACGTCCCCAACCCCACCAGCACACTCCTCCCGCCGCCTCACCGCCCACATAATCCGCACTCTCTCCGCACCGCCCTCTCCCCGCTTCACAAGCAGCGCATGCGCCACCTGCAGCGCGGGCGCGATCCCGGTCCCGCCGGCCAGGAACAGCACGTCGCTTGTGTTGGGCGGGAGCGAGAACTCTGCGTGCGGCCCCCGGAGGGAGACATTGCTGGTGCCTGGGGCCAGGCGGTGCAGGTACGCGCTTACTTCGCCGGCATGGCGGATCCAGAAGCGGAGGGGTGAGGTGGCGGACGCGGCCGTGGCCGTGGATGCGGGCGTGGCGTCTGCGGAGGTGGTGGTGATGGTGGTGGTGGTGTCGTAAGGTATAGGCGGCAGCGGCGTATACGCCCTCGCAATCTGCAGCTGTGGCTGCTTGACCTCGACGCTCCAGACTTTGTTCGTCCACCAGTCCTCCAATGAGGGCCCCTCCCCACCATCCTTCCGCAGCACAAAAATACCCCCCCTCCCATCCCCGCTGCCGACACTCCTCCGCTCAGCAAGTCTATACCCCGTAAACAGGCGCGGATGCAGGACGGGGCTTTCTTCGTCTGCGCCTGCGTCGTTCGTGGTGTTGGAGGTGGTGCTGAGGTGGCGGTAGCTGAAGCCTGCGAAGGCGCTGGAGGCTAGGAGGGCGAGTGCTGGGCGTGGGAGTAGGGCGCGTAGGCGGGGGCGCGGGTGGCGCATTGTTTGTTGGTTTGTTGTTTGTTTGTTGGGTTGGGTTGTGAGTGCGTGGGGTGGAAAAGGTGGTGGTGAGGATTTGCGATGCGATGGACGCGATGCGCGCGGATCGCGGATCGTCAGGGTCTGACGTAGCGTTGGTGGCGTCCCTACAACGGAAATAGATATTTATTTATTTATATACCTATACACTACCTAAGCGTCTACAAGCCCCGCGAGAAGCAATTGAGTAACGCCAAAGCATAACACGCGCGCAATTCTCCTTCTACAGCTCTCTCTACACGCGCACCCACTGCCCCCTTCCCCTCTCCCCCCATCCCCGTCTAAACCTACAACCGGATAATAGACCTTGGTTCCGTATCCTCGATCCCCCCGCGGAAGAGCTCCTTGATGATCCTGCCATGCACAATCGTCTCGGAGACGACGCCCTCGACCTGCTCGGGCCCGACTCGACCGTACCAGACGCCCTTGCCCGCGAGCGGGTGGCCCTGCCTCGCCAGTGTCTTGGGTATGTACACGATCACGTTGCCGGCGTACTTGTGCCCGCCGATATGGCTGATCAGGCCCACGCTGGCCGACAGCTTCGCCTTGCCGTCATCCGCGTCTTGTGCTTCCAGCTCCGGCTGCGCCCTCAGCACAATCCCGCTCTTCTGCAGCTTTTCCCCAAACTCGTCACGCAGGACGGGCCCCAAAACGCCGCAGCGGGCATCGCGGCCGCCATGCCCGCAAATCAGTACGACCACCTCGTCGACCTCCCGCACGCCCTCAAACTCCCGCTGCAGCGTCTCGTCCCGCGCGAGCACGGCTTGCTGCTCCGCCGGCAGCACCTTCTTGTGCACGGGGTGGATGTCGCGCGGCTTGACGAAGCCCTTGACTAGGGCGCGCACCGATGGCGCCGTCAGTGGTATCCGTGGCAGGTAGCGGAAGCTGGGGAAGAGGTAGGCGGAGCCGATGGCGGGGTCGCGGGATGCGGGCGCGAAGGACGAGTTCGTGATCATGACGTTGTGGTAGGGCTGTGGGCGGGAGGGTATGTTAGCATGTAGTTTTGGCAGCGAGAGCGTGCGCACCGTGGGCGCAAACGTAGGTAGGTAGTGCATAGGGCAACCAGCCCCGGCCCTGTGCGCCACTTCTCTTTTTGCGCCCTGGCTTCGCGCGTCTTCTCTGCTGCTCGTCTGTCTGTCTATCTGTTGTTGTTGTTCTTGTGCTCGAGGCTCAATGGGGATGGTGAAGCACGAACGTCACAGAGCTCGCCGTTCCGGACCAGCAGGTCGCGCAGCTGGCGCTGGAAGAGGCTGTTCTCGTCGTCTTCGATCTTGCTGGTCCAGTCATCCTTGCCCGTCGCAATGAGGATCTGCTCGCCGTAGGCCGCCATGGTGCCGTTCAGGTTCTGCTTGCGGTCGATGGGCAGGTCTTCCGGGAACTGCGGGTACGGGCGGCACTCGCATGTCGGCGCCGGGCAGGACTCGATGACGGGAAACGGTGTCGTAGGGAACGAGGGGATGGGGATGGAGCGGCGCGGAGCTGCGGCGCTGCGGCGAGGCAAGGACGAGGTGAAGAGAGCGCGCCGCGGGGCGTGTAGGAAAGACATGGTGATGCGCGCCGGGAAGCGCAAATTGACAATGACGGCGCTTTTTGAGCGCCTGGCCGGCCTCGGACATAGCGCGCAAAGTCCGACAACCTCGCGCCCTCTCACGCCTCTCCTCCGAGACTTACATAGCTCGCTCGCGCATTTCTGTGCGCGCGCAATGCCACAGCTACAGCAGCAGCAGCCACCAGGACCACAGACGCGATGACATCGCCAGCGTCGTCGACGACCGCGCCCGCGCACACCCAAACCCACGCACACGCATCGGCATCGCGCCCCACGCGCCCGCGCTCCCCGCGCTTCCCGCCGCACAACGCGCCGCGCGTGTGGTTCCTGACGAACGGGACGTCGCCGATCAGCATTGCGCTGGCGGAGCAGGCGCTCGACCACGGCGACTACGTCGTCGCGGGGGTGCTGCCGGCCGAGTTTGAGCGCGAGACGGGCCGCAGCGACGAGTTCCGCGGCTTTCTGGACAAGATTGGGCGCGGCGAGGGGGAGCGCGAGCGCTGGAAGGAGCGGCTGCGCGTCGTGGCCCTTGATGGGAGGTAGGTTGGATGCTCCGGGCAATGCCTAGGTGCTGCGAGGGGAAACTATGTCGGCTGATCACGTCAGGGTACAGGATTATAGGACAGTGCCAGGCGGCGGTTGCGGAGGCTGTCGAGGCTTTTGGCCGCATCGACGTGCTGCTCGGCTGCTCGAGTGAGAGTGAGTCCAAGCCCCTGCATTAAGAACACGCAGCTACCTAAGAGTAGGTACCTAGGTATAGAGCCCGGCTGACCCAACACGCCTCCCAGCCGTCATCGGCACAATCGAAGAACTGGCCCAATCCCCCCGTACCCTCAGTCTCGCGCGCGACCAATTCGAAACCAACTTCTTCAGCAACGTCAACATAATCAAAGCGGCGCTGCCGAGCATGCGCGCCAAAAAGAACGGGCACATCATCATGCTGACGGGCACAACGGGGCACCTGGGCACGCCGGGCCTAGGCCTCTACTGCGCGTCGCAATGGGCCATCGAGGGCTACTGCGACAGCCTGGCGTACGAGATCGCGCCCTTCAACATCAAGATGACCATCGTGCAGCCCAACGTCGAGGTCAACGTCCTCACGAACCGCATTACCTCGGCCCCGCCCCTCCCAGAGTACGCGCCCGACGTCAACCCCGCCCCCCTCGCCCGCGACCTCTTCTCCGCCCTCCTCGACAAAATAGACCTCCGCTCCGCTGTCCCTGCCGAAGCCGCGGAGTCTGCCTCCCCGCCTCCCTCCTCCTCCCCCCCTCCGGGGGTCGACGCCCCTGCCCCTGCCCTCTCGCCCGGCGACCTCCTCTCCCGCCCCCAAATCACATCGCTATACCCGCAGCTGGACGCAGACATCCGCGCGCGCCTGATCGCTGAAACAGTGCACGCGCTCACGGCCATCGGCGGGCACGACAACCCGCCTGCGCGCCACATAGTGGGGTTTGAGGGCGTGGCGAGCGTCAAGGAGAAGCTGAAGACTGTGAGTGAAGAGCTCGAGGACTTTACTGAGGTTAGTGGTGCGGTCGATATTGTTAAGGTGGGTGCTGAGGCGGGGGGGAGTGTGGCTGGGACGCCGGGGGAGGGTGGGGGGATGTAGGTGTGGGAGGGGGTGGATGGGGTTTGGGTTGGGTTGGATTGGTGGATGGGTTCGCGGACGGGGGGTGCGTGTGGGTGCTGTTGTGTTGTCCTGTGCTAGATACATAGCATATCTGCAAAAAATGTACAACATACAACATCTCTCCTACTAGCGGATCACACACAGATACGCAATACTTCAGCAGTAAATAGGTAGGTAGGTAGGTAGGCATTGCATTGTGATCGAACGCTGTATTGTATTCCTCTGCTTTAGTTTCTAGCTTCCTAGCTAACTAGCTAGCTTCTCTCTCTCTCTCTCTCTCTCTCTCGGTCGGACGCCCAGCGCTTGGTGGTCCGTTCGCGGCACGCGCTGCACGCGTCGGCGCAGCCCCTCGCCGCAGCGACGACAAGTAGGTGTGTAAGAAGGCAAGGCAGTCCGGCCCATAGGTAGCCGCTCATTCGGCAGGCTTCGATAGGTACATACATAGGTACCCAGGCAGCCGCGCACCCCAACTCAAGCGCCCACGCCCTGCAGCGCTTGCATAACCTCCTCCGCTACCCCGCCCGGCTGCACCACCAGCTTCAGCACCCGCCCCACAAGCGCGCGCTTCATGCCGCCCCGCGGCGGCGTCCACACACCCGGCGCCTGCATGCCCTCGCGCAGCGCGACCGCGTCCGCACTCGTCCCCGGCGCTACGCCTCCCGTCGCGGAGTTCAGGGCGTTGGGGACGCCAGGGGGCGTGAGGCGCGACGGGGGGTCAATGGTGCGGGTGGCGAGGATGCGGAGGTTGTTGTTCGATGTCGTAGAGCTGGTATTGGTGGTGGTGGATGCGGCGGCTTCGCCGACCGAGATTGCCAGCACCGCTTCTGCGACTGCGAGCTCCTCTTTGCTCGGGTCGAAGATGATGTTACCCCCCACGGCGATCACGAGCAGCGTGATCGGTGGCCGCGCGCTCTTGCTGTACAGCGGCGTCGCGGCCGCCCAGTCGTCGTCGAAGAGCGGGTCTTCGTCTTTCTCGGACTTGAGGCGTGGGAGCCGCGTCGTTAGGAGGGCGAGATGCGTCGTCAGCGAGAGGAGGGGCAGGGGGTACGAGAGCGGCGCCGAGAGAAGGAGGATCTGTCCAGGCATTAGCTTCAATCTATCTTCCTGACAGGGCGCCGGTGTGAACCTACGTCAATGTACAGCTTCCAGTGGAACCGCCGGTTGATGTACAGCCGGTCGCGCAGCTGCCCGTCCCCGAGCAACGCCTCGGTCAACATGGCTGCCAGGAACACGGGCAGCGCGTCGTCGTCGCGGTAGCCCGGGATCTCAACGCTCATCTCCACCCAGGCGTTTTCGCCCTTGCCCTCGGACCGGCGCGCAGCAGCGGCGTCGTCGTCGTCGCCCGCGGGCTCGTCATCGGCCATGTCCACGTCCGCGACATTGGCATCCTGCTCTTCCAGTCCAGCACGCAATGCGCTCTTCTCGACCTCAGCCTTCGCGCCGACAATGGCTTCGGTGCCGTCGGCGAAGCAGATGCGCGCGCTGCCGTTCGCGCCGGGAAGAATGTCGGTTTCGGCGATGAGCGGGCGGAACTGCGTGGGGCTGCGGCCGTCGGGGCGGATGGGCGGGTCCAGCTGCAGCGACGAGTGGATGTAGGACAGCTCGGCGGGCGACAGGAGCAGGTGCGCCGAGGGGGGCGCCATGGTGCTGCGGAGATGGTCGTGCGAATCGGAGTCGTCGTTAGTGGTGGTAACTTTTTGGCGGAGATCTTCAGACTACTGCCCCGGCGTGGCGGCGGGGCGGAAGGCGGTCAGAGCTCGCGGGAGCTGTCGCTAGACGTCATCAGTCAACCAGCCAGCTCAACTCCATCCGTCGCTTCACGTCGTTCAAGACGGACGTTTTGTTCAGAACTGTGACCAACGAGGCTCCCAGTTTTCTGTAAGAGCTTTCGTGTCTCCGCGGCGCTCATGCTTCGCCGCATACCGTCTCTCCAAACAAGATTCTTTGTAGTGTCCGTACCAATCGGCTTCAGCAACTGTTCAGATTGATTGTTTGTCGGCCTCTCACGAATCCAGCTCTAGAAGAGATTACTCCTCTTGATCAAGGTTGCATGACAAATGTGATCTAAAGGCTTTCCATTTCTGGTTATTGATTCGCGACGGTACCGGACACGTTATATTAATTCTTGGAAGGAGAAATCATGTTCCACAATCGCTTCATGACTTAAAAGGTTTGAGCTCCTGGCATTAACGATATGATTAGACTCTGCACTAAATTGTGCAAGCCTTAAAACCTATCTACTGTGCAATTAGCGCAGCGTTTGTGGTTACACATAGTGCAGCCAACGTATAAGGACACGGCGTTAGGTCCGTTGCTACAACTGCACTCTCCTGGTGTTAATTTGTTAGCCTCATTTTTAGAATTTCTGGGAACTCACGCAATACCAATAGCTTTCGCCATCTCTAGGCCCTGTATATTCCGGTGTTGAATAACCAACTTCCTGGTCGTAAAAGCACTCTCTGCAACGCTTGTGGCCGCAGCTGAAACATTTGTCTCCTGTATTTTGCTCTTTGCATTCGGATTCACACTAGATAACGTATAAGTATGAACTTATCCTGCAGTCCAAAAATCCATACTCACACAGGTCCAAGTCTTCCTATCATCCGCCAGTGGTAGCAAAGGGTTATCAGGCAATGGTGAATCTGCCATGTCTTGAAATTTAGGCAGTGTAGGGAGGCAAATCCCTCGTTTGAAGAGATCTCGTTGAATAAGTAATTTCCAGCCTGATGCGACAAGTTGAAGTAAGCGGACTCTCGATTACGTTTTCCTGCCCAAGGTGCCTCGTGACAGTTTCAATGTGCTATTTTCGGCAGCCATGCTGTACGATGAGATAGTATTGCAGAAACGAACATGTGACATCTATCTATTGGTTCCCTGACTATCTAGCCGCCAGAAATACCTCTAGTGAAGGGTTATATTCATTTTGCTGCTGCACGCGACAGTCGGACCCAATTTACACTTTCATTTTTCTCGAACCTTGCTAGTCTAAACCGTACAACATTTCAAAACGATTCTGATACTTCTTAGCGTCATGTCAAAACAAGCGTTAAATTGGGATTTTGTATACGCAAGACGTCGTAACAAACTTTATCAGGCTGGAAACCAGAAGATCGCATTCAGCTCCTCCGACAAAATCATTAAGATCAAGGAGTTTCTTGCATTACGCAAAAGGAGTTTGGAGCCTCCTGTGCGACAGTTGTTCTCAGCCTTAGAGCACTTCATGGCACTTCCTTTGCAATCAAAGAACCTCACAGATGTTGTTCTGCTCGATGAACGCCGAGATCCAACGGGAGGAACAACCTCGTCCCGCTTGTGGGATTCCTATCAGGATCCCGGTGGGTATATGAGTTACCCACCCTCCGGAGAGGCAGTTTTCACAAAGTGTCTGAACATTCAAGAATTCCAGTCTCATTTAATGAGAGATGTAAGTGTCTTCCGTACAACACCAGAAGTTCTAGCTTAACAATGAGTAAAACAGAGACCGGCAAACAGCGCGGGAAAAAGGATCATGTAAGTCAGTGATGGGCTTAACGTGAATCTAACGAAGACTTAGATCTTCTGAAGTTTCGTCGGTGACGTAACACCTGAGATTGTCTTCATACTCGCGATAACCTGCGCACCCCACACTGTGCCCTCATTGCGGAGCTTCCTTAGCCAACACATCGAATACAAAACTTCGTTCGATGTATACTTCTCTTTGGTACGTGCAAGAACTGAGAATTAACTAAACTATACTTAAAATCAATACAGGCACAGATTTTCAACTTGGAATTCCACATCTCATTTTTTGCGCTACGTAATCATATTTCAACCGGAAATCGATGTGATCCACGAATAATTAAAGAAAACAAGAGTCTTCGGTCATCGCGAAAGCTGCCGCTAGCGCGGAACCATGGAGAAGATCAAGATTATTATCATGAGTGCCAACTGTCACTCTTGGTAACGGGCGTCGATGAATGGTTTTGGACTGGATATTGCCTCGTCGATACCTATTACGGAAGCGAAGAAGAATGGAGCACCTACTTTGAGGGAGATGATAGTAGCGAACCCGCTACAGGTGGTGCAAGCACCCTCCAGTACCCTATTTGGAATCCACGCGAATATTTCTTAGCAGTGTTAGCGCGCCGAATGGCACAAGCAACACTGGAATGGAGGGTATTGGTAACGGCTTTTAAGGAGCGTATGGAAGACTACGTAAGTATAAAATTCTACCGGAGACCCTTCCTTTTCGGCGAGAGACTCACAAATATGTAGGAGGACGATAGCCTCCTTGCATTTGTCGATGATACAAGCCTTACTCGCACCAAACAGTTGATGCTAGCCGTCTCATCTATACGCCGCTTCCGCGATTCTCTGGCACGCACAATCAGCGCCTGGGATACGTTTGGGCAACAAAAAATACTTCATCTGGAAACGACAGGGAGCCATGCTCTCCGCCAAAAATGGGAGGAGTACATTGAAAGTGTGCGTAGTAACATCTCAGAGCTCAAATCACTTCACCTCATTCTATCCCAAAAACTGGATCTTTTCAACAGCATGCGTGATGGCGTACGTATGCCCAAAGCAGCAAAACCCATCTCACAATAGACAACTTACTAATGGCTTAGCTCGTCAATGCGTCGTCACTGAAGGAAAGCGCCGATTCCACGCGCCAAGGCGTAGATATTGGCATTCTGACCAGAATGACAGTGGTAATGCATCGTATCCACATATAAAGATACTATAAAACATGTCACTGATATTCTTCAAGCTTTATTTGCCCCTGTCATTAGCAACAGTAATGTTACCCACCCACAACTCTATGCTCCAAATACCTAACATATCATAAAGAGCGCATTTAGCATTGCCATGGTTAGCGACGACGTCTCATGGATCTGGTATGGCGTGGTAATCGTCTCGATTACCTTGTTAACTCTCTTCGCTGCCGCTAATCCAAGGGCCTTGGACTTCATCTTTTACCTGCCTCGGAATATCCAGCAGGGAACAACAAAGATGTTCGCCATGCTCAGAGACAAATATCGGACCCGATTCTCATCATAGCTGCAGTGGTGAAGGGAGTGGTTTAAAGGGAAGCAAAGCCGGTCGGCTTACCCTGATAGTATATTGCGTCCAAATAAAGATATTTTTATGTCTGTATCAACACCCAGCGACAATATCGTCACGCGCTGACCAAATATCCATATCCTAGCAAGACTGGATCTTTTCGCCAATAGGTGCGAATCTCAAGAACATCAGGTTTTGACTAGAAAGGTCTTACCTGAGCACCTGGAAAGACCCGATAGCGCATGACCAGGATGGCCTCTCGTCCAGCTGGTATGTTAAAGTACGGCTTGCCAAGACGCGAAAAACCTTGGCTTGAACATGTCTACAGCCCGGTTCTTTCTCAGCCTTGACAGATTGCACCGCTTCTCTCGTTTTAACGGTAAAGGTGTGCAGGTGGCTAAACTAAACATAGCCGGATACACGAATGAGTGCCTTTCTAGCAATTGGAAGTTGTTGGCCAGCTCAAATGTTGTAGGCAGACTCGGTAGTACGAAGAGTTGAATGAAATTTCAGATAAACCATGTCATTCAGCTTTGGCTGAGTACCTGGAAAGACGGTTGAGCTGCTGCGCCTTCCCGGTTCCTGTGACGGAAAGCCTAACGCCTTTAACCAAAGGACACCTATTCAGTAGCCATCCATCGATGCCACTGCGTGTTCTCCACATGGCGCTAAACTGAGACATGATGGGATGGCGACATCCGTTCAGCATCCTTTGACAGCCTTCAGGGGCCCCAAAATACGCCTTCGGGAAGAAAGGGAGCGCCACTGTCGTATTTTCTAAGTTAATACTGATTTGTGGCATTTGCTTTTTCTTTCGGCTATCCCGAAACGAACTGAACATTGGTTAGCGAGTTTTCGTCCACTACAGTCATCACGAAGCGCCAAATGCTTTACTATCCCGAAACGTCGTGAGGATAACTGGCATCACCTTGGCGAACTTGTTTGCAAAAACTGGGCTATTGTTAGACAGAGTTTGACGGTGGAGGCGGACGAGAATCATCTGCGAGACTATGCTATTGCGTAGCCGATGGTGCTACTCACTGCCACATCTAGAGCTAGTGGAGTCAATTGATGCCGTTTTTGGTCCTGTAATGCCTGACTTCAGCTCACCACGATGACGCCACTGCCAACCCCTCGTCGTTAGGGCTGCAGAACGTCGTCTTGCGGAGGATGCCTTATATTCGGAGTGCAAACTGATGCACAAAGATAACTGTTACGCACGCCGATGCCTTACCATCAATCAATTAGACAAGTGTTTGCACTGTGAACTTGTGAAGAGTTGGATGATGGCAGAGCTGGCTAGAGTTTAACCACCTGCGAATAGGGCTTAAGTGTTAGACATACTCCGTGCCACCTGAAGTTGGCGTACTGAAATTGAAAAACCAAGAAATTGATTTTCTGCAGCCTCCCGCGCCAGGCCGCTCGTTGAAAGATATTCCCCCGCAAACGCGAGCGCCATATGTTCGCCAGCCGACTCAGGCTACACAAACGTCTCCGAGGTAGACGTGCGCGGCTTGATTCTGGACATACGAAGCTGCTCTCATGGTCTCAGTAGACAGAGAAGTGGGGGGTATAAAAACCCCTTCAGGCCGCTCAAAGTCGGCCATCAGCACGAGCAACAAAATCACAAGAGACTTACCAGCACAACACCAACCATCAACCACCAACTACATCCACCATGTCCGACTACACCGGCCCCGGCATCTACGAGATCGTGCCTCGCATCGCCACGAACAAGGCCCTCAACGTTTGGGGCGGCGGTAACAAGGCCGGCACCCCCGTCCGTCTCTAGTAACAAATCCCATCACGTCTTGCCGACCAGCCAGGCCTTGTCAAGTTGACTAACTCCTGATCTTCACAGTCCCTCCAGGCCGACACAAGAGAACGCCAAGTTTGAGATCGTTTTGGCTGGTGGCAGCAGTGGAGACCACGAGGTCGGCCCCCGCCACTACCACATCCTCAGCTACAACAGCGGCCTCTACCTCACTGCGCCTTGTAAGTCTGAATTTCTCCCAAGTTGGTGAACTCCTAGTGACCGCGAATCGTTACGTACCAGCCTCGCAAGGACAAGGTAAACAGGTCGTCATGAACATCGGTCCCGTGGCCGACGAGAGTCTGCGCTGGAAGCTTCTACCGGCTGGTGATGGCGCTTTCAAGTAAGTAGTCTTCTGTGTGGGAAATATAGCGTTGTGCTGATGGAGCGGCATTAGCGTTGTTTCTGCAAAGGGCGACCTTCACTTGAACGTCGAGGGCAGCAACACTCAAGATGGCGCGAACGTTATCGTTTGGCCGCGTGAATCCTTCCCCAACTCGCAGTTCTACATCAAGCGTGTGTAGAACTAGGACTAAGAGGCGAGTTTGGCTCACGGCGTCCGACTGGTGTTGGAAAGCATCAAGATGTACTGGGAAGCTCATCCCTAGCCGCTCTTTGAATACAAGCAGTTTGACTTAGTCGCGTGACCCTTTGTGCCTCAGCTCTTTTACATGAAGTGCCACTGTCCCAATGAGAGAGTGAATGGGATGAGTGCTCACGACCTGACGTGACCTGCGACCTTCCGCGTCTCATCCCGCCGACAGAGTCCAGACATTGATGACGTCGTCCTGACATCAGTCAACTTATCCAACAAGTCATCCAAGGCAGCGGCAGCTCAGACGCTCTCTTGCGGATCCTGTATCAGACGTCGTCGTGCGGTTGTGGTGGTGGAACCAGATGGGCAGCGGAAGCCAGACGCGCGGGCAAACCCGCCGGGCCGCGGCACGCAAACCCGCCGGGCCGCGCCCGCTCCGCTCCGCACCCGCGCCGGCGCGTCTTCCACCATCTCGCAACCAACTCTCCACAGTACATGCCACGTCTCTCTCCCAATCACCTCCTGCACGCGCACCGCCTCCACGCGCACCTCCCCGCGCTGCTGCGCGCGTGCCGCGACCTCCCTTCCGCGCAGAACGAGCTGCGCTGGCTGCGCGAACATGCCGGCGCGGACAGCGAGCGATTGCGCGCGCTGGTGAGACGCCGTGCTAAGGGCGTGCCGCTGCAGTATGTGCTGGGCAGCGAGTTCTTTGGCGACTTGGAGATTGTGTGTAAGCCGGGTGTGCTGATTCCGCGGTAAGTCGCGCTTTTTGTCCTTCTTGTCTACTATGGCTGTGAACGGTAGGTGTAGTACCGATACTAATGCGTGACAGACAAGACACTGCAGCCGCGATTACACACCTCGCCTCTCTACTTCTACAATACTCCAAACGCCTCCCGCCCAACCTCCGCGTCCTCGACCTCTGCACCGGCACCGGCTGCATCCCCCTCCTAGCAGAGCACCTCCTCCACCCCGCCGTGCCTGACCCGCACTTCCTCGGCGTCGACGTCTCCCTCCGCTGCCTCCAGCTAGCCCAGCTCAATGCCTCCCGCTGCCGCGCCCAACGCACGCGCTTCTTACGCGCAGACGTGCTAGCCAGCAACGACGCCAGCAACGCCGGTCCCATCGAGCCGCTCCTCCCGCTCCTCCACCGCGCAGGCACCCCGACCTGGGACGTCCTCATCTCCAACCCGCCGTACATCTCGCCCCGGCACTTTGTGCGCACGACAGCGCGCTCGGTGCGGAACTGGGAGCCGAAGCTGGCGCTTGTGCCGCGCTCTGCGACGGGGAGTGCAGGCGAGGACGCAGACACTGCCGTAGCCAATGACGACGCCGTCGCTGATACGTTTTACCCCGCCCTGCTGCGCGCTGCAGACGGCGTCGGCGCAAAGGTCGCGCTGTTCGAGGTCGCGGACCTGGAGCAGGGGATGCGGGTGGCGGGGATGGTGAAGAGAGGAGGCGGCTGGGACGGCGTTGAGGTTTGGCGGGATGAGCCGGGGGTGGGGAATATGCAGGGGAGTGGGCATGAGCAGGGGGTTTGGCGCGTGGAGGGGGGCGGGACAGAAGGGGAAGAGGCAAAGGAGGTGGAAGAGGAGGCGGAAGGAGCGAGAGTGCGCGGGAGGGGCGAGGGCCGGAGCGTCGTCTGCTGGCGCGGGGAGGGAGGGCGGTGGCTTGGACAAGGATAAGGGAGGGGAGAGGAGGCGGTGGAGTGTGGACAAGATCTAGGCTTGAGGATCTGACACAGCAACTCTGGACCACGGGTCTACGGATGCAAATGATGCCCCCAAACCTCCCATCCCATCCCCATCGTCCGAGCAAACTCCCCGAAACAACACCTCCTTAAACGCCACCCTACCCGCTTATCGTCTATCGATTCATGTCCGCCACTCCTCTCCGCCATATGACGCAGCCCCGGACACGTGGGCGTGAGGTGTCAGGACGCCGGTGCCCGTAGCTGCGCGTGCGCTTGATAGTGCACTATCAGCGCGTCTATCAGTCGCTGCAACGGTAATGCGGGGAAGAGCAGGCAAACGCAGGGAGCACGCGAGCCCCGTAGCTGCGTGCTTTCGCCTTGTCCCGAGCGCACTACGTAGGAAGGAAGACGGCCGTTTCGATTGCTGCTCAAGCCACTCGCTGGCCTACTTGCGCGACTTCGCCGTCTACTTCGCTGCTGCGTGCTGCTCGGGACGGCATTGAGCTACACTGTCTGGATGTCTGCTCAGGGTCTTTGCATGATTGTCCGCGCTGCAGTGGGGGAAGTCACAGCGTGTTGGTAGTCCTTAGTGAGTGCTTATCCACGCACACCCAGCCCTAGCAATGCCGCAAGCGATGCCATCGAAGCAACCGCCTTCACACTCATCAATAAACCACGATCGACCACCGCAGCAAGCAGCAGTCCGCCCAGGAGGGCAAATCTGCCCTTAACGAAAAGGTGATAAATTTCGCCACCAGAATCGATTTCTATCAAATACCAGAACTGGCTGGTTGGCGCAATGGTAGCGCGTGCCCCTCCTAAGGGCAAGGTTGCGGGTTCGAGTCCCGTGCTGGTCGGGTTTTTTTTGTTTTTCTGATTTCTAAATTTTTGGACTTTTTGGAGTGGAGATAGTGGCCTTGGGGTTGGGTGTTGTGGTTGCGCGGTTGTTGTGGCGCTTCTTTTGTTTTGGCGGTTGGCGCTGCTGTTGCGTCGGGGTTTCTTCGGCCTAATTATGCGCGCCTCGCTCCATCGCGCCGGAGGGCTGCGGTTCCGTTGGCCGCGTGCGCGTGCGAACAGCCATACGGCGTGGTGCGATGGCGCGCGTGGGCAAGGCGTGCGCTGCTGCAGGTCTGAGATGCGGATTGCAGTGGGCTGGTGTCAAGCGTGGTGCTTGCTGCACGTTGGTGTTTATGGCTACTTGTATGGATAGGCTAGGGAGCAGACGCCTTTAACTAAACGCACACACGCACAATACACATGCGACAGACAAACAAACACAGACACAGACGGGCGATCGCATGGCAGGGGCACGCACACGCACGGAATGATGCGCATGAGCGCATGGGAGCATAGGCGAGAGAAAGCTAAAAGGACGTGCCCGCGGCGGGTTTATTGCGATTCGTCAGCGAACGAATCTCCGGGGAGATATGGGTGCATTGTTTGGGGAGGGTGTTGTTTATGGGTGGGTGAGGTGAGTCAGGGGTTGTGTATGTGTGTGTGTGTGTGTGTGTATGTAGGTAGGGAGGGAGGTAGATGGGTATGGAGTAGATGTAGTGGGATGGGATGGGATGGGAGGGAATGCATGTGATGGGTACCTACGGAGTGCTCCCAGCACCGGTGAGGGATAGGCAGAGAGCACCTATTGTAGGAGTATGGAGGCGAAGCAAACAGGACGTGTGATTGGCGTGTCTCTAAAGTAGGCAGGCAGTCGCAGAGCGCGCTGGGAAGAGTCAAGACAAGATCAGACGCAGAGGGGCGACTGCGAGTGAACTGAGGCAGTTACGTGTAAGGCAACTGTTGCTCGCTCAGGCATGATGATCTGCTCCTAGGCCCCTCCATTCCATGCACACACACACATGGATCACCACCGGTCCATCGCGCACGACGTCGACGGTCGGGCGCATCCACGCGGTCCCGCCTCCCCGGCCGTCTGCCATGGGGCTGCCTGCAAGCCGGCTGGCTCTGGCTCTGGCGCAGACACTGACACTGACACAGGCACTGACACAGACAGACACAGGCACAGGCACAGGCATAGGCGCAAGTGCAGGCATCTCCGTTGCCAGGAATAGCCGCATCCATAGTGGCTGGCTAACTAGGTATGTAAAACAGACGCGTGGGACCTACGTACTACGTACGTCTACAATAGGTAAACTACAACATTTGATACGCAGGCCACTGCCGAGCGGCCTAGGTAGGTACGGACGGCACTTGTACCATACGAACCATACCATGTACGACGCCGCAATGGGACGATGCATGTCCTGATGCTCATGTATGTACCTACGTGCTCGTCCTCGCCACCCCCGCGCGCGTATCGTGACCTTCCGCCATGGGCGCGGCGACGGCGCGTGCTGGTAGGTAGGAGGTGCAGGGACGGCTGCGTGCTGCTGCGCGATGCTGCAGCCACAGTTGCGTACATACCACGGGTGGGAGATAGAGAGATAAGCGACGTTTGACGCCGAGAGAGGATCGTCGGCCATGTGGTGGTGGTGGTGGTGATGGTGGCAGTACTGTGCCTACCTGTTAGATGGCGGCGAGGGAGGACATGCTACTGGCGAGTGGACGAGAGTGGATGGAAGAGAGAGAGCGCGCGTGGGCGGGGCCAGCGTCAGTGGTGTGCCATCGGCTGCGACCGAAGTCGAGAAGCGCCTCTCCTCTCCTCCTCCACTCTCTCTCTCTCTCACCCACTACTACAACCACAAACCTTTTAGCTCGCGCCGGCGGCATCGTCATATCGCGAAATCACAATCGACGACGCAAGCTCGCGCACCGACGGTGGATGCAGACGCAGACCGCCAGAGCGCTGTTTCACCATCCACGCTGACTCGGGTGCCGCGCGTGGCCCCCGGCAGAAGCTTACGCAAAGCCTGGGAATCCGTCCTCCACACACCCCCTCCCTCGCCGTCCCGATTCGGCCTGCTCGCCCGCTCGGCTTGCTCTCGATCCCCTCTTCTTTTCTCTCTCTCTCGCTCCCCAAGCAAGCTTCCCAAAGCTGCAGCCACTAGCCGGCCTCCCTCGCTGCCCTCTCCACTCTACACCAACCACTATTTTACCCGACCATCCTCCACTACTACACCAGCCATACTGTACTTACCACACCACGCACCTGAGGCTTTCCCGCGGTGGTGCCCGTTATCGTGGCCTTCCACTACTACTACTTCCCCCCAATCGCGTACTTGCCTGCATCGGGTCCTGGCGATCTCGCTTCACTTCCTCCATTTCATCCATCCCGCCTTCCTCCATTCGTTCCTAATTTTTCCTTCGCTTCCCCCCATCCCTCCCCTCTCTCGACAAAGTCAAGCACGCTATCCACATGGCGTCTTCCTCTTCTCGCCAGCGGTCCTACGACTCGCTGTCCAGCTCCTCTTCGATGCAGTCCGACGGCTCCGCCAAGCGCATCCGTTTGCAACCCGCCCACTTCGACGATGAAGAGCATCAAAGTATGTTGTTCCCTTTCCACCGTCTCCATTGTCCCCCATTGTCTTCTCCCCCATTGTCCATGTTGTTCGTTCGCAATTCGTTTTGTCGGGGGTTCTCGTAAATTCTTTTCGGGTATTCTCGCTTCTGTCGATTTCCATTCTTCACTGTTGCAAATTTCTCTTATTAGTAAGAATCAAGTTCTAACGGTTGCAGTACTCACTTGTCACACGCTCGATTCGAGCATGAGGCTGGCGCCGCAGCACGACTCGGCGCGGCTGGAAGAGCTCGAGGCTGAGGACGAGGAGGAGCTCAACGCCAGCAGCGTCCGCTTCGTCGTCTCGACCTCGAGCCGCTCGTCGAACGAGGACCGTCCAATCTCGGCCCTCCAGGTCGACCGCATTCGGCCACGTGACCGCTCACGGGAGGAGTACGTCAAGGCGCTGAAGCAGGGCTACAACCAGCTCATCGAAGTGCTTCTGCGTGACGTCTCCAAAGCCTGCGACACGCTGGTCGGGTCCAAGACGGCTTCTGTCAGCAAAATCTGCTACGACGTCTTGGCTTCGACTGAAAACAGCGTACTCCACGCCATCCTCGACGGCAACCTGGCGTGGGACGCTCAGCACGACTGCGCGACGAGCGAGGCGTTGGAGCGGCTACGCGCACAGGCCGAGACGCAGCCGTGCATCTACCAGCGTGTGCTCGTCGACGAGCTGAACCAGTCCCCCACGCCTGCCGAGCTATTCGACGTGATCGAGGGGCTGCGGCGGTACGCGCGTACCGGCGAGTGGCAGCTGGCCGAGAGCGTGGACCGGTTCCGGCAGTCGGAGCGGTGGAACGAGAACCTGGCCAAGGCCGGGCGCCGCAAGTACCTGGCCCCTCTTGCGTCCGAGTACGAGGCTCCGAGCGAGGCGCGCATTGCCGAGCTCGAGTTCTTCTGCCAGCACCTGCACTCGCGGCTCGACGCCATCCCGACGTGCGACTGGCACTCGCCGCTGCGCTTCCCGCTCGTCGACATGGGCTACACGGTCAACTTCGAGGCGCGGCTGGCGGCCGACGCGCAGCACACGTCTGCCAAGTTCCTGATGAACCTGGTCGAGGCCATGTGCGGCGTCCTCTTCCCGAACCGGTACCGCGTGGTGCAGCACCCCGTGTACCTGATCTTCGAGCCGCAGCAGGCCGTCATGGCGGACCTTGTTCTGGGCCAGCTGGCGCACGCGCTGCAGGCGACTGGTGGTGGCTTCGCGTACTGGCCCACGGATATGCTGCACGCGTCGAGCATGTCGGTCGACGACAAGAACTGGGCTCGCTACGAGAAGTGGGCCGTCGACCACAGTCCGTACGTAGCCAACTGCCGGGCCGACACGCCTCGCCAGGCAGCTCAGCTCGACCGCATCAAGCGCGTCATTGAGGAGAAGAAGCGCGAGATGTTCGATCTGAAGAAGGAGTATAATGAGGGCCAGCTGCAAATGCGGTTGGCGGCTCGGGATATCACTCGCCGCGTTGCCCGGTGTAACCGGTACAGCTTCTGAGCGGGGAGAGTGCCTGAGGTGGAGCCACCTGGGCTAGGGTATTGCTGAAGATGATTTCCCTTCTCATTCCCTTTTGTTGTTTCCTTTGCGTTGGATATCGGCTCGGATTGGATCGGATGAAACGGAAGAAAGGGGAAGGAGTGTCGTGGTCGTTGTCTCGAAACAGTTGTTTCGCACCTTTCCTTTAATCAAGGCAGGCAGACGGGAAGAGGACGACGGACAGATATGTCTTGAGGGGAGCGGATGGACAGGAAGGGTGTAGCTCCGATCGTGCGATGCAGCATCGTCTTGGGTACGAGAATAGAGCGTGTGTGCGAGCGGACGTAAGGTGTTGTCTCTCAGTCAGAACATTTCCCTCGACCGCATCTCCTCCCGTTCCAGGAAGGAGAGATGAAGAAGAAAAGAAGACGAGCTGAAAGAAGCGAAAGAGAGAAAGAGAGAGAGAACGAGAGAGCAGAAGAAAAGCCGTCGTCCCGTCTGCTCGCTCCCCGCCCCGTCCCGTCCCGTCCCCAAATCCGCCCGTCGATCCGTTCTGTTTCATCTCGCGCCACGGGCCCGGGCCAGCGCCACCTCATCGCATCTGCATCTGGAAGAAAGAGTCGCTAAAAAGCAGCTGCCTGCGTGCGAGCGAAGAGGGAGGGAACGCAGACCGAACGAAGGGAAGGAAAAAGAGCAAGCAATTTAGCAGGCGAGCCCGACTCGGCACAAAACACAAAACGCAAAAACCAAAAACCAAAAAAGAGCAGGCCAGCTGGCGCAGCCTTATTGTAGCTGATCCGGGGGGTTGGGGTTGGGGGCCCGGGATGGCGACATCGCGGCGGCGATTGCGCGTGTGGGCATTGCGTGCTTGGCGCGCGGAGCACGCGATTGGATTGCGAGCGCGATTGTTGGCGTTGGTAACGTGGGGTTGGCTTTGGGCTGGCTGGCTTTGCTTCTCCAGGTTTTGTGGTTTGAGGCGTGTGCGGGGTGGAGACGGGTTTCTGCTGCGGAGGGCTTGCTTTTGCGCGCTGTGTGGGAGGCGTGGTGTGGAAGGTTGGACTTGGTGGTGGTGTTGTGGGTTGGTGGTCTGTGCGCCCTGCTGTACGGGCGCTGCACCTGGCACCCTGGCGTGCGTTGTGTTGTGTTGGCTTATCAGACGGACGGGCGTTTGTGACGCTGCTTTTCTGGCTTATCTTTTGCCTTGTTGCTGGCGTTTTTTGTGGGGGAGGTTCTCTGCCTGCCGCTTGGGGCAGTTTCATGGGAAGGTTGGATTGGGGCTTGTCTGTCTGGGCTGGGGCTGGGCGGCGTTGTGCCATGGCATCGGCTTGGCGCGTGTGGTTTTATTGCGCGATTGATTAGAGCCAAGATGAGCGTTTCTTTGGGATTGCGGCGTTGCTTGCTTGTGTGCATGTTCAATTGGACGATTGGTTTGCATAAAGACAGAGGTTCAGAGAATTATAGGTACCTAGGTAGCAGCTAATCTTCGGCTCAGTATGACCGACACCAGTCTCCGACCCGGACTGGAACAATAACACAACATATTTCCCTCCCCACAACTCACGCCTACAATATGTATCGGAAGCCCTTGTTCTCGACCTCGGTGAGGTCGCGCATTCCGGCTTCGATGGCGTCCTTCTCCAGCTCCTCCGGCGTGCGGCCCGCTGCTTCGCGGTCGCGCCGCTTGTTCACGACCCACATGTAGACGTACAGGAGGATGACCATGGAGAGCTTGACGACGTAGCCGACGAGCATGCTGCGGGGGATAAGTCAGTCATCACCATGCAAGAGAGGAAAAGAAGGAAAGGACCAACGTACGCAATATAAGCCGACTGATACCCCGGCGCCTCACTCTTCTTAAACGTCTGCGGCCCAATGATGTTCCCGACACAGTATCCAGTAAAGATGATCGCGGCAGTGAGCTGCTTCTTCGTGGTGCCCGAGATGTTGCTGCTCACCATCGTCAAGCTCATGCTGTATCCCAAGCCTTGGAAAAAGCACAGCCAGAGCGCGACCAGCCGGCCCCACTTGTTGCTGTCGGGCAGTCCGATCAGCATCGATGAGCCCAAGATGCAAATCAGGTTCGCCACGATCATCGTGATGCAGCGCGAGTTCGGCCACCGCGTGCAGATGAAGCCGCCACCGAGGAGCGCCGCAAATTGCACGAAGCCGCCGGGGATTTGGAGGTATTGCGTGCCGAGGGTGTCGAAGCCGAAGGAGCCGACGATGATGGATGTGAACTGCGAGGGGGTCAGCGCGCGTCTTGGTTTGTGGTGTTTAGGGCATGCGGTGCAGAGCGTGGGAACTTACACTCGTGATGGCTGCGTTGGGCACCTGCGCGCCGACAGACATAATGAACAGCATCCACGTCTTGGGGTCACGCGCGCATTCCCATGCCTGGTTTTTCTTGAAGTGGTTGTTCTTGACGCCCTGTCGGTTCGATGCGACACGCTCGACAGCTATGGCACGCTCGCGCTCCGTAAGGAACTTGGCTGTCGAGGGAAGGTCCGGCAGCACGATCAACGAGACAATGCCCCATACAAAGCTGCATGAGCCGAAGATGATGAACACGTACATCCAGCGCGCCAGCGCGCCGGTCGTAATGTGTCCGATGGCGTAGCCGATAAGACTGAGTTTGTCAGTAAGGAGGTTTCTTTGACTCTGTGCTTTTGCTTGTATCAACGTACCCTCCAAACATGGTGGCGATCCCTGCGGAGGGATATTAGCGGCGTTGATCTTAAAGTAGAGTTATGAACTTACCATTCGTGCAGTAGTATGCCTCCAGACGCAGCGGTTGCTCGGCAGAAGTGTACCACATTCCCTGCAATGCATTAGCATCTCACATCTCATCCTCACGATACTTAAGTTAGCCTACCATGATAAACACGAAGCCTGAGAAGGTTAGTGACTGTGTATAGTATACGGATTGGAAATCACCTACCTGGGTTAACAGCAGCCTCAAGGCCTCCCAGAAGGAACCGGTTGACCGCTATGCCAGCAAAATTGTGGCATGCCGGCGTCGTGAGCAGGACAATGCTCCATGCTGGATTTTGTCAGTACAATATACGGCTGTGGAAAAGACGTAAAGCCTACACACCTATTATCGTCCAGCTGAGAAATTTGCCAGTAGGCAGCCTGATGATATGAGCATGAATAAATAAACATGACTGGTTCTCGCCTACCTCTGCATGAGATACCCAGAGGGAAACTGGGTGAAAAGATAGCCAAAATAGAATATGGAGCTGTTCGTTGTCAGTGTTGTCCGTATGTGGAATGTGGATATCCAAAGCGTACCTTAGCCAAGAGTATTCATCCCCCTTTAGATGTGTACCCTTCTGCAGGCCGTAGACACTCGCGTAGTTGATGCCATTCTGGTCACAAGTGAGCATGGAGCGGACCCCTGGCTGGACGATAGGATTCGATTTACCTTGTCCAGATACTGCAGGAGATATGTCATGAACAGAATCGGCACTATGCGCATGTCAATCTTCCGCAGAACCCGCTTCGCTTCAGCCTCGTCAATTCCGAGGTTCTGGTTCCGCTTGTAGACATCGTAGTTGTCGTCGAGATCACTGGATCCGGTTGTCGACTCGACTCCTGACGCCGGCTCGATGTCAGTATTGCTGAGCACAGTCTTGTCGTCGAGAGCCATGTCGATGGAGGTTTTACTGCAGCGATGCAGGATGGATGCACGCTCGAATGTTCACGGCGGACAAGGCCTTCAAAAGCACCAGGAAACGAAAATATTGCATGTTGAAGGCGTTTTTCCTACTTCGTCATTGCAAACATGGCGTGCTCGCCGCTGTCGAACGCCCGTTGCATCCCAGTGGAGCTCTGGGCAAAGAGGATGCGCACCATTTCGAGCCACATCGAGAATGGTCGGCCGGCAATTCTCCTCAATTCCTCTTCTTAACGGCTAATGACGGGCCTGGCAGCTTATGAAAGGAATTCCTGCGCCGTGATTGGCTGCATCGGAAGAAGGATGGTGTTGAAGGTCCCTGCCGCGTCCTAATCACGACATTCGCTTGCATTTGACGCGACCGTTAAACGAGCAACACCCAAACGCCATCCGACGGGGATGAACGTTTCTTGGCAATTGGAGCTTATGCAAGCTCCGTGGCAAATGAGCCCAGTGGAACACAAATCTTGGCTAGTGTGCCTCAGTCTGGTGTCGCTCCGGCCGCGGCCTCGATGGTTTTGTCGTGTCCCTTTCACCGCGCAGTCTTGGAAGCGCCCAGACCTGCGCCCGACACCGATACCTAGTCAATTGGACAGGATTCCATTGATGCCGTATTGAAATAGGATCATGCCACCACGGAGAGGTCTTTGTCCCTGTCAGATAACGCGTATTGTCAACGCGTCGAGACTCGAAACTTTTACGCCGGTCACGACCGCTTCGACCCGCCCTCGGATATAACTTCAGCCCTGAGAGGGGCACAAGGCCTTCTCGTTCGCAGTGGGGTCATCCAGACCGCAGCACGCGCAGCCCCTGTCTCAATGTTGGCACTTGACAAAGTCCCGTCGTCGCTTGCACCCGCGGAGGAACCGTCATCTTTGGTGCCCGATGGACGATCGCTGTGGCCCACTGTCCAGGGAAACGGCTGCTGCTGTGCTTTTCAAGCCCCACTTCCGATGTTCCGCGCTCTTTTTGATGGTGTCTGGGCCCAGGATGAAAAATGTGTTGCGAACATCTACGTCAGATTTCTCGTGCCAAAAAGGATAGACGCTCTTGACTCGCTAAGACCGAGTAGCACGTGCTGTACGAGTCAAACGCACAAACATTTCCCCGCAGTCCGCAGTCAAACCAAACGTCAGCAACGTCCATTTTTTGCTTGTCAAAAGCTACAGGCACAGTAACAATCCATTTTGGCTTATTGACTGTCTGCATTTCTCTCCGAGGAGCCTGGAACCATGTATAAAAAGGAAGGAAAGCGTCAAACGGAATCTTTCCTTTGTCTTTCGTCCTTTCTTTCATGAACCGCTTCTTTCAAGAGTCTTTCCGCACTCGAAGCCACTTTCTTTCTTCAAACTTTCTTCTCTTCAGCTCCGCCCAGCTCAAAACGTTCCGACCAGCGTACGGAGTACACTTCCGCCTTTCCCTAGCTAACGGCATGGTGTTGGCCCGGAGCCGACCCGGTCCTCATCTCCGCCGCCCGGACCACACCTCGGCTTCCACAGACCCACATCAGCAAAAAAAGCTTCACGATAGCGCCGGTATGGTGTCTCAGGAGGCCAAAAGAGAAAATGGATGCGCTGGGAATTGAACCCAGGACCACTCCCATGTTAGAATCTCACTGTTGTGATGATGCTAAGGGAGTATCATACCACTAGACCACGCACCCTGATTGGCTAATTGCCTGATGATGTAAGATGCTTGCACAAACAGGATTATGTGTAATGAAAATTGTGAATATGACTTTGCTATTCTGTTGGTAGCTGGGTTGCATCTACGGTTTGGATTGCTGGCTGATGTGGTGGCGTTTAAAAAGAATTTGAATCTGCAAGTAAGTTCTTAGCACTCTAACCCATGCCCCAAAAAAAACTCATTATACACTTATTTCTTGGCTACGTGATGCTCCAAGGCATTTTTCTATGCTTATCATGGAGACGGCACGTCCATTGTACGTGGTTATAACAGTCACGTAGCTTGCCAGAATGTGGCCATTTGCCTCTGGCACGATGTTCACATCCAAGCCAATTTTGGGATTGGTTGGTTTGATCGCTAGTTTCTGTACAGGTTCTTGACAAACTTGCAACCTTGTTTGGAAAAGAAAGACAAGCTTTTGTTCACATGAAAGCATCTCCTTCCCGTCGTTTGCTCTCCCGTTTCTCTTATCTCTTAGAACCATTTGTTTTCTCCGACCGCCGCCAACTTCATGAACTCCTATGAAACTCTTAAATCCTGTCTTGCAAAGTCATGGAGATCCCATTGTAAAGAGGTTCCTTCAATTGTAGTATTTCGCGATTAGGGCAGGCCGAGCTACGCTCAGTTTTTCAGGAAAGCCCCAATTTGTTTTCGGCCAATCCGCCTGAAGATGCATGCTTCACTGTTGTTCAATTAACTTTCTCCAGAGTGGACAAGTTTATACTACAACGTCTTTAACACTCCGACAGCAACCATTTGAAATACATATTAGCTCCGGTTGAGACATCCACCACTACGATAACGCCTAGCTTCCGGTTGTCCATCGTGACATCAAGCCCTCCTGTGGCTCACGAATTGGAGCTCCAGTCCCTTACCAGGTCAAGTCGGCCGACTTCGGTCGCGCCGTCCGCTTCAGCAGCGATATATAATTGCGTGGCTGTTGTAAGAACAGCACTACCAACAGTCCCGACATGGAGTACCACTTGGCTAAAGAGCACACGGGCGAGAAGCCGACGGATGAAGGAGAGTTCCGTGCCGGAGTTACATACTACCAGATCTCCTCGCAAGCCAAGAAGGGTAGAACTGGTAAGAGCAGTAAGAGAAGCACATTATCCGAAAAGAAGGGTCACAGCAATGCGAAGGACATCAGGACCAGCGGCACCGGTAGGGAAGAGGATCATCTTCGCCGGCCATTCAAACCACTCGGAGCTCAAATCGCCGGAGTAGCATCCGCTGTTTTCCAACGCTTCATTAGGACCAACTGCAAGAAGGTCACTAGTACCGTCAAGGATTTCAGGCCAAGCATTCTCCACAAGATGCTATCTGCGCTTGCTCCCACCAGGCCTATCCGAGGCGAAAAGCCGGCCTTGGATATCATCTACCACCGAAAGAGCATAGTCCACGACCGTAGGCTATCCGTCCCGTCTACTGTTAGTACTAGACGGGACGGTTATATATCCTAATTTATGTTAAACCTCTCTAGCTAATGTTTGCTGTTATTACGCGTCACTCCTCTTGAAATAACCTCGCAACGCCATATAGATTATGTCAGTGCATGATGCTATTGTTGTCGGGAGGCTAATACGCACAGAAATTCAGCTTCCAAAGCTTTCAATTTAGCAGCAGATCACAAACACGTGAGCATCGAAACCAGCAGAGGAAGCGTTTGCTATTTGTTGTTACTAATTGCAACCACAACCATGCGTTTAAGCAAGCTAAGCAAACGGTACAACAAGGGGAACCTTTTTCTTTGTTAGTTTGTTCATAGAAACTTCTTTGATAGCCTGTGCTATAAATAAGACCATGTAAGTAGACAGATTCCATCTCCATCAGTTATACTCCAACCTCACATGCTATTCAATCTATATAATCATATATATCAGGCCTCCTTTCTGTTCCTGGATGAGCACGACCATAAGAACGCCAGCGCCCCTTCTTCCATCACGGAGGTTACCGACACGAGGAAGTCGTCTTTTATAGCAGGATTAGCAGGCGCACTGCGCGAAGAACGTCCAGTCCTCATGGTTCCGCGCCCTGTTCAAGCTGAAGGTGGAGTACAACTACTTCATCTCGGCGACCGCCATCGCGAACCGGCAGGACGACCACCTCGCGCCCCTATACTTTTGCTGCCCCGACGCGGTCCGAGAGGGCGACGTAGCGGCCCTGCTGCCGCCGGGCGCCACCGAGACGGATCTCCGTCGGCTGTACGAGCGCCTCGACCCGAAGGAGGACGCCACCGTGCTCAGCCCGGCGCTCTTCAAGGCGGCGCTGAACCCGACGGGGATAGCGTCTATACTCGGCGCGTAGAAGGTTATGAAGAAGACGCCGAGCAGAAAAGTGCTGCGCAGGACTATGGCGACGGTCGTCGACCGCCCGGCGGAGCTCGGCGGGCCGTACCGCGTCGCGTCGGACGTGCCGCCCCTGTTCATCAGGGAGATCCGGGTGCGAATGACAATGTACCAGAAGGCTCGGATGGGACACGTGGCGCGCTGCCACTCCGAAGACATGGTCAAGCCGAGGCTTGAGGATGGCAGCGACGGGGTCAGGATCGGCGCGGGGAGCGCGAAGGAGAGCGACCGGATCAACTCGGCGAGGAGCCGCCGCCTGCTGCTCGACACCATGCGGGCCGGCTTCGATCGCATGGCCAGCGAGATGCCGGACTGCGCCGACCTGCGGGCGAAGATCGAGGATCAGTTCAAGAACAACAGTCACGGGATTGAGTTCCTCATCGACAACCTCATGAACGGCCCAAGATCGTGGCTTAGATGCTTGTACAAAGAGCGCAAAGCTGAGGAGTACTCAGTGTTTTAGTCGGTCAATCTTAACAGGGCTTCCCACGGCCTCACGGCACTGTGGTAAGGAAGAGTGTGAATACCTGTAGTAACACATTCTGTGTGAAAACAATTGGCATGTTCTTTAACACTGTTCCGTCCCATCTTCTTTATAAACCAGAGCTTCCTCCACAACATCTCAGATCTACGGAGTTCTCGCCATGAACAACCCTACCTACGCCCAGCTCTTTCAAAAGGGCTTTGAGCCACCCCCTCGCCAGTCGACTGAAGACCCGGTTCTTGTAGCTGCAAAGGCTATCTTGGCCGAGCATCCCCATAGTGTGTACTACAAGGTCGAAGCCAACTCACCTAGACCCATCAGTGAGGTAGTGTCGGCTGATGGCTGGTACTACAGAATCCGAGACATGCCATAAGATTCTCACCGGACTTATCCTAATGTACGCGAAAGATTACATTAGGAACATCCCCTCGGTCACGATTCAAGGCTGTGTCAACCCTGAAGTCAAGCGGAACTTCATGCAGCTCTTAGAAGACGAGAGGAATGGTGTCCCGTCCGAAATCACTGAGTGGGACATCGTGGGCCACGCTGACGATAACAAGGCACAGGGCAGGAGCTGGATGGATCTCCATCACTGGGAGCGTTTGCGCTGCGACCGGGGATCATCCGAGTTCCCCGACCATGACTGTCTTCGCAACGGCGTGCATTGCATCGATGACTACTGCTTCTCCGAGAACGATTTCCTGGCCTTCCCACTGCAGTTTCTCGAGTAGATTGCTTTTCTCCTTTGTGGTGGTGGCTTTGATGATGTTGCTTCTCTGAGAACGATTGTTGATCATCTTCCAGGCGAGATCAAGAGACAATTCATGGGGAATCCGGACTATCAGGGATGTGAACTACGTGACCAAATGGAATAACTTCACCATGATGGCCAACGTCCTACGTACACACCTCGGCTCCTACCACGGTGGAGTACAAGTTCCACATTACGATTACAGGCGAGCTCGAGAAAAAGAGCTACAACGACTTCGCGGCAAACTTCAGGATGCTGTTGGGTAAGGCATTCAAGCCAGAGTAAGTACTCACCTGTCCCGGAGTAACAGGACTGTGCTAGCGCAAGCAAGCGGCTAGTAAACCTGGCTTTAGCAGCGATGATGTTGCTTCTCTAAGAACGATTTCCTTGTCTTCCCATTTCAGTTTCTTTCCCATTGCAGTCTCTTTAGTAGATTGAAGCACTCTTTTGTGATCGTCCCCTAACTTTCTCTTTTCCCTAGACCTTTCTTTCCTAGAGTCCACCTTTCTCTGCTTGGGTGGTATGCGATAGTGTTTTTCTAGCAGCATCCTTTTCCTAAAGTACCAGTTTTTTTTTTTTTTTTTTTTTTTTTTTTTTTTTTTTTTTTTTTTTTTCTAGAGAGTAGTAGTCCTGAAATATGCAGTTTTCTTACATGAAATTTGTTTTCCAAAGTGCTCCATCGAGAGTTTTGTGAGAGCCACTCAGAGAGTACAATTGAAGCCTGGGAAATAAACTTGCCCGTTACTTTTTCCAAATGGAAATAGGTTGAAGCTTTTAATGAGTACAGATTAAAATACATTCAGTGCCATAGCACAGCTCGAAGACGGCGCTGTGATGATAATCGGATGGCTAACGTGACTGCAACACTGATAAATATCTTCACATTACCCTATTATACAAATACATATTCGCTACCTTGACTATTACTAATTTCCTTTATAACTTCTCCGCATACATACATTGACATCTCGGTGTTATTTACAACTTGTGATTTCTCCGATCAGCTCTTCTTTACATTTTTTCAGACCAGGTATCCTGTAAGTTCGCCTGTCTTTCTGTCATGCAAGAAGACATAAATGCTTCTCAGTGGGCAAAGCAATTCGGTGAGCTGCTGAGCATCACCAAAAACACTAATTGCTACATCGAAAAGCGGAATCTCTTCCACATATTTGGGTTGATTTGCTTCAGAGAAGCTAACGTACTGTGACCAGCTCGACACTGGTATAAGAAATTGGGCTGAGGATTAGGGGACAGAGAGCACCGACATTTTCAGGCCGATCATGGCAGGGTTCTCAAGATACGAAAAAAGAGCTGATACTGAAAAATACTAAACCAACAACCTCGCACCGACCTAAGCAACCGGAGTCAAAATCACTCTCCGATAATCCGTCAGCTCCATGTCCCTATCATCCGTGACGGCCAAAATCAAATGCATAGTCTGCGCGCAAAAAACCAGTCAGCAACCAGTCGTTCGATAACAGCGGAAAAGAACTCACCAAATTCATCTTCGGCTCAACCTCCACCACGCTGCCCCTCTCATCCCTCTTCGTAATCGCCACATCCGTCGAGACATGCTCGATCTCGCCCTCCAGCCGCTGCACGACATCGCGATAATGGAACCAGTCGAACGCCAACGCATCGCCATCCGGATCCCACGACGCAGACGCATCCAGCGTCACTGTCTCGCCGAGCCGATACGCCAGCTCCAGCGCAGCAGGCCCGCAACTCGCATTCAGCACAGCGACAGGATGGCGATTCGCGGCGCCCACGTCGCCCGTCGCGCCCCACGCCATGCGCGCCGCAAAGTCGTGCTGGTACGCCCGCCGCCACCGCCAGATCGTCGCGTACTGGCTCTGGAACTCGTCCCCGTTCAGCCCGACAACGAAGTCCACCGCGTCGGCGAAGACGGCGCTGCGCCCGCTCGCGTCCGCAAGCTCGTAGCGCCCGCCCCAGCCGCCCCACTCGGGGTGCGAGGGGTCCGAGAGCCCGTTCGGTAGCAGGTTCAGGAACGACGGCGTGTCCCCTTCCATGATGAACTTGAAGTCTGGGTAGTGTTGGCCCAGCGGCCCGATCCGGATGTGCTGCGAGAGCCACTCGTTGGTCACGAGGCTGGAGTCCGGGCCGCCGCGGTCGAAGCGCCGGAAGGTCTCGCCCGAGATGCCCTGTGTAAGTGTGGTGGGTTAGCGTGCTGCAGAAGTGAAGTAAAGTGAAGAGAAGTGAAAGACAGGACTAAACCCACATTCCAAGCCGCCTCAACATAGTTACTAAACGCAGTCAAAGAGACCACAAACAGCATCCCCGGATACCTTCTCCGTATCCAATCCCCCGCATCATCCTGGTCCGAAATCGAATACACCCTTAGACGCCCCACGAAAACCGCGACGTCCGCCTCCCCCCTCGTCCCCTCCACCCACGCCAGCGCCTCCGCCAACACCGCCGCGCCGCCCCACGCAGCAACCCACAGGGGCTCCGCGCTCGCATCCACCGCGCGCACGAGCTTCTCCGCCGCCCCGCTCAGCGGCTGCTCCAGCGCCGCAAGCCCGTACACGGGATGCCCGGCCGCGACGGTGCGCGCCAGTTCCTCGGCGGGAGGGTAGGCGGCGGCGGCGGGGACGTGCGCGTTCAGGTTCGCGAGTGCCTCTGCGTATCCGCCTAGGACGGCGTGGATGGCTTCTTCGTGCACGGAGTGGTTCGCCCACACGGAGGTCACGGCCGCGAGACCCTCGATGCGCAGCTCGTTGGCGTGCGTCAGGAGCCGGACCAGGCTCATTTGGTCGTCGGGCTCGCCGCTGATGTCGGTGAGGACGAAGAGGCGGGGGCGGGGGGCGTAGCGCGCGAGGGCGCAGGTTTGGTTGGTGGTGGTGTTGGGGATTGCGGCGGCGGTGACGACGGTGGTGGTGGTGGTGGTGGTGCTGAGGAGGAGAAGAGACAGCAGGATGCGCCTGAGTGCTGTGGTGGTGGGTATTGGTGCCATTGTGGTTGCGGGTGCGAGACGCAAGCCACTGAACCTGCAAGCAAGCAAGCAAACGATCAAACAAACAAGCAAGTCTGACGAACAGGAAGAACCACACCCCATCCACTCCCACTCTCTCTTTTATACTCCCCACTCCCACTACTTACCACGGCAGCAAGCAAGCAAGCGCCTCACCCCATCCGACCATCCGACCCGAGCGCGCATGCCGTCCCGCCCCGTCATTGTCACCGTCATCGTCACACGCCTCGGCCTCTTCCTCCTCGCACTCCCCATACCTCATCAAGCACAACTGCCGACGTCCAGAATCAGCATCCGGCAGATGGACAGCTTGGCGCACGAGGAACTGCCGAAGCCAGGCCAGCCAGCCACCAGTCAGCGCAAGGCACAAGGCACAAGGCACAAAGCCGGCCGGCGCACAGCGGGAACGGCAGCGGCAGCGGCGCCTGCGCGCGTGGCATCAGCAAGCCCACTCGGAGACTTGGTTAGCTAGTTACTTGCCTTTAGCCAGAATGGCCAAGGAAAAACACGAGAGAGGCGAGCGAGCAGGGCAGGCAATGGCTGAGCTCAGCCATACGGTCAGGACTCAAACGTAGGTGGGGAGACACACACCCCCCAACCGATCCAATCATCGATCCGTCACATATGTACCCCGCGATCTCCCCCACATCGTCACGGCCTCGTGGCCAGACGGAATAAGAAAGTGTGGGGAAACCCGACAAGGGTGCGCGGTCGCGAGAGCAGAGGCCGAGTGACGTCAGCCCGTACCCGTACACTCGGCGACAAAAGCGCGGGTATTCAGCCTGACGGGGTGGTGCTGAGGCGTGTTTTGTCCGTGTGACTGTGGCTGGCTGTGGTGGTGCTGCCGTAGGGCGTGCGTCTCGTGAAGAATCGTCTCCACGTCCCTCCATGTGGGGTCGGCCGCAAAACCACATCCGGCGGTCAATCGCTCTCCCCCACGCCTTACATCTTCCGTCTTACGTTACTACCGTCGTCGCCTACCCCGTAACAAGGCCAAACCGGCCCTCCCCCTCCCCAACCTCAACCCTCCACCTTACGCCCTGGTCCCCCTCTCTCCCCCTCACACTAACGACGCACTCGCCCTCCAGCGGCGGGCCCATCGACGCCGCCACCGCCGCCTTATTAACCCGCGGCGCAATCCACTCGCCCTTCCCATCTTTCGCCACGGGCACGACATCGCACCGCAGCACCACCAGCGCCACCAGCACCAGCACCTCGCCCGCCGCAAAATGGCGTCCAGGACACAAGTTCGGCGCCGCCCCAAACCCCAAGAACCCCGTCGGCCGCACCCCCGCGTCCTTGCGCATGAAGCGCGCTGCGTCGAACGAGTTGCTGCTGGCGCCCCACATGCTCGCGTGCCGGTGCACCGCCGCCGCAGGCATCTGCACGATATTGCCCTTGCGCAGCCGGAACTGCCCGAGCACCACCTCCTCGCCCGTGACGACGCGCGTGGGCGTCCCGCGCGAGTGGAACCGCAGCGTCTCCTGGAACGTCGACGTCAGCAGCGGGCAGCTGGCGCGCAGCGCCGCGAGGTCAAGAACGCAACCACCATCCTCATCCACACGGACCGCGTGTTCCAGCAGCTCTGCACGCAGCGCCGCGAGCAGTTCTGCCCGCGAGAAGATGTCGAACGCCAGCCAGAAGGCCGTCGGCACCGTGTTGGACAGGATGCCCGTCCCCGCGGCCGCTTCCAGCCGCGCCATGTCCTCGACGCTGGCGCCCGCCGCGTGCTGCGCTTCCCACCGGCCGCGCGTTAGTGCGGAGGCGGCCTGGTGCCCGTCCTGGTCGTAGTAGGCCTGGAAAGCGGCGACGAGGGTTTCCCGCCCGAGGAAGGCTTTGCGCGCCGTGAGCCGGGGGTAGAGGTTCAGCAGCAGGACGTTGAGGCCGTTTTCGAAGTCCCTGTGCGCGTGTGAGCTGCGTATGCACGGCGAGCGCGTTAACGGTAGGGAGGGGTGGGTTGGCGACGCACCAGAACGCGTCCGCGACCTCGCGCCTCTTATACGGGTTCATTGGCCCATAGACCGCGTCCGTCGTCGCGGCCGTAATGACCTCTCTACACCACGCATGCAGATCGATCTCACCTTCACCCTCACCACCACTTCCAGCACCAACAACCCCATCCACAGCCGCGACCAACGCCCCCATCGTCCCCACATTCAGCTCCCGCAGCCCGCCCCCCAGCAGCGCCTTATGCATATTCCTCAACACCTCCTCACTCACACTCACCCCCCCATCCTCCCTCTCCGCCTTCAACACCTCAATCCCCCGTCCCTTAATCCCAGCCATCCTGCCCGCCGCCGCCAGCAGCACCGGCTCAAACACCAGCGCCCTCGCATTCCGCTGCACGGCGCCCACCACACTCGGCGCGTTGACGACGTACAGTTTCAGCGCGAGCAGGTCCAGCGTGAAGACGGGCAGGTGCGGGTGTGTGGCGCACAGGTGCGCGAGGTACGCGCTTCCGTGCTGGAGGAAGCCGAGGGCGTGCCCGAGGAGCGGGATGCGCGGCGCCAGCTGCGGCGGCTCGTCCTGCGTGGGACGGGCCTTGCGGCTGAGGTAGTACCATAGCGTGCTGGCGATGAGGAGGGCAACGGCGAGCCATAGGAGCTGTGCTGGCGTGAGCTGCGTGGACCGCGTGAGCTGCGGCATGCTTGCGCGGTCCCGGCTGGCGTGGCGTGGCTATATGTAGCTGCTTGCTGCGTGCGGTGTTGTGCTGTGCTGTGCTGTGCTGTGCGTGTCGTCGGCGTCGTATGCAGGCAGAGAGCGTCGCTTGCCTAACAACGCAGGACGTGTGTTTGTAGGTAGGCGTTGTCGCGAGCGAGCGCGAAAGGGGCAGCGTGTCGTAGCGTAGCGCAGCGCATCGTCGCTGATGCCTGGCGCCTGGCGCACGGTTGGCGCTAACTCGTACGGTAGCGTAAGCTTATTTTCGTTGGTTGGTTGGTGGGTCGGTGGTTGGAGGATGCTGTGGGGCCTTACTACCGATGTGCAGATGCCGGGGGGCGACCCGGACATGGCGGGCCAGCACCTAGGTAGGTACCTAGGTAGTAGAGGCCTGCGTCTGCTTGTTGGTAATGCAATGCACTCTACTCTGTCAGTAGTTAACAGTCGCGAGGCTTTTCTTTTTCTTTTTCGTTCCTTTTCTTTTCGCTTTCTTAGTCGTGAGGCGAAGTCGTGAAGAAACCGATTCACAAGCAAGCCACAGCAAACCAGCAGTCCAGCATACGGATTCGCATCTCGATACAGCTATTTCGATTTCGTCCCTGCTTACATACGTAGCACCAGCTCTCATCGCACCGGTAAAGCGCAGAATAAATACAAGAAAGTGACAGACAAACACACCCCCTCCTCAACCAACAAACCACCACCCATCCATCATCTCATCCCGACCCAACAACAACGAACCAAGCAAGCGAGCAAGCAAACACCAGCTTACTGCTGCGCCTAGTTCATCGACTTCAGCCACTCCACGGCAATGTCGTACAGCTTCTGCAAGTTCTTGCGCGTCTCGGCGTCGTTGTCCGAGCTGTCAGACGCAGCAGCAGCCGAGGCCGTCGGGGTCGCGACAGCAGCAGCAGAGGACTTGGCGACAGTGGCGAGGGTGGTGGGGGTCGCGGCCGCAGCAGCGGTCGAAGTGACGGGGGCAGCGGTGGTGGCGACAGCAGCGGACGAGGAGGCCTCCTCGGTGTCGGCAGCGGCCGTGTCGACGGCCTTGGAAGCAGCGCCCGACGCCGCGCCGCTGCCGACCGCAGTCGTCAGCGTGTCCTCGATGTACACGCCCGAGAAGAACCAGTCCTCGAGCGTGGCGTCGTCGTTGCCGTCGAGGCGGAGGACACCCAAGTGCCAGTCGGCGCCGTTGGACGAGGCCGACACGGACACGGGGCCCGCCACCTTCTTGAGCTCCTCGGCCCCCGTCGAGTGGTAGTACGACACCTTGCCGCCGTCAAAGTCAATCTCGTACGCAATGTTGTGCCACACGCCCGCGGCGAAGTCGACGCTCCACTGTGACTGGCTGTTGGCGAACCACTCGAGCTTGTTGCCCGACGAGCCGCCAAACTTCATCTCGGTGAAGTGGCTCTCGAAGAAGCACACCTGGTGCTCGTGCGCCTTGTTCGGCGCGTTCTCACCCTTGTGCATCATCGAGAAGTGGTAGTACTGCGTGCCCTTGTTGATGCCCTTGTCCGTCTGCGGAATCAGCTCCGTGCGCAGCATTCCGCCGCCGTTCCACTGCGACGTCTTGTCGATGCTGATCTTGGCGCCCTGCTTGGACGCGCTGTCGGCCGGGTTCTTGAAGTCGGCCGCCACGTTGACGTAGTCGGTCACATCGCCCGAGCCGTGGATGTAGTACTGGTAGGCGCCGGCCTGGTTGGACCAGCTCCAGCTCTTGAGCGCGCTGGCCGTGTCGGCGTCGAAGCGGCCATCCCAGAGGGTTTCGGCGGCGGCAGTGCCGAGGAAGCCGGCGAGGATGTAACGGTAGAGCATGTTGGAAAAAAAGGGTTGAGATCTACTCAAACAGTTGCAAGTAATAAAGAGTGGAAGCGCGAGGTCAACTCGGCGAAAGGCAAGGCAGATAAAAAGGGAGTGAAGAGTGGTGCTGGACGCAACAAAGCAGAACGGATGAGGAGGTCCGGCGGAGGGGCATAGCGACGCCTATATGAAGAGACCGGATAGATTAGCCGTCGCGCCACTTTCATGCGATTGAAACGCGCGCGCCCAAGCGATGCGGATTGAAACGGCGGCGATACTCGCTTTGGTGTAGACGCAAATTTCCGAAAGGGTGCGGTTGCCCCAATCCCTGCGCGCATCGCGCCGCTGGCGTGTCAGGTTGATGCGACCGCCGGACCACGCAACCATCCCGGCGCCCTTCCCGGCGGTCCCCCGGACCGTTTGTCGAAGTCGATCGATGCCGATTGAAGTTTGTCTTGCACGCAGAAAGCTTCGCGCGTCGTCGTGTCTCTCTTCACCGTGTTTCGTTGGTCGTCGCGCCGAAACAGCCCTCGGACCGGCGGCGCGCCAGGGCGGCTGAGGCGCCGGGGAAGCTTGCCGCGAACGCCAAACAAGAAAAACACCATTCGCGCTCCGCCTGGCAGAATACCATTCCAGGCCTCGAGTTGGCGTCGATTGGATGCAATGTAGTTCAGACACTGTCGTGCGTAAAGGCGTGCTCGTCCTGGCGGACCATAATTGGGCGTGTTCTGGACTGCTCGCGGATAGGCGGCCCGCGCTCAGAGAGCAGCCAAACCTACACAGCACGCGCGATATGCCGTCCAAATTCTGTGTGCTGTCGGCCGTGAGAGTTAAGGGAGCACACATAAAGAGCTGTTCCCTGGAGCCCTCGCTGTTCGAAACATCCGCTAGTCTCGGTGCAAACATACCGCTAGTATTTGATGATAGGGATCTCGAAAGTTAAGCCGGGGACAGGGGCTGTGGGGCGATGATCACGGCCCGGCCCTGTTAGTCGTTGCCGATTTGCGACTGCAGAACAACTTCCATGGGTAACGAGGTGTGTATATCCTACGACAATGTCATCGTCTCTTCGTGCGTGAAACTTCCCGGCCGCAAGAGAGCCTTACCAGATCAATGTTTGCCGTTCTCGTAGGGCTGCATCAACCTACCCGGTGAAGTCAACCCGCATCAAGCTTCTTCAAGAAGCGTGCTCCTGATGCTTGTTCGTCGCTTGTCTCCGGACAGGGCTGTCAGCCCGTTGCCGCTGCTTGATGCGACCGAAAAATGTCATGATTGACGAGTTGCCCGGCAAGTTTGATGTTGTCCGCCTCCAACACGATGGGAACATCGCTCTTTCCTGAAGATGCGTGGGACCGCGTTCCGCCCTCGACCTTTCCTAGGACGCGCTGAGAGCTTCACTTCAAATCTTCATCCACGCTTAATTCCATCAGACATTCATCCACGCTTCATTCAGCCAAATATTCATCGACACTGCATCCAGTTAAACATTCAACTGAACCATCTTTCGAACATACGCATCTGCGTCCGATCATCTTACCACTTGCTCAACCGGACAAGACTTGCGGAGCAGCCCAAAAGGCGACAAATCCGATGGACCAAATCAATAACCCCTGGAGGCAGATGCCCACTATCAGAAATTTCTGGAGGCATAGGATGGACAAACTCCGTTTGTACATCGTTATGACCAGTATCCCTGTGGTTCCTGTGAAGCCTCTAGGGGAGGACCAGTACGTACCTATCGCCGAGCAATGGTCACTCAAAAGCACCGTTAACAGCAGACAGATACCACTGGGCTTTTATGGTCGGACCCAAAACTGACGAATCAGGAGCGGATGGCAAATTGTACTGTATGGTGCCAAACCGGCCTGGTGACATCGATCCCGACGGACATTATTATGTAGAACGCCCCAACTATCGTCCAGAGATACCACCCGGCCAGGCGAGGGTTCGTGTGTTGATTGGAAAGGTCGCGAATATGCGACGCTTGGTACAGACGATCCACACAGCACCCTGGAGAAACGAAGCGCTAGGGATGGACTGTGCAGAGTGGGTCCAAACTGTTTTGGAAACGCTAAGAACCAAGAGAAGTATTATGGGAACCAGCGCCCTCGATTGGCAAACAATAAGGGCCACGGGAATGGAGTTCATTCGGAGGAAAGTAGATGTGCGTCGCTTCGATGCAGAAACTCGTGCGACCAACGCGGATTTTCTATACCTTCCGACATATGATTTGCTCCAGGATAGGGAGACCATAGCTTGAGCTGCCCGACTAAGCGGTCCGACAAGACGACACGGCAGTGCTTCTCCTACCTCAGCATCTTCTCGGGACGCTTTGAGAAATACATGCAGGTGACGAGGGCGCCGACTGACCTGGAAAAGCTCTTGATGCATTCAGAAAATCTCGGGCATCAGCGTCTCAACTAACCTTTTCAACAACAATCGTTCTTCGTCCGGATGTTGGGCAACACCGGAAACATTTCAGCCCAGCAAGTCCATCCGCTACGGCGGTCGCTCTGGATCCATAAACTCGTCGATTTTTTGGCGCCAAAAGTTCTTTTGCGGTTTCACTTGACAGGCACTTGTGTATTTCCAACACGATAGACTAGCAGACAGTCTCTCAATCAACAATTTCAACACTCCGATGACTTCCGGTGAAAATGATGAAGTGCTGAGATCGAAGGTGGACTCTGCCCATGCCTACTTGAAGTTGTGTTTCTCGCATAGCGGCGTGCGTCAGTGTCTCCAATGTGCGGGCTATCGGAATTTGGCGCAGCGGATCCAGACGCTGGTACGGTTGAAAATTCTTGAATCACCTGCTTGAGCTCTGTAGAAGACCTTGGCCTTTTGACTCGTCGCTACGACCTGTGCGCCCAGCCCTGCCCAAGCATCTTCCCTGACCATCTCGACCACAATGTATGTCTTGTCGCGACGAGTGGAGGTGCATTGTACCCAGGGCGCGGATATGGTGACATCCTGGCAATGAGGCTCGTTGCTGAGGCTTCGGAGAGGTGGGTTGTGGATGCGTGGGCTCGCCGTGCTTGACGCGGAGTCGGTCTGAGAGCATTAAAGCTCTGTCGAATGAGCCCGGGCCTGCTTGGGGAGTGCGATCTGGAGTGCGATCAAAGCGGGAGTGGCATATTTGGTGGCATTGGCCGGCTTGATTCCCCGCAGAGTCCGTGGTGTTGCGGAGGACGCGCTGCGACCGCCAGGCCGCACAAAGGAGCTATGACCACCGCAAGACGCATGACTAAGCGGAGCGCGTCATCCCACGAGCTCCGATCCTGACTTCTTTTCCTCTCACTCTGTCCGGTCTTTCTGACTGCTTTACAGTTCTGTCTTCTTCATGTCGCCAATTGCTTTCATCGTTTCCTCTACCCATGTCATGACCGGGAGCTCGGAGAATGTTCCAAAGGCGTCTTCGTCATCGACGGCTCTCGTGAAGGGTATTGGCTAGATGTGATCCAGGACAGATTACACGCTTCTCGAAGTCAGACAGCCGACGGACCAGACCTCCAGTAGATATGCGTCCATCCTAAGGAAACAACATCGGAATGCTGCACATGCTCCGCGAAGTTTGAAACAAAAGCAGGCCAAGTTCCTAGTGCCCAAAGCACTGACTGCTCGCCAATTGAACCCACGCCAGAACCAGTAGATGCTTCGCCCCGACATCTCAAACAAGTTGGTCAGCATCAGCTTCCGTCGGACAGGGAAATAGTTAGTGAGCATCACACCCATGAACGGACCAAGGAAAGCCGAGTATCCGCGACGATGAGGAAGTTCGACGCAATGTTCAGAAGCTGCCACGGCTGCATCAGAAGAGAGAGCTCGACTATGATGTAGCCTCCTCTTCTGGTTGTAAAGAACCGCGGAGAGGGGCCGGCTAGATCTGTTCCTGCTACCACAGCGTTGGAGGCGACTGCCATGTCAAACTGAGAGAAGACAAAGTCTGAGCTCGCAAACGCAACGTCTGCCCGGGCCAAGGAGGTGCCATCAACCAAGACGAGAAGTCTATCAGCCTCCAGCCTCTGGTGTGCCCGGATTCCAAAAAGGTCTGTTAGATTACCACAGTCAACTCATCCAGCTGGCACGCCGAATGACATGGATCATTGCACTTGCGCTCCATCTTTTCCAAAACTCTTTCGACGACTACGTTAAATGACCGGAAGCCGGGATGCGCATGCGCATCCTTCATTACCCGCAGCAAGACCACTCCGCAGACGACCAGGCCGGGCTAGGCGCCCACACTGACTTCGGGTGCTTCACCATCGTCTAGCAAGACAAAATGGCGGGCTCGAGGTGCTGAACAAGGCTGGAAAATGGATCAAAGCAAAGTCAGTGCCGGGGTCGTTCGTGGTTAATATCCGCGACTGTTTCATGCGGCAGACAAACGATTTCTTCATCTCGACTGTGCACAAAGTTCAAAAAAGCGACACGGAAAGATACTCTGCGCCTTTATTTTGGGGCTTTGATCGTGGCAAGTTGCTTGGGCCTGTTGCGACGTGCGTCAGCGAGGACAATCCTATGAAGTATCCTGTCGTGACGGGGGGTGAGTACTACCGGTGAAGGGCGAAAAATCTAAAGGAGACGAGCTCAAGTCACATAGCTAGCGTGGAGCTCAACGTCGTTGTCTATTCCACGTCGAAGGGAAATTTATCACAGCACAGCTCATCATCTTTTACGATAACAGCATCAAGATCCCGGTCCCGCTTCTCCGCTCGTGACTAATACCAAGTAGCAGTCGCACCGCATGTGATACCGTCGGATGACGTTCCGTTCTTGGCGCGCCAAAGAGGAGACGCCAAGAACGATCCTCCGCCCAAGGAACCGCTGGCAGGGACCGCTCTCCGCTTGGGAGTCTTGTCCCTCTCCGACCGATCCGGACAACCACGCGACGGAGACGCTGGGACGCTGGGAGCTCCCAACCCGCCAAGTCGTGCCATGGACTACGGGAGTTTCGGTGCGACAATAGGAGCTTGGCTTGCGTACGGCTTGGAAACTGGCGGCTGGGCTCTTGGACGTGCGGGTTTAAGAGCCTGCTTGCTGTTGCTGAGCTGAGGCGCGCTTTTATCATCTTCGCCTTTCCGGATATCTGGATGCATCGATGCCGTCGCGATCATGGCGCCGCTCATCAAACGAGACGTGGATATGCAAACACCCATCGCGGCGGAAATTGTCGTCGCTATCGTGGTTTGTATCCTGCTGCTATGCCTTGGTCCGCTGTATGTCGATCTCTATTCTGTCCCGAGGATTGTTGAGATGATTCGTCGTTGACCAAAGCATTAGGGTCGGACTATATCGTTCACAAAGACGACGCAAGCGTTTGCTTCACACGTCGCCCAAGACCAGAAAGCAAACACGTCAAAGACTTGATGGTGTGACGCGTCTTGTCACCGCGGAGAAAAGCGGTCGAAACACTCTCACTGCCGAAGAATGGTGTGGTCGCATCTACCTAATGTATCCGCAGTTTATGTTGGACAAGCTTACTGACCAGCAAAGCTCCATCTGCCTGGGTCCTCTTTACCAACCCCGACGGCGTTCGACAGACACCGAGCCCGGAAGCCAGGACCACGAGTCAGAAATGAGCCACTACACCCACTCGTCCGACGAAGACCGTTTTGAAGACGACATCGTGGCTTTGCGAATCTGCGATCACCACTTTCACAGCGCCTGTCTGATTACATGGTATCTCTCGAAACGATACGACTGCCCTTTATGTCGCAGGCTGTACACGGTTTTGCCTCATTCGAGCCGCGTCCAGACTTGTCGGACTTGTATTGGAGATTACCTCAACCGTAGAAGCTCGCCGCCGAGGGATCCCAGGGAGTTGATGTTTTAGAGCTTTTGGAAGTTGAGGGCTAGCACGGGTTTTTGTTTTCTTAATGTTTAAATTTGTAAGTGGTATTTGTGTAATGCTCAACTTGCTTCCATGCTAACGATTCTGTCGAAATTATTCCTAAAAGACACAAAATCCTCAATAGAATGAACTTCCTTTTCATGTTGCAAGGAAAATGACAAGAATCTATTGCTCCGGTAACTCTTAAATACAAGTAAAAGACTGAATCTATGGGGGTATCGAACTCCTTATACCATACATCACGCCCAGAAAGGCACATACCTCTTATTGCCTCCCTTAATCGAGCCCTTCAACTTCTTAATCTTCGATAAGTTCTTAATCTTCGAAGGGTCAAAGCCTTTCGGCAATACGTTATCGTCCGCGCCACTGAAAACATTAAAGACCTTTTGCATCTTCTGAGGAACCGCGGACGTGTCCCCGCAAGGGTTCATCCAAGAACTAAAGGTACTCCAAGCTGTCTCGCTTGCACCGTAAACCTGCATGAGAGCCTTAGCAGCCTCGATACTAGCGACTGTTTAGGGTCAGCATATGTTTGTCGTAAACGGATTCTCTGTATATGGACGTACTCATTCCGCCATCAATGGCTTCGCCAACGCCCGGTATTGCCAGCGTACCAACCTCGAATGCTGCGTTCAACGACGACGTCAGCAGCTCACAACCAACCTGAGAAACTCAATTAGCATCTCACTGAATGGTTGTACATGAAAGCACTTACCTCGCCAATTATCGGCAAGGCCTTCATTAGGTCCCCTGCGGCTTCATTGATAAAGGAGATGTCGCACGTGCATTTTCCCGGAGCAACCTCAACGTCCGTTCCTAAAACTTGGTTAGCTAACCCTCCTGACCTACCGGAGGTTGGGCGGCGGCATTCTTGACCACAGTTCTGCTTACCTGGTGCTTTCTCCCAAGTCGGCGCCCCGAGAGGCAACTTTGAGAGGCAGCTAGTCGATCTGGTGTCGCCACTTTCGACTTTCTTTTGAATGGCCGGGCCGCAGATTTTCTTGCAGTCTTGAATTGTTTGGTCTCTAGGCGGGTTGTAAACCAAGCATTGGTTTGCGTTTTTGTTTCGCATCTTTTTGTAGTCATAGGGTGCTGTGCCGTTCTTTGATAGGGCTGATCCGAGCAGCGGGAAGCCCAATAGGAACATGCTGATAGATGAGAATTTCATAATGGCGAATGATGAGGAAGCTGTGCTCTTGGGAAGAGATGGAATAAGGGTTTTAATGAGTTCGAAAGAAGATTCGTGTTGAGACCATAGATGATAAGGCTTGCGATGAAAGCACTTTTAACTCGAAGCAGGATCAATACTGTGCCGCTTTAACAACACACAAGGAACATAGACTTTTGGGATAAAGAATCTTTAGATGATAGAAGGATGGCCAACATGGTTAGCTAACAGGGTCGGTATATAACAAACTCAAAGGGTGGGGTCCAAAGTGTGGATAGAGGTGACAGTGGCTTAGCCTCTGCGTTGGCGGCTACGACTTAAGCTCGTTTAGAGCTGATGCCTGATGTTTGTGGGGACCAACGGCAAAGAAAAACAAGATGCCAAGCGAGGCAGAGACGAGGTCAGCGTTTTGGTAGGTCGACATCACCTTATACAGCGGAGACCCCGTGGCGCAGTTGGTAGCTAAAGTTACTTACAACACCGCAGCTCAAACTTTTCAGTGTTGGTTTGGTAGCCCCATGGCACAGCTTCATCCTCGCTCCATCAGCCCGTCGGTCCTATCATCGACTTGGTCCGTGCTATCTATACGGCCCGTTATCCAACGTCGTAAAGGATTTTTCTCTACAATCACTGTCTTCCCTCCACGCTCCTACTCAGGCACAACTCTTCAGAATTCATGAAGGGACTTTATCAGGATGACATCCCCAAGTTTTGACGTAAAAGCGCATACATGGCTGCTACACTAGTTACTAAGGCGCAGCAGTGGGCCCGAATGTCTCCGGAAGGGCGCGCTACCAACCGTGCCGTACAAAGTCGCAACGAATCCGGCAAGATGCGGAATAAACACTTCTAATCACAATGACTGTCTCTCTGTCTCCTACTTTTCGTCGAATTTCAGCAACAACTAAGTTACATTTCCGTACGGGGTTCTCACGTTGTTTTCACAAAGACAGCAGAAAAATGAGCGCTCCAAGTCTGCAACTGGATCCCAATGAGCGAGTGCACGTGCTGGGACTGGGCAGCATCGGGACATTTATGGCATACTGCCTAACCGATGTGCCTTCCAGACCTTGCACAACGTTGATGCTGCATCGACCTGCGCTCTACGATGCTTTCAAGAAAAACAACGAGAAAATCAGCATAACTACAACGAAACAGACGCAAGAGCACGGAAGATTTAACGCGGAAGGATCTAATGCGGAAGGATTTGACGCGGAGGGATTTGACGCCGAAGTGTTGGACAATGACGGTTCCTGGCGGCGGACTACCAGGCAACAAAGCACCACAGAACAAACAAACCCCCACTGGGAAAACACCACCAACGAACCGATCCGCCAACTGGTAGTAGCCACGAAAACGATCCACACAGTTGGAGCCCTCAAGCCGTTGCAAAGCCGACTCACTCCTGAAACCACCATCCTTTTCATGCAAAACGGCATGGGCATAGTCGAAGAAGTCAACCGATCCCTGTTCACTGATCCCGTGTCCCGGCCAAAATACCTCCTCGGAGTCATCTCGCACGGTGTTGGCCGCGACGCGCCGTTCCGGATCACGCACACAGGCTTCGCTGCCGCGTCCGTGGGGCCATCTTCATCCCGCCCAGAAGAACAGGGCAGCGACTATCTGCTCCGCACGCTACCGCAGAGCCCGCTCCTGAACGCTACCGCGTACTCCTACGAAGACGTCTTGCAGATGCAGTTGGAGAAACTTATCGTCAACTCCTATTGCAACCCGGTCTGCGCTTTGCACGATTCGAAAAACGGAATCTTGCTCGGAGAGACGCATCGGAAACTAAAGCTGGAGCTTTTTGCTGAGGTGGTGCAGATTATCCACAGAATGCCGGAGCTACAGGGCGTTGAAGGCTTGAAGAACCGATTTGGCATGGAGAGATTGGAGGCGACGGTTGATGGGATTCTGGAGAAAACGCGCAATACGACTTGCTCGATGGTGTGGGACCTGAGGGCTAAGAGGGAGACGGAGATTGCGTTCATCAATGGGTATTGGGTGAAGAAGGGCATTGAATTAGGCGTGGATACGCCTGTGAATAACATGTTGGTGCATCGCATCCAAGAGATACAGTCGAGCTGGAGGGCTTAGTGTCAACTTGAACCCTTTTTGGAAATCGGTATCTCTTCCAGCAATAAACGTCCGTCATCGCGAACTGAGATCCACTATATAGCGAGACAGTAGACGATACAAGCAGTCCCTACAGAGCACTTCTTAGCCAGCTCCTAGCCCGAGTTCTAGGTATAGATAAGAGGGTCCTAGAGTATATATACACTCTATGTATCTTAGCTGAGTATCTTCTTCTACTCTATATAAATATTACTATCTCGTCTTACGGTGAATCGCGGTTTACGGTAACGAACGTAACAATAACTATTCAACGTGCAAATATCTTTGCTTCAGTAATCAAGGTGTGTAACTGTTGCAATGAATGGGGTTTCAATTGATAGCAATGAGTGACATGATCTTGTTAGGAGCCCGGTAGGCGGAGTCCTCTTATACCCTGTGCTAAATGACTAAGCTACAGAAAAAGCAATATAAACTGCGTACACTTCAACACACCCCCTTCGCGTAGTGCCGCTTTAGGTAGTGCGCGATAAACGCTGTAGTATTGAGAAAGGTAAGATAGCAAAAAGATAGTGGCTGATGTAGATAAAGAAATAGTTAATCTGAGGTGGTTATCTTCTACTATATCTTATTCAGGCGTAGGGACTAGGCCGAGCTGTTTAATAAAGGCTTAGTGCCTTTATTTTAGAAGGGATTTAGTTAGCCTATTAGCTATTATGTCTGCTGTCGGAGTCTAACGAAAGCTAATATTTCCTACCTAAGCTTCTTAGCAAAGCCAGTGATAATAAATGTCTATATGTCTAAGCTTAGTAATAAGCTTAGCAACATTTTCTTCTATAAGGTGAAGAGTTTGCTTATTGTCGCACTAAATTTTAATGTAGTGTCTAGGATTAAACTCTATTCCTCGGAAGAAACGCTTCTACTAATAGTACTACTTGGCCGTGTCTGACAGAGCAAGGAGCTCTGCCTTAGTACTTAAGGTAGTAACTGTGGGTTGTTTAGAGGATTTCTAATCGACCGGCCCTCTAAATAGTATAATTAGTGAGCCCTAATAGCTACGACGCGTAGCTAGGTCGTTACTATATAATGCGTTACTGCTAATGGTAAAGACTGCCTACTCGGGGGTATATCCCTGAAAGTAGATAGCTAGCTTGCGAGTAGCGCCTAGGTAGGCGAGTAAGCGCTAAGCGAGCTGCTAGTATCGCGGCGAGGGGTTGCTTAAATAAGTAGAGAGGGAAGAGTAAGCGTAGGTAATATCCGTACGCGTGCTAACGACTATAAACTAAGCTAAGCCTATCTTACTTTAATACGTATAAACGTCCTGCGGCGTAGCGTAGTCCCCCTCGTTTAGAACTAACTATTTATTAGCCGGTAGTAGCGTTAGCGTATTTGGATTTTCCTTAACGTTGTAACGAGCTATAATGCTGGAGATGTATAACTCTTAAGAGAGCTATAAAAGTCGCTAAGCGCGATCTCTTACTATCCGATTGATTGATTGATTGATTGATTGATTAAGTTGAGTTAAGTTGAGTTGAATTTATTTACCCTGACCTATCGCCCTGAGCGATATGCAGGCTATAGACTATTTAAAGGAAATACGCTAGGAATTTATATTAGTATTTTAATCTAAGAGAGTAATAAGGAGAAGGGTTGATTGATTGAGTTGAGTTGAGTTGAATTTATTTACCCTGACCTATCGCCCTGAGCGATATGCAGGCTATAGACTATTTAAAGGAATACGCTAGGAATTTATACTGGTGATTTAATCTAAGAGTATAAGGAGAAAGGGGAACAGAGATAGGATAAGGAAAGGTAGAAGAATAGGAATAAGATAGGGTTTTACTGGTTGATGTCGTCTCTACTCTAGAACCTTTTTGTTTGTTAAGCGAATTCAAGTACCCTTTTAAGTTGTGCGGCCGAAATTGTCTATTTTATCTTTTCCGTATGCGGCTGGTTCTTATCTGTTGGTTTACCGCCTAGGAGGCTAGAGAGGTAGTTTCTCTAGAGTCCGGTTTCTTAATATATTTTTTGCCGATTTTCCTAGAGTAGTGAATA